AGACCCTCACCAAGAATTTTATTTTGGGGAGCTTTATAACCTTTCTTTAAGTCCTGAAGTTCAAGAGCTTTTGCTTCCTCTCTCCATAAAGCCCTCCCTCCATTCTAATTGAGAGGAGTTTTCAAGGACAGCTGATATTAATTGATCCCAATCCTTAGGGGTTACCTTGTTTTTCCTTGCCCATGATTCTACTAATTGCTTCACATAAGGTGAGTGCATGCCATAAGAGACTACTGCTTCCTTTATACCTTTTAAATCTTTCATACGTATTGGTTCCCACTGATACACAATGACACCTTTTGGGTGTTTTTTCGTTACTGGTTTTTCATTAATAGATACAGGGAAAGCTCCCTGACCCTAAATGGTGTGGAAAATTTTAAGTCTTTTTCATGCCCTGTTACCTGTAGTTCTTCTTCTGATGTATCAGACTGAAGTTCTTCTAAAGCCTGAAATCTATTCACCATTGCTTCTTTGAGTGTCTGAACTTCTTGAATCAAATAACTTTCTAGAGATTTCATTGCATCAGTCAGTTTCTTACTTTCTCCAACTACACATGATTCCATGTTTTTAATATTCTCATCCTTAGATATTATCTGTATGTCATGTAAACTGCCTTTCAGAAACAATGTTCTATCTGCTAGCTTGCCATTATCCTCAGACATGGAAGAGATTCTATCATCTAGTCTTTCTATCAGATGTTCCAGTTTTTTAAACTTATAAGCAGCTTCCTCCGACCAGGAACGAGCTGTTTCTGCTAGCATGTTAATGCATTGTATTGTTTCTGTTCTAGTTATTGAGGTATCAGACATGGAACAAATTCTGTTTTCTACTTGGTCATTTTTATGTTCCACGGCTTGTATTCTACCTGTCAGCTCTCCAATGCCATCTTTAATATTCTGAAACTTTTTCCCTAAGCATTCTATGTTTTGAATTCTAACCTTTTCAATGTTTTCAATCCTTGTTTCTTCTGCTAAAATTCCTTCTATGTATGAAGTAAAATAATTCCTAAAGTCCTGCATTGTAAAATTATCTGCCATAGGTATGGAAAAATTGATCTCAGATATTATATCAGCTTAAATTGCAAAGGAAGTTACAATTACCTTAGGTGTAATTCTGCTGTCCTGGAACTTTGATGCTTTTAGTTGTAGATCTCAGCTTGTGGTAGTTACGCCTGGAGGTGTACCACCAAATAGCGTTCAGCCGCAGAGGACCCGTCTGATCCCGATTCTGCCTGGAAGTGTACTGCCAAATATCGTCAGGCAGCAGTCGATCCTTCTGATCCCGGTCCCTGTAGAATAGCTCTTAACAAACTTTGGCAAGCAAAATTTTGTTAGACAAATGAGTAAAAGGAATTTTGTGGAATTGCTGGGGTTGCAGGGCTAACCGTGGGAAACGCACAAGCAGGGCGGGCTCCAAGCGGCTCTGTGCGAATGCAAATTGCGGAAATGGGCAAAAAATGAGAAGCGGTGAGTGCCTTCTCAGGCCCGCTGTGGTGGCAAAGGAGATGTAAGGAAGAGGCAAATGTCCCAAAGCTGTGGGGGTCCAGCTGGTAAGGCAAGGGACCCTGCCCATTGGGGATGGTGGCGGAGGGGAGCGGCCTCTGCTGCCTGGGTGAAACCCAGGTCCCGTGAAAATCCTAATCCCGCTTCTGACACCAGATATTGCGGTTAATTAAGGATCAGGATAAACAAATAGGCCGAATAGATGTTTATTCAGGGAGAAATAACTTACAACCTAGACAGATGAACACCAGCAAGTTCCACCAGGATGCTCTCCTGTCTGAGTCCCGCCAGCAAGAGAGCGTTCCAGGCTCTTCCTCTGACCTCCTTCCACAGGTCACTTCTGCCCATGGCTCCACCCCCAATGGGCGTGGTCAGTGCTACAGAAGGAGACAAAGTAAATATCCCACTACAAAAGAAAGCCCATAACATTCAGCCTAGTACAGCTGGTATTTACCCTTAACAATTTTTATTATGTGGATATGAGGCGCTCCTGGGGTGGGGATATAGTGAGGGCAGGAATCCAAAGTGCTAGAGCATCCAAGTGGAGGTCCTGGCTTCACACTCAAGTAGTCAGGCACCTTTACCCACTGGACCATCTAGCTAGCTCTCCTTTGTTTTTTGTTTTTTGTTTTTTTGTTTTGTTTTGTTTTGTTCTGTTTTTGTTTTGTTTTTTTATTTAAAAATTACTACTTTGCCAGGCATTGATGGATCATGCCTTTAATCCCAACACTCGGGAGGCAGAGGCAGGTGGATCTCTGAGTTTGAGGCCAGCCTGGTCTACAGAGAGAGATCCAGGACAACCTCCAAAGCAATATAGAGAAACCCTGTCTCAAAAAAAAAAAAAAAGATTACTAATTTATATATATAGGCATTTTGCTTGCATATATGTATGGCCTCAAGCTCATGGCAATTCTCCTGCCTCAGTCTTTCAAGTGCTGGAATTACAGGAGTGAGCCACTATGTACAGCTTCTTTCTCTTGTGGTTCTAGGGATGAACCTGGGACATCGCACAACATAAGAACTCTACAACCTAGCTTTACCCATACAGCTAACTCACTCTTGGGTAGAAATCAATGGGGAGTAGAGTAGAAATTTTTGAAGAGCTAATAGATAATTGAGAACTTTCCAAAAGTTATTTTTAAAAAAGATGAAATGCTCAAAAAGGCTTACTGAAACCAATCAGGCAGAGAATCAAGTCTCGAAGTCACAAGATAAAGACTAGGACTAAGGTTGTAGCTCAGTGAAAGGGTGCTTATTTAGCATGTGCAAGGGTACCTGGTTCCGTCCCTATTACCATCAAACAAAAAGATCTTAACAAGGATGATGTTGAATAACTGCTCATCTAGAATTCCATTCATTAGAGAATTAACATTTAGCAAAGGCAAAAAAAAGTTTTGAACAAGTTGAAAATGAATAATCACAACAAATCTACTGTAAATTCATTCAGGCAAGAGAAAGCGAGCTCAGATGGGAGGATATGGATGCAGGGAAGAATGCAGAGAAATGACCCTAGTCCTGCTTTGAAGGAAAAGGGGATTCGTACCGAGAAGCTGCATGAAAACTTGGAAAGCTTGCTATTTTAGGGTACTGAAGATCCAGGTCCAGAGGTTTCTTTTCAACACAATAGTTGAGATTTGTCTCTTCTTGCTAGAATACTCTTATGTGCACCATGGAATTTCCAGAGGCAGCGAGACTTGTGATATCACGCTGCCTCACAGAGATGGAAAAGCTGCTGGTTTTCATTCAGACAGACACTAAGGGACTGGTGTCACCCTGAGGCTGGAGAGATGACTCAGCAGCTAAGAGAAGCAGGTGTTCTCGAAGAGTAACAGAATATGGTTCCCAGCACTCATGCCGGGCAGCTCACACAAGGTGCCTGTAACTCCAGCTAGTCTAATGCCCTCTTCTGGCCACTCACACATAATATACATGTGCACATACATGTAAATAAAAAGTGTCACTCTTACATGTGAGTTTTTTGGAAAATATAGTGATTTCCATACATAATATTGCATGACATCAAATGAGGTTTTAGTTGCTATTTTAAATTAATCAATGTTTTAATAAACATTTTAATAAAACATTCTAATTAAAGCAATTTGGGAATATAAAGCAATAGTTCAGCTTACACTTAAAAGTCACAATCTACCACTGAGGAAAGAGAAAGGCGGGACTTCAGGCAGAATTCAGGAACCACGGAGAAAGACTGTTTACTGGTTTATGTTCAATTCCGCCTGCCCAGGAAGGGGGCCATCCACGTGTCCCGCCCACCCAGGAACGGGGCCGTCCACGTGGGCTTAGTCCTCACACATCAACCATCATCAAAACAATCTCTGACAGATATGGCCACAGGCCAATCAGATCCGGGCAGCCCCTCAATTAAGACTCCCTTAGATAAACCTTCGGCTGAGCCAAACTGACAGCTGAAGATTATTTGGACACATACGTGAAACCTTTCTGGGTTGTAATCCCCCGTAGATAGGTATGAACCGTAAACAAAAGCTCTTTAGGGTCTCAAGTCACCATGAGGGTCTTAGGACCTGATCAGGTTCAAAATGTAGTTCAAAAAGAATATACATACATATATATATAATTTATTTTGAGATAAATTCTTACTTTGTTGCTCAGGCAGGTAAGCGCCCAGCAATTTCTCCATCTCAGCCTCCCAAGTGCTAGGATTACAGTTGTGAGCTAGCAGGAAGAACATCACCGCTATTTGAAGATGAAGCTGCAAACCAGACAACAGGCTTGTAATGTAATTTCAGGTCCACATCTTCAAACGTTTGAACATGTTTTCTGGCTGTCCAGGCAGAGTCACTCAAAGCGCCTGATGCGGTGTTCTGAGGCTGAACCGCTGAGCGAACTTGAAGCACTTTCTCCTGCAGAGGGCTGTTTAATAGCCACTTTGTTGCTAACCGCTGTCAGCTGTTAGTGACTTCATTGCTAAACGTTGCTGCATCCCTGTTCTCCCAGAACCTCAAGCTGCCCGGTGAAGAAGCCAAATCTGCCCCAAAGGCCAAGGCCCGAGAGCTACTCATAGTCTTTGCATGAGATCTGATGCCTTAGAGCCCACAGTCCTTTAAGAACTGCCTGATTCCAAGTGGTCCCCGTGAGCTTTGATCTTTGGGTCACGTGGGAAGGGAACCCTGGTTCAATCGCCGGGCATGAAGCTATAACCTCCCAGGCTGTGGCCCAGCTCCGGCTGAGGCCAGTCCTTCCTCGCAGGGTGCTAGGTCAGGCTGGCAGCAGGAGCGCTGTAAATATGAGCATCTGCCTGCACTGTGCGGATTCCACCATCACAGCCACTAGAAGCCGCTCACCTGACCCCAGCTGTCCCAGAGGGCCTTGCGAGGAGGCGGTGGCCGCTGGCAGGCCGTGTGCCCGTGCAGAGGTGGGGTAGGCACAAGGCTCGAGGCGCGCCGCACGTGCAGGGCCTGGCCCCACCCTATTGCGTGGCACAGTCTGATTGGATGGCCTCGGCAGGGGGAGGGGCAGGCCTTCTGGAACGGTCGTTGTGGCGCGCTGGGCAGGGGGCTTCACTTGAGGCTTTTGCCACCTTTGGAGCTGGGCAGTTGAGGCAGCTCCTGGGCGCCGAGGATGTTGCGTAAACTCACGGTCGACCAGATCAACGACTGGTTCACCATAGGCAAGACGGTGACCAACGTGGAGCTCCTGGGCTTGCCGCCCGCCTTCCCTGCCGAGGCAACCCGGGAGGAGGTGCAGCGCCCGGATGCAGCCCCCGGCGAGGTCCCTGCGGTCCAGGCCCAGGTTCCAGGTCCAGTTGCGGCCACAGCACCGGCCAGGCCGGCTTCAGCCTTTGGGAGGTAGGGAGACCCCGAGGGGCTTGGGAGGGCCTGCAAGCAGGTGGAGAGCATCGTCTAGTTCAAGCCCTCAGCAAACAGGAGCCTGCCCAGGTTTTCCTGCAAGAAGCTGAGCCTCCCAAGAATCTGGTGGTTTGTTTGTTTACTTATTTTAATTCCCTGCCTGTTCTTGCCTTTTTCTTTTGAAACAGGGCGTTGTGTACTCCAGCCTGGCCTTAATTTATTATTGCCTCCGAGGATAACCTCATCCTCTGGCCGCCACCCCCGCAGGTCTTGAGATTACAGGTGTATCAGGTGTATGTCACCAGCCCCAGGTTTATAGACTGCTTTAAAATTTTCATTGAATTACTCTGATAAGTGATTTTGTGTCGTAGCCCTACTTAAGATTCTACATCTGTCTTAGGCTTCCCTGGAGAATTGTAATGTTTTAATTCATTTATTTTGATACTGGAACTAAATATTTTTTTTTACCTTGTCAGAAACTAAAAGTATAGGTTCTTTTGCCATTTTAATTTCTAAGAAGCAATTTTAAACCCCAAGTCTTTGTGAACTGAGGTTTGTTAATTCAAAAATGAATTTGCAGAGCAATGAAATGATAAAAGGTGAATGTGCCATTAAAAATAGACTGGCAAGTACCGGATCACCCTGTCAAATTGCCGCAACTGTTCTAACTTGCCTGCAATTGTGTTACCAGCAGTGCTTTTCTGAGAGGTGGCATCTCTCTGCAGAGCCTTCCTGGATTCTAAATACACGCAGGTCCAGTGAGGAAGGTAGACAGAATGCAGCTACCTTTACATAGTCTTTACATCAATGCTTTGTGTACTCAATGCTAGTGGACTCTTATCAGTTAATCACCTGTGATGATTTTATAAAGGAAAAAATAGGTTTGGTTGGCAAAGTGGCATGCCTAATTCCTGTGGAAGAGTGTACTGCAACCTCTGAACACGCAGTGTCACATGGAACAAGCTGTCTTTTAAAAGATGTATTTTACGTGTATGAATGTTTTGCTTGCATGCATGTGTTTACACCGTGTGAGTGCCTGGTATACAAGGGGTGTTGGATTCCCTGGAAGTGGAGTTTTAAATGGTTATAAGCCACTATGTGAGTGCTGGGGATTAAACCCAGGTCTTCTGGAAGAGCCATCTCTTCAGTCCTGAACAAAGGGTTTTTGCTGGTATGATTAAGATTAGATATTTTACATTTATTTACTGTGTGCTACGCATGCATGCACATATGTATTTGTTTGTGTGTGTGTGCCACAGCATGCATGTGGAGCCGGAGGTTAATTTACAGGGGTCAATTCTCTCCCTGCCCTATGTGGGTTCTGGGGATTAAATTCAGATTGTCGAGGTTGCCTGACAGCAAACATCTTTACACTCTGAGCCATTTTGTTGTTACCAGACCTTTTTTTTTTTTTTAATTGGTGTGCTTGAATAAAGCAGGTTATCCTCTATGATGCCATTGCGCCATTGGCAGAAGGTCTTTGACTCTTCCCTGGATCTAGCCTGCTTGCCTACCTGTAGTTATTGAATTTTGTCTTCATGACTGTGTGAGCTGATTCCTTAGAATAAATCTCTCCAGACACATGCCAAAAATTCCTGCTACATCAAGCAAAAGATGTTAGTGTGTGGGGGAGACGTGAGAATGACAGTTGCACTTGAGAAAAATGATTATTTGATTTTATGTGCATTAATGTTTTGTCTGTGTGAGAGTGTTAGACCCCTGGAACTGGAGTTACAGGCAGTTGTGAGCTGCCTTGTGGGTGCTGGGAGTTGAACCTGGGTCCTCTGGAAAAGGGGCCAGTACTCTTAACTGCTGAGTCGTGTCCAACTCTGGGAGATTTTATGCATGTGCATCTATGGTATGATGTATGTATGTATGTATGTATGTATGTAGACAAATTCTTGCTTTAACTAGAGATGGCCTCAAATGTACCATTGTCCTTCCCCAGCCTCCCAAGTGCTGCTGGGATTAAAGGCATGTGTCCTCAGGGCTGGGAATATTTTTTTAAGTCTGAGGATTGAGGCCAGCGCCCTATGCATGCCAGCTAAGTACACACTGAGCCCCATCCCTTGGATAAGTTCTCATGATAGAGACACCAACTTTATAGCAGAGCCAGAAATAGAATGTGAGCCAGGTGGTGGTGGCATACACCTTTCATCCCAGCATTTGGGAGGCAGAGGCAGGTGAATCTCTGTGAGTTCGAGGTCAGCCTGGTCTACAGAGTGAGTTCCAGGACAGCCAGGAGAAACCCTGTCTTGAAAAACAAGCAAAAAACAACGTGAGCAAGTACCAATTTGTGATAGGTGATACAGAGGTTTCTATCGGAGCAGTTAGAAGTTGTTGCCCTCAAAATGAAGAGAAGCCTTCGATGTGAACAGGTAAACTTTGACTTGCCAGTTAGCTGTAAGTGTAGTTCATGGGTTCGAAAGAAGTCAGGCTGGAGCTATACATTTGTGGGTTAGGGTTCCGAGCCCCAGTGACAGGAGCTCTGAGGCTGTGAGATGGTAGGTCTTCATGGGGAATGTAGGGAAAGAGAAGACTTCAGCCGATCTCAGGGTCTGGACTTGAGAGATGAGGAAGGTGGACTGAGCAGACACTTGGGGGGCGGTGGAAGGATCGAGGAGGCCATGGGGTAAGGCCGCCTGAGCAAAGGGACGTACGTACTCCGCGCCCTGCTCATGCATGTATCTCTACACACTTTGGGAGTTTTATGTGTTGTTTCCCACATTTCTGCGGCCGCTGATGCACAGTAGACGCTTAGGTATTTGAATGAACGAAATGCCTATTAGATCCCAGCTATCAAGTGGCTGTATTAGCCAGCTCTTTATTCTGGCCAGGAGAGTTGCTCCTGTATTGAGAGGGACCTGACTGCTCCAAGCTATAGTTGAGGGTTGAAGGGAAGGTTGTTTATTTGTTTTTATTGTAGACATGAGGGGAAGCATAGCCAGAGCCTCTGGAAGAGTCCAGAGCAGGGAGAAAAAGTAGTAGCCTAAACATGGCCAGCTGATTGGACCATGCCATTTGACATGGGGGAGGGAGTAAGAGAGAGCCGAGGGAGCAGAGGGAGCATATGGCTGAAGTGGAGGGCCGCATGGGAATGAGAAGCTAGGGCCGGAAGCACATAGTCTAGTAGGGGGCTGGCTGAGTGGGAAGAGCGGGAAAGAGCTGGAAGGCTGGCATCACTTTGCTGTGCTAACAGGCAGCACAGTTACCATTTGTGATGAGGCATGTCTCCTTTGGTGGAGGGGAGTGGGTGCCAGAGTCGGAAGTAGCATTTGACTGACTCATAAGGGGCACCTTATTCTCCGGCCACGTGGTCGGCTTCCCTAGAGGATGGTTTGAGGCTATGTAAGTGTGCGGTTAACTGGGAGTAAGGGTGAGAATATGTATTTCCAGAGTAACAGAGGCTCACTGTCTACACATCACCATCCTGCAGGAAAGCATGTCTCTTGCTTGCATTGCTGCAAGATCCTTGCATCTTTGATCTGGCTTCTCTTGATTTTCTGTTCTAGCATCCAGAAGAATGCCTGGCATGAGGCCAATGCTCAGTTACTATTTATAGAAGGAACAGGTTCTCGTACCAACACTTTCGCCTAAGGTTGAATGTGTGAGTGACTTTGTGTCGGAATATTGCTGTTGGATACAACTTACTCTTATTTGTGGTCTATGGAGCATCTCTCCATCCAGCACTTGCCTGAGTCTATCTGTGATCTCCGGATGCTGTCTGGTCACATGGGCGTCTTCTGTGCCGAAGGCTCCACTATTACCTTGTGGCTTCTGCATTTGCTCTTCTGAGTGGATTGTGGCCCCTTGTTGGTTTTTGTTTTTTCTGCAATGGGCTCCTGTTACCAGGGCCTGTTGAAATGTCTGCTCCTTGGAGAAGTTCCATGTTTTTCATAGCTAAAGAACTGTTTCTCTGCCTTCCTTCTTTCCTAGTTTTCCTTTCCAGAACTCTTCCTGGACTCCCAAGCTCTTATTTGTGTTAGCAATGACCAGCCTTGTCAGTCATCTTTGTACTGTATTCTGGCTTTGGACTCTCCCCATCCCAAGGAAACCTGGATGATAATGTGATCCTGGCTTGTATAACTGGATGATAGGCAGTTCTATCATCTACTGACATGGGAAATGCTAGTCAAAGATCATAAAGAATTGTGCTGTGTGTGTTAGATGAGGTTTTAGTGATGATGGATATTTGGCTTGTTCCTCCTATGAATTTGTGTGCATCTGTGTAGGTCAGAGGCTAGTCTGTTCCTCAGGTACATTTGTCTAAGTGTGGTGTGTGTGTGTGTGTGTGTGTGTGTGTGTGTGTGTGTGTGTGCATTTATTTTTTGAAGATAGTCTCTTATTGGCCTGGTGCTTACCAAGGTGGGCTAAGCTAGCTGGCTGATCACTAAACCCGAGGGATCTACGTGACTCTGTGTCTTCATACTTGCTTTTAGAGTGTATGCTACATGAGCAGCTGTTTTATGTGGTTTCTGGGTATCACATTCAGGACTCGAGCTTGCACAGAAGTGCTTTACAAAAGCTATTTTCTGCCCCCTCCCAACTCCTTGACTTTTATCTCTTTAAGGAACGAACCTACTAAGACTTTGGTTTGAGTATGTGGATTCTATGCTTCCTTTAAGCGAGGATGTGTCAGATGGCAACTGTTATTTGCATTGGGTCTGTAGAAAGTAGCTTGGGGTTGGGGGGCGACAAGCTGGGTGTGATTCCAGCTCTGCTAGTTATCTCTAACTTGCAAGGCACCCACCGAACCTGTCTGAGCTGTTCACTCCTTTGTCAAGTGAGAATAACATTTCAGACTAAATGAGAAGTTATGCACAGGACTCAGAATGCAGAATTACTTTAGCATTGCTAAACAGATTGGTCTGGCTAGTGATGACAACTTTTAGCGTCTGTGTGTAAAGTACTGTGCAGCTGTTTTTCTGTGGATGAATTTATTTTCTCTATTCCCTAGCCAAAAATTTTAGCTATTGTGCCCATATAATTTTCAATAAAATGTACCCAAAGGTCTTAGTACTTAATACACCCACAAATACACATGTGCACACTGAATTAACCTTAATTCCTTCACCAAATTTAGGTGTTGTAAATGGCTTGAGGAATAAAAACCTGGTTTTGTTAATTAGAAGTCAGATTGTCGGCTGTCCCCATGAGCTGCTATGAGGTGCTGTTGGATCCGAGTCAGAACTCAGAAAGGACATGGCATTTTCTTTTTCTTCTTCCCTTTTAGATGCTGGCTGGTACCTAAATAAACCTTTCCTGCCTGCCTCATGCCTGACCTCCATGCTTAGCTTGAATGGCATGATTTTGCTGTCTTAAACTCCTACCGTGACTGTAGTTAACTTCTCTCAAAGACAGGGAGAACACTGCTATGCTTTTAAATCAAGGCTTGTCCCACACTCATGGCCCCTTTCTCTGGTTTCTGTGGAGGGCAACATCGAGTTATGGATGTTAACTTCACTTTAGTATTGCATTGTAAGGAAGAGTTCACATTAATCATTTATTCTCCGCATGGGCTCTTTTAGAAAAATAGTTAAGGTTAAGTAAGCTTCACAAAAAATATGTCAACCTTCATGTTAAATTTCCTTAGTTCTATGATGTGTTTGAGGAATAAGAAAATACTTCAGACATTTAGGCAACATTTTAGTTAATCAATGAAAGTGCTGACTATTTAGAGGGGTTAAAAACAGTGCTGCTAAAATAGGTTGATGGTCAACTCACTGTTTCTTCTGGTTAGCGCTCAGCACTCTGGTGGGAAGGTGATTGTGGTACTCCTTAACTTGGTGGGGAAGGATATGGCGGGTCCCATACTCTGTGTGAGCAGGACAGGGGCCTGTTCTTGGCGTTTCTGTTTATGTAACTTGATACCGTGGGTATTTTATCTTGGTCTGTCATAGAGGCAGGGTGGCTGGTGACGCCAGGGTCCCACAGGCCAGGCCAGCGTGCTGGCCCCCTCTGCCGGCACTCCCAAGGAAATCTTTGAGAACTTGCTTGAATATGTAGACTATTTCCCAGGGAAGGACATCATTTTCTGCCAGAAGTTCTCGAAATCTAAGGGTGCAGGGATGAATGTTTAGAAATTTCTTTCTGTACCCCACCTCCCAAATGCAGCTTACATCATGTAATCGTGTACTAGGTAGGCACTTACTTTGTGAGTAACCAGAAAAGCTTTGTAGTTAAAGGTTCCAGTGAAGAAACTGATGGTAACTGAACTAATTTCTACCAGTGAGCTATCTGGCGGTGTGTATGGTTTTCACAGGTGGGACCGAGCAGCCCGCCCCGCCCCCCCCCCCCAAGATGAGGGTAGGCTGTTACCCTGCTGAGAATGTCTGACATGGTCACGCTTGGGAGCAAAGAACGTCAAGCTGTCTGTGTTCAGGGGCTGGGATGGCCACATGAGGGCCTCTCAGGCAGCTGTAGTTGATGCCTGATCTCTGCTCTCTCTGTTCACTCCCAGTCTCTGGTATTAATCTCTCACGCTCCTTTAGATGCCATTTTAATTCCTGAAGCAAGGTTGTTGTCGCTACATGCGAGCCAGGATAGTGTGCTTGCTTGTAGGGATCGGGTTTTGGCCATTTCATCCAGCTGAAAAGTGGCATTTTTTAGGCTGTGGAGACAGTAAATGTTTACTTGCACACATTTTAAAATGGTTTTTATGAGTGAATGTTTTTTATTTAATATTGCCAGAAAAAATTCATGAATCTTTCACTGGTTAGACTTGCAGTCACAATAAGATTAGAACGTGGATTAAAGTCTTACAGTTTCTAACTAGGTAAGTGCTAAAACCCAGGGTTTGAAGATACTTAGATATAACTATGCAGAAATAAAATAAAACCAAAGATAATAATACAAAGTGAACAATTTCTGAAAATAACACTTGTTATTAGAAGTTCTTGGGGGCTTTAAAATATCAGAGTCTTGAAAAGTGCTGTCTACAAACCCACTTTTGGCTACTCTGTACAGAAGCTGTAAAGCTTACCTGCCGAGGAGCAGGTGAACTGTGGGGACGGAGACGCTGTGGCTTTGCTTTGCTGGGATTGGGTTGAAGCCACACTTGACTCAGGCGGGTCACTTGACTCGCTCTCTTGCACGTCTTCCAGGGAAGGAACACGTCTCCTCATTTACCCACTGGAACTGCTTGAAACAAACAACTTTCCATGTTAAGAACGAAGTTCTGTTGTCTCATTAGAGAGAATGCTCACTAATTCACCCTGTAACTAAGCTGAAAGAAATATAAATATCTTTCATCTTCACAAATTCCATTAAAATGTCTACCTTTTGAAAGTAGCTTATTTTGTTTGTGAAAGATGACGGTAGCTGTGGTTGCTGCTCTCAAATACACGCCGCAGTGTCTCTAGAAACGGAATGCCAAGCAGGTGTGTGAGGCACGACAGATGCTCTCCCAGCTGAGGCGAAGACTGCCACAGGATGTGCTGCTCTGCCGTGCGAGCGTAGCTGCGGGTCACAGCTCCATGCTGTATTTTTATGCCTGTAGAGCTCTAAAAATAGCCACGCTGCTCTTACTCTTCAGCTTAACTTTCAGGCCATTGGAAGCCAGGTCACTGTCCCTTCTAATGAAAGCAGGAAAAACAGATCAGACTTGACTGAGTGCAAGACACACACTGTATGAAAGCTTATTGTACCTAAAGTGAGCAAAGCATGCAACATCAGTCCTGTGTGGGATGCTTAGCAGATGTCACTTTCTACCTTCATGCATTGCTTATAAAATAACAAATCTGTGAAGTTGAAATGCTAGAGCACACTAAGGCACCTCCTGGGTAGATAAATGTAGTGTGTGTTTGATAATCTCTGTCTTCATGGTGGTAAGACCGTGTTGCGTTATCAGTGAAAGCAGAGATATGAAAATGCACAAACTTCAGAATAGAACTATACAAGGTAGGGTGTGGCTTCGTGGGTAGAGTGCTTGATTGGCAGGTGTGAACCAAGAGCCATCCCTAGCAGCACTTAAAATTGGGTGGTAGTATTGCATGCCAGCAACCTCAGGCGTGGGCTGTGGAGGAAGGGCATCAGATATTGAAGGTCGTCATGGCTGTATATAGAGTTCAAGTCTCAGCTGCAGACAAAGCATTGATAGCCACCGCTTAACTGAACACCGGTGCACTGTGGGCTTTTTTGGGCCCTTTTCTATTTAGGTGATTGTCTTGTGAAACAGAGGCTAGACTATAAAAGGTCTTCGCTTCTTAGCTTTCAAGTGATGACATTGTAGCCTTTCCTTTTATAATCTTTATTTCTAATGTTGTTTTTCTTCCCAATGAGCCAAGAATAACAGACATTGTTCACATCTGACCTGTATGACATGTGTGATCAAGAGTGACATGTGTGGCCATGCTACAGTTCCTATTATGTCTGAAAAAGGCCAGACGTCAGGATTCATTATCCTCAAGGAGGAGGCTTTCACATTACATTGCCTGTAATAGCCGGAGAGGGAAGAGGGTGAAGTTTATGGTGGCAGTCTGTCCTTCCAAATTGAAAACTAAGATTGTACCAAATCATGCAACTTAGGAACTCTGCTGTTCTTGAGAACTTTGGAGGTTCTAGCAGGGAGCGCAGCTACCCTTGACTGAAGACGGTCCTCTCTATCCGGGGAAGGTTGTCCTCTTCCACCGAGCATGCAGCTTCGGGAGGGACGCACATGGAGCAGCGAGGGAGGAAGGGGACATCCGCCTAGCCAGCCGGATCAGCTGACTCAACCGTGGTGATCAGTGGGTGACATGATGCAGCCAGGTCGCCCTCACATCCGAAACTTGGTTTTTCTGTACAAGTGTCCTCCCTCTGAAGTTCAGGTGACAAACACAAACCATTGGAAAGGACAAACCTGAGTGCTACCCTTTCAGTCCTACGACACTGCCCCCGCCCAGCTTTCCCATTGGTCCTCTCCAGTGCCAAGAACACCTGTCCTACACTGCAGTCTGGTTTGGTCTGGTTTGGTTTTGAGGCAGTCTCTCTCACTATGTAGCACTGGCTGTTCTGGAACTCTCTCTGTAGATCAGGCTGGTGTCAGACTCTTAGAGACCCACCTGCCTCTGCCTCCTTAGTGCTGGGATTAAAGGTTCGGATCACCACACTACCCCCCAGATTTAGCTACACTGACTTCTTAAATGCTTATTCTTTCTCTATTTGTATTTGTTTTAATTTTTAATTGCTGTCCAATTCTGTGTTTTAGCTCATTCACTTTTGTTCTTCAACATTTTTCCTTGGTCTACTCTTTGAACTTGTTCTAGTTTTCTCTTTTCCTCTCAGTTTTTAAATGTTTTCTGCTGAAATTCTGTCACGTGTCCTGTATTTACTGGTGTTCCGTTGCTCAGCTGATGCTTACTGATGTATCTGCGGTCTGGAGGGTTAGGACCTGGGATGACTCAGTTCCCTAGATGGGGTTGCCCTTCCAAGGGAAAGATCAATGCAAATGAGTGAAGTCATCATACATTGTCTGTGTTAACCTTCTTGCAGTGACCGCTCACTTAGATGGGGGTCAGGGAAGGACTTTCTGACTGAGATAATTTTAAGCTTTTATTTATTTAAGATTTATTTTCATTGTATGTGCATTGGTATCTCCCTTTTATGTGTGAGGGTGTCAGATCTCTTGGAACTGAAGTTACAGACAGTTGTGAGCTACCGTGTAGGTGCTGGGAATTGAACGTGGGTCCTCTGGAAGAGCAGCCAGTGCTCTTAGCTAACAGACCATCTCTCCATCCCAGGGGATAATTCTTTTGACCAGGGATGTATATGTTGATTCTTGAAACAGGGTCTCATTGTGTAGCCTAAGCTGACCTCAGATTCACTGTACTCCCGCCTCTTAAGTGGATTCTGGCGTAAGCCACAATACCTGGTTTTTGAGCAGAGACTTGTTGAGGGCCATCTCTCTTCTTTGCTTGGCTTATTGGGCGTCTGTCCAGACATGCTCATGTGTGCCAGCACGGAACTTTAGCATCTCCTCAGTTCTCGAGGACTTGTCCCTCTGCACTTTACACCACGCATTTCTGGTGGGTGTTGCTGTATTGTCTTCATTTTTCTCCTTTCTCATGGAGCTGTTAGGACTGATGCAGAGGCCAAATGCCAGTCTTGGTCATATCTCTCTTACTGCCATGTAAAGAGCAGACTTGGTTTATCGGGGTAAAAGCAGATTCACATAGCATTTATCAGCTACGGTCTAAGTTCACAAATGGGCCACTTCTTACTCAGGGTAAAAACAGATTGGAGTAGTTTCAGCTGCAGTCTAAGTTCACAAGTGGGTGCTTCCTGTGCATCAGAACCTAATTAAGCTATTTAGTATGGAAGATATGAAACAGTCGGGTCATTTTGTGTTTGATGGTTGTCTTGTTTTTCCCTGTTCATTTTATGTGGATGAATGATTGCCTGCTTGTTTGTCTGTGCACACATGTGCAGTGCCTGCAGAGGCCAGAAGAGGTCATGAGACCTTGTGGAACGGGAGTTAGAAAGGCTGAGAGCCACTTTGTGGGTTCTGGGAATGAAGAGCAGCCACTGCTGTTAACTGCTGAGCTGCCTCTCCAGCTCCAGTTCCCTCTGTTTTTCTAGGCTCCATCTGATTAAGTAGACTTCAGTGACTCGAAATGGTTCATATTGTTCATAATACATGTGTCTGTACAACTCTTAAGTTGTATGACAAAGAACATAAAGAGATAAGTCTAGAAAGAGAATCCAGGAACCTTGAAAGGCTGGCTAAGGAGCAAGGGATAACTTTCTCAGCATTGCTATCCAGGCCACCGGATATGTTTTTAATAGCATTAGTTTGCAATTATAGATAGATTTATTTTGTCGTGGGAAATTTCATATTTTTTTCTGTTTTAATTCTTTTGCTGTGAAGTTAAATCAGGGTTAATGGTTCATTTTATTAAAGTTAAAAAATCATATTTCTAAGAGCTTGTTTAAACATTAAAAATACTTGACAAATACAAGGATAAACTGTTGATATGATAAATGCCCCTATGAAGAGTCCTCTGCTGACTGGCAAAGTAAGGACCCCCATTTTACCACTTGTGTTCAGTATGCAACCAGGGAAGGAAAATCAGAAGCGTTGTCAGTGCCAAGATGGCGTCAGTGGTTAGACTCAACAAAACGGAGTCAGGGTGTTGTGCAGGGGGATGAAGCAATCGCAGCTGAAGAGAGCCCTTACAGGCGTCCCCAGGAGAGCGCTACCTATAGCGGCTCTTGCTAGGTCTTTCCAACACTGTTGTTCACGGGTCTCCGTCGATTCACTCAGTAGTGATGATAAGGTGTGGTGGGCTGTGGTGGGCGGACCATACCTGAGCAGTGAGGGTGAGTCCAGCAGTCAATGCTTCACGGATGCCCTAAGTTCTCCCAGCCAAAGCATCAGTGAGGGTCAAGATGTGAATGGTGAATTGGGAGGAAGGGGGTGATTGGTGTTCCCCGCTACTCTGTCCTACCCTGAGACTTGAGCTCCCATGCCTGGCCCTTGTGCTGGGGTGAGTTTGGTTGGAGATGGGGAATCGTGGTGTGGCGTGCTTTGTGGTTTGGCGGTATTCTCACCGTGGTGGTCAGCTCGCTGCTGCTTGTGTCGCAGCCCTCAGTCTTGCCGGGTGCTCTGGCCGCGCTAGGGTGCCTCCCTCGTCTACCCACAGTGCATGCTGCTCAGCGGGTCCTGTCCCCAGTGCTCTCTGCTGTTGCCTGGGCTGCTCTGTCTCAGGGCTGCGATCTGGAAGTGGCCTCCCTCCCGGCTCCTGCTGTCCTGACTCCCCTTGTCACCCTGCAGTAGAGCTCAGGTGTTGTCCTCCTTTTCTCTCTGACAAAACAGTGGTGCTCAGGCCAGCGACTTCTTCTGCCTCACCTCGGTCCCAGCTCCTCCCTCAGGAAGCCCCAGGCAACTCTGGGACCTCAGGGCCAGTTTTGGCCTGCTTCCCCCCACATGCCTAACTTGCTAATGTCCCTCTCTCAGGCCTTTCTCCAAACGTCACCCATGGCCTTGGCTATCGGTGTAGCCCTCCCGTGCCCTCTCTGTTCTGACATCGTTCCCATGCTCCTTATCAATGTACTTTACCTCACTCATTAAATTAAAAACGGGGGAAAGATGGAAAAGTTCACATGTGTGTATTTGGGGGTTTTGCTTGTATGTGTGTCTTGTCTGTGTACCAGTTCCATGCCTTGTGCCTGTGGAGGCCATAAAAGGCGGTCAGATCCCACGGAGCTGGAGTGATGGATGGTTGTGGGCCACCATGTGGTGGGTGCTGGGAACTGAAGCCAGCTGCTCTGGAAGAGCAGCCAGGCCTCCTAACTGCTGCATCCATCCCTGCGCTCCACACTTGTCGTGGTTCTAACACCTCTATTTGACATTAAAATGGTTTACATGGCTTTCGCCATGGCTTCCATAAAACTATTCAGGAACTCCCTCGGGCGTAGGAGTTTGGTGACGTTTGTTTGTTTGTTTGTTTTTACTGTTCTCTGCAGGTCACTCAGCCAGAGGAGCTCAGAAATGGAATACATTAACAAATACAGACAACTTGAAGCACAGGAACTTGATATGTATGGCCGGGATCAACCCCCCAGTGAGCCAGGTAGGCAGGTCCTTCAACATCTTATGTAGGATGCATGGATAATGCATGCAGTACAACATCGTCCCCCAAGAAATACAGGCTCTTGCTCAAAGCAAACAAAAACCTAACTTATGGCTTCTGAATTCAAGATTTTTTAGGGGGATGAGTGTATGGTATATTATAAGGTATTAATTCTTTTCTAACTTAAATATAGAGCCCAAATAACCTATTCTTTGGGAGATTAAACAGTGGTTCCCTTACCTATTAGTTGAGAATACTTAATGCTTCTCTTTAGCTGGGTGTGGTGGTGCTCACCTTCAGTCTTAGGACTTGTGAGGCTGAGTGAGGCAAATGGATCTCTTTTGACGTGGAGGGCACCCTGGTCTACAGATGGAGTTCCAGGCCAGCCAGCGCTACACAGTGAGGCTCCCATCTCTACAAGTAAACCAGTAAACTTAGGAAGGGGCTGGGAGATGGCTCAGTTGGTAAAGTGTCCTCTGCATAAGCATGAGGACCTGAGCCTGGATCAAAGCTTGGAGTGACCCCAGTGCTGGGTGAGCGGGGTGGGCGGATCTGTGCAGCCCACTGTCCAACAAATGCATGAGACCCCTGGCATAGATCTCTGGCCTCCTCATGCATGTGAACACTTGAACATGCGCACTCATGATCATATATGAACAGATACCACACACACATACAAAGACTGGATTTTTTAAATAGTAAACATTAAAACAGAATTTTAAAGAGTAGTAATATATAAAATAAAAAGTAAAAGATTTTTTATTTTTGAGACAGGTCTAACTGCTGGCCTGAAATTGACTGCGCAAGCCACTGTCTCAGATTGACAGTCCACCTGCCCCTGCCTCCTGAGTGTGGACTAAAGATGAGCTGGTGTGTGCCTGGTAAAAGATGGTTCTTAAACGCCCTTGGCAGCCACACTGGCAACAGTGTGGGCTAAGTTGCTCTGGCTGTTTTAATTATTAGTGCCGCGCCTGTTCTGGTTAAAGGCTCCTCTGAGAGCTTTGCCTTGCTGCCCACGTAGAGAAGCTCTGCCTTCTGCTCCTGCCCTGATTGCCTGTGCTCCCACTGAAGGATGTAACTGAGTTGTGGAAGCATTTCCCACTTCATTTTAGCCTTTGTAATAATTAGAACACAGTCTATACTGAGTAGCACTATATTAACCCCAACCGTGGAGCTTATATGAGCTTCTTGATAAAATACAGGTGTCCCGAGGTCCCCACAGCATGGTACATCGATCAGCTAGGCAAGTGGTAGGGAAGCAGAAACTGCAGGGTTCAGTTCTCTCTCAGCAGTTAAGTGGTTCACAAGGTCAGAGAAGTGGCCACAGTTACCTTTGAGGCAGACTGCCCTGCGGAGCAGCTCACAGTTGAGGTGACGGGGAAGGGGTTACATCTTCAGGAAACCTACATCTCATTATGTACAGTACAGTCCCATTTTATAGAACTCTTCCAGTTTCTCGGAAGTCTGGTTAGTGTGCTACTATTTTAAAGTTATGCTTGTGGTGATGCCCTTCAGCTAATCTTTCTGTGTAACTTAATGCTTTCTAAGCAAGCTTATTGGTAATCTTGTCTAAAGTTATTTTCCTTTTATTCTTCAAGGAGAAACTGAGGCAGGAACACAAGGAGCTAGTTATGTCCTGTCTCCCATTGAAAGCAGTGGAGAAGGAATGTGCCCAGCTTCCTGCTCGTTTCTGCTTCTCAGCTAGTTTTCTTCACTTAGGCAGTCAGGGCTAAGTCAACAATCAAACCCTTGACAGACATGCCCACAGCCAGCCTGATCTAGAGAGTCCCTCCTCAGGTGATCTGGGTTACGGCAGGTTGACAGTTAGAACTTCTGTCACAAATGTGGTCATCCCTGTTCATCGGGGAGGGGGTGATGCTCACAAACCCTCACAAGTCTGGTCTTGCTTGAGAGGAGAGGAGGTGGGCTCACACCTTCGCACGGTAGCTCGCGGTGTCCTTCCTGCCTTGTGGCTCTGCAGCAGTCACTTGACACTTGACTCCTGCACACAGGGTAAAGAAATAAAAACTGAGTGGGGTGGGGTGGAGGATCCACAGGAGGGACTCCTGATGTGGCCATTGCCTCCTGGGATTCTTGTGTGACTTCTTGCTGTGGTAGTAGTTGCAGGGAAATCCTGGTGTGGCTGTCTTGTGAGTAGTGTGGGATGGCATGCCTCCAATCACAGTGACCATTGGGTGGCCTTGCTGTGGAGGCTAAGGCATGCAGTCGAGGCAGAGGTACCCTGTTTAGAGGAACTTACTTAAGGGAGAAGTTACAATGGGAACCAGGCATCCAGAAAGCATCCTTCATGATGGCCTCTGATAGATTGGATACAATTAGGTTTTCATCTAATGGGGTGGCCAAACTTGAGGCTTCTGGGATGAAGGTGAAGGAAAATGGGAGTCCCCATTAGTGTTTTGAGAATAATTTGGGGTGGTATTTCAGGAATGATGGAGAGGAAGCAGTGTGGATCCAAGGAAACAGCTGAGGCACTGCCCTGGCGCAGGTGTGAGGCCCAGGCGTGAGGTCCAGGTGTGAGGCCCAGGTGTAAGGCCCAGGTGTGAACCGCCCTGGCCCAGGTGTGAGACCCTGTGTGTGAACTGCCCTGGCCCAGGTGTGAGGCCCTGTGTGTGAACTGCCCTAGCCCAGGTGTGAGGCCCAGGTGTGAACTTCTCTGGCCCAGGTGTGAGGCCCTGTGTGAACTGCCCTGGCCCAGGTGTGAGGCCCAGGCGTGAGGTCCAGATGTGAGGCCCAAGTGTAAGGCCCAGGTGTGAACTGCCCTGGCCCAGGTGTGAGGCCCTGTGTATGAACTGCCCTGGCCCAGGTGTGAGGCCCTGTGTGAACTGCCCTGGTACAGGTGTGAGGCTCAGGTGTGAACACCTGTATGATACATGGTGATTCCTATTTCAGTGTCTGTTTCTAGTGAAATCATGAAATCTTAGGATACTTATGCTTCTAGTTCAGGACCACAAGTTTCAACACAAATACCACGTTATATCCAGTTATGACACAACATAACACTGTCATAAAATTCCATTGATTTTGGTGTGGCATTAATGTTATTTCACTGTAAGTATGCAAAAACTTGTTTATATGTAGACATTCAAGGATACACATTGAGTTCCATATATTACTTCTTCACATTTAAAAGTAAGTAATCCCCACAGATGGAAACTGAGTAAGTAGGGGAGGTCTTTCATAGGGTGGGCCTGGCTTCACAAGGTAATGGCCATGTTTGGTTGTCCTGGATGGTATCTTTGGGTAGTCAACAAAAGCCACAAGGCTCTCTTGTTATTAATGTGGAGGTATTTTAAAAATATTCTATTTTCAGTGTGTGTCTCTGTGTGTCTGTTGTGTGAGCACATACACAGGCGTGCCAGTGAGCACATACATACACAGGAGTGAGCACATACACAGGTGTGCCGGTGAACACAGACAGATGCAGGCGTTCTGGCGTGCATGGACACCAGAGCTGTCAGGTCCTCCTGGAGCTGCAGGTGTAGGTGCTGTGAGTCACCGATGTGGACACTGGAAACCGAATTGGAGCTCTCTGCAAAAGCCGTGCTCACTCTTAACCACGGAGCTGCCTGTCTAGCTCAGTGTGGGGATGTTTTCACCGTTGGTGTTTAGCCATGGCTGCTGAGTCCCCTGGAACTGGAGGTACAGTTGTGAGCAGCATGTGGGTGCTGGGAATTGAACTCTGGAAGAGCAGTCAGTGCTCTTACCCTCGGAGCCATCTCTGCAGCCCCATGTGGGGATATTTTTAATGTCTGTTTCATACCCTATAGGCTTTTCTTGTGAGCCTGTAAGAGAGCGGCCACTGTGGAGTGCTGAGGAGGGGCCTGAGAAGGGAATGGGCCTCCTCTTTCAAGCTGAGCTCAGTTTGGATGTGAAACATTACCCCACCTTTTAGGGAAAACCATGTATTATTAATTATTTTGAAGATTTAACTTTCTAGTTAAGGTATATATCCAGTAATTCTGCTTACTTTTTTTTTGTATGACAGTATCTAGATTTTTTTTTTTGGAAGGGGGGATGTTTTTGTTTTTGGAGACCATCTTGCCATGTAACTAGCTAGCCTGAACTGACTATATAGATTTGGCTGGCCTCGAACTCACAGGGACACACTTGTCTCTGCCTCTGAGTGCTGGGATTAAAGGCATGTGTCACCAATCATATCCGGCAGGATAGTGTAAGAAACGCCATGTTGTCCATGTCAGCCAGTTGACGTTGACTTTAGCAGTGCAAGTCCATTCCTTAGGCCCTGTGAAGCCTCTGGGTCTCTGTTAGAGCTGAGATTTGTTTGATGCTGTGATGAGACAGGTAAATGAAAAGAGCCGTGGTTTTAATGGTTGTTACCCCCGCTTTGTGTAAAATATTTTAATAGCAGAATAAAGAACATGGGAAATGAGAACAGCATATTTTGAGGTTGTAGTATTTTCCTTCTACTTCTAGGCTTCAGTTTGTCACATGTAATTTGTTGGTTTTCCTTAAATTACCGTTGCTGTCTTTTTATTTTGTTTATACAAAGCCAGCAGCCACATTGCTGTGAACATTTCTGCTCTCTGGTTTCCTGTCCACCCTGAGGCACACCAGTGAGGGTTGGGGTTGATGTGTGTCAGGTCTCTGACCTAAAAGTGTCAGGTGGCATCTTGTGCTCCATGCAGAAGGGCTGAGGCTAGAGTGTGGCAAGGGCTTTTGTTTTGTTTTCCTTAAAAGTGTTCTGTCTTTAAGTAGCAACCTTCAAAATGATGTAGCCAAGTCCTGTAAGTCACCCGACACCCTTTTTGTGGTCTTAAAAGAATCCTCACCCTCTGTCCTTGAACAGTCCCTCACCCTCATTCCCACTCATTCCTGCCCCCTGCCCCCCACCCCCCACCCCCCCCACCCCATCCCCGGTCCGTCTTCACAGCTGCTTTGGCTTCTCCTTTCCTGACCACAGGAAAGCAGGGACAACTCAGTCTTAAAAGCTTGAGGACATGTGGGTCAGGTCATGTGGTGTCCCTGAGAAGCAGGGTCAGGACATGCTGGTGTCTCCAAGAGCGGGTGATACTTTCTAGCTTAGGATCTACCCGACTCTGAGGCCTCCGCCAGGCTGTAAGGATGGCAGGATTTGGTTATTCTCCTTATTTCTCAAATAAAATGGTTTAACATTAAAAAAAAAAGTTTCAGGGTAAGAGCAGTGTGTGGTAGCTCATGCCTGCAATCCCAGTATTCAGGGGACAGAAGCAGGAGAATGGGGTTCAAGGTCATCCTTAGCTGCATAGAGTTCAAAGCCAGTTTGGACTACATGAGTGACATCCAGTCTCAAAAAAAAAAAAAAAGCCAAAGAGCCAAAGCAATACCATAACACACACACACACACACACACACACACACACACACACACACACACACACACACACACACAGCTGGACTAGGGATAGCTCAGAGAGGCACTCTCCCAGGAAGGAACAGTTTGTCCTTGAGAGGTTGTAGCAGATGGATCTGCTGGCTGTGAAGTGAAAAACAGCCAGTCCACACTCAGGTCTGGACCCAGAGAAAGGGGAGCAGAGGTGTGTGGGAGGACCTGGGTTTGATCTTTAATGTTACCCCACAAATTTAAACACATGCCTATATATACAATAAGGGTTGGGGGACAAGGCCTGGGATTTGACCCCAGCACTACAAAATAAAATAATTTAGGTGGGGCGTTTGTGGCACCTAGCACTTGGGAGCCAGAGGCAGGCAGAACTCTGTGAGTTCAAGGCCAGCCTGGTCTACAGAGCTAGTTCCAGGACAGCTACACAGAGAAACCCTGTCTTAAAAAGCCAAAAACAAAACAAAACATTTAGTCACATGTTGTTAGACTAATTGTAAAAGAAAAACATGACCTCATATTTTTAAGTTGAGAGCAAGCTGGAGCTGTAGGTACAGGAAGGGTTAGAGGGAAGAGAGGGGCCATGGAGGGAGAGGGTTCTCAGGCAGGGTGATCTGGGGGAGGGACAGGAAGGCTGGGTGAGCACAGGGGCACAGTTTACAAGAGGACAGTAAATAGTTGGGACCAGTGAAGCGAATGAGCCCCTTTAACCACAGCCATAGCTTGTAAATTGTGTTTTTCATTTTGTAGCACGGAATGTATACTTCATCACTTGTGCAAACTACTAGAATCCCACATCAGTGAGCCACTATTGAGTCAGGTGTGGGGTGCTCTGTGTGTCAGATCTGTTAATTTAGGAGGCAGCGTAGACCAAGAGTGGACCCAATAAGGGGAGGGGCTGTTGGTCTGTGGAGAGAGAATATACTTTGTGTGTGTGTGTGTGTGTGTGTGTGTGTGTGTGTGAACCATAGACACAGGTTAGCTAGATCACTGACCTGTTTACTTTCTCTCTTTTCAGGTCTAAGGTCACCATTGGCTAAATTAAGCAATGTGGCATGTATCTCAGAGACAACTTATAAATATCCTGATTTGCCTATAAATCAGTGCAAAGAAGAGGTAAAGTTACTTTTTCCTAATGTGCTTTTACTTCTTGAATAAATGTCTGAAGCATGCACTCTTGGTATTGTGGGGGTGAGGGTGAGGGCTTAGAGTGCACAGGCCAAAAGGGAAGTCGGCGGTGGCGGTCACCGCGTAGGCCAGTGGGCCAGTCACCTCGCAGGCCACCCCCACAAGGTCACAGAGCCCAGGCCAGGCTCGTCCTGTGCACCTGCTGGCCTGTGATCTGTCACAGCAGTGTGTCTCCATGCCCCCTACCTGAAGCAGGTCTTGTGGAGAAGACACACACCCCAGCCTCTCACCTGCACCGGGGTTTCCTGTCTGGTGCTGTCTTCTCCTGCTTCCTGGTTGAGTTACTCAAACATGGACACGTGGTTTTGTTAATGGTGTGAACCACCTTCAGCAGTAGGATGCTTGGGTTTTGTGTAGTTATGTTATTAAGCATGGCTAAAAGTATATTTAAACTATTGCTAGTTATTTTAGTGAAAAAAGTTTTAGATAAATAGGAAATGTTCCAAATTTCATTTTTATTTTGCTAAAGTCTCAATATTGCTTTATGGAGTAGATATACTTTATTAATTTTAGATTCTGAAATTGAAACTACTCTGTACTTGCTGGCCATCACTGACTGTGAGAAAGGTGGTTAGGGTCTCAGGACACTGCTCATACATGTAAGGGAAAGTTCACAGTTCATCTGAAGAAGCCGAGCAGTGGTGGGCACACTGTTAATACCAGCACTCGGGAGGCAGAGTGAGGAGGCTCTGTGAGTTCAAGGCCAGCCTGGTCTACCCAGGTCAGCCAGGGCTACACGGTGAAACCCTGTATTGAAAAAAAAAAATTCATGCCAAGAACTTGAAAGTTTAAAGCTATGTGAGTATAGATTTTTTAAAAAGTAGAATATTACATTCAGTCTCTTTGTAAAATTTTAAAATAATAGACTTTAGACTTAGAGCCATAGAAATCAAGTTTGAAATCTTCATTTCTTTTTTGTTGGAGAAGAAATTGAGCTGCTGGTGGTAATGCACACCGTTAATCCCAGCATCTGGGAGGCAGAGGCAGGTGGATCTCTGAGTTTGAGGTCAGCCTGGTCTACAGAGTGAGTTCCAGGACAGCCAGGCCAGGGTTACGCACAGAAATCCTGTCGCCAGAACAAAACAAAAAGAAGAAGGAAAGACGAAGAGGAAAGGAGACTGCATTAGGGACTAGAGCGCTGCTTGCTTTGACCTGGCGCCACAGCGGTCAGCGGTTGTGCACTGCGGGCATAGTGTGGCCATGTTTCATGGCGGCCGCCTACCCACCACTCCGGTACTGGCGGTAGGGCTGGTTTTAAAGGTGGAAGCCATTTTCAGTCCTCTTGTTCTGTTCGTGGGGTCAGTACTTTATGTGGCTGCTACTCTGTGTCAATTGTGAAAGGTTTTCTTTTTTTCTTTCTAACTTACAGGTTATTTCTTTGATAGAAAGCAATTCTGTGGTGATCATCCACGGTGCCACGGGTAGCGGTAAGAGCACCCAGCTCCCACAGTACATCCTGGACCACTACACTCAGCGCTCTGCCTTCTGCAACATAGTGGTCACGCAGCCTCGGAAGATAGGGGCCAGCAGCATTGCTAGGTGGATCAGTAAGGAGCGCTCCTGGACCCTGGGTGGCTTGGTGGGCTATCAGGTGAGACACAGAGCAAGGCAACTTTCTCTTCTTGCTACTTTCTTTATCCTATGTAAGTGGATGTTGGAGTGTAACTATTTTCTACTGGAAATCAAAAGAGCAGGATTGTGGTATAATTAAAAACAGTGATAGTAAAATTCTTAAATAATTTTTAATCTTCCCCAGTTGAATAGGAGAGAAGGGAGAATTTTTAATATTTAATCTTTTTACTTAGACCTTTATATATAGTCTGTAAGGTCTTGTAACATGAAAATACTCCAGGTAGCAGCACCAGATAAGCCAACCCTGCCTAAAACAGAAGAAAATCAGTGTGAGAACCTGACTTTCATCTGGACCCTAAATATCTTCTGGAATGCAGTGACGTTTACTCCCTTCCTTAGGTAAAATGGATGTAACTTGTTTGGGTCGGTAAATGAGAGCCATTGAAGCCTGTGTTTCCTTTCCCTCTTTTCCTTCCTCAAATTTAGGTAGGGCTAGAGAAAATAGCAACAGAGGACACTAGGTTAATTTACATGACCACTGGAGTCCTGCTTCAGAAAATTGTGAGTGCCAAGAGTTTGATGGAATTCACACATGTCTTCATTGACGAGGTTAGTACACTCTGCTGCTTGTTGGGGCCCTTGTCCCCGAGCACAGTGTGGCTGTCACCCTGTGTCCTTGTAACAAGGGTCTTGTTCCCTTTGTGAATGAATCATCTGCTTTATCTTTGTTCTTTGTCTCTCAAAAATGTAGGTGCAATGTTGAGGACCCAGAAGAAGGATTGCCTTTTAGAGTAGAGCTGCATGGGCAGGTCACCCCAGGTCAGATAGCTCCATGGGCAGGTCACCCCAGGTCAGAGAGCTGCATGGGCAGGTCACCCCAGGTCAGACAGCTGCATGGGCAGGTCACCCCAGATCAGATAGCTCCATGGGCAGGTTACCCCAGATAAGACCCAGCACCTGCCTTTTATGGATGAGATCTTACTGGAGCATTTTTCCTTACTTGTTTTTGTGTGGTCTGAGGTGTCTTGGCCTGTGTCTCGCAGAGTGTAGCAGTTGCACTGGCTCACGCCCTGGTGGAGAGTGTTGTCCTCAGCCCACACATGGAGGCAGACTGTCTGTCTAATCAATCAAAGATGATAGTAGTTACAAAAGTTGGGCTGGGGGTGTGTCTCAGTGGCAGAGTGCTTACCTAGTTTATGGGAGGCCCTGAGTTTACCTCTAGCACTGTAGGAAACACTTCAATAAAGGCAAGGCATATTAATCTACTCTGAAAAAAAAAACTGTTATGAGAAAGTATTGTGGGCTCTGTTTTTGTGCCTGCTTTGTTTTTTTTTTTTTTTTTCTAACTTTAAAATCCGTATATGTATGTGTGCGCGCTCTGTTGGACCACATGCTCAGCTTTGGAAGTTGGTTTCTCCTACTGTGGGTTCTGAAGACTGAACTCAGGTCAGCAGGCTGGCACTTTTACCCACAAATTTGTATCGATTGGTTATTACTATTATTATTATCATTATCCACTTTTTGACAGGGGTCTTACTTTGTAGCCCAGGCTAGCCTGGAATTCATGATCCTCCTGCCTCAGCTTCCCCAGGCTTGGGATTACTGGCTTGTGTCACAACAAAGGCTTGTCTAAGTCCCTAATTATTATCTCCCTCAGCCTGAACTTTTTGGACTTGCCTCATTAGGACAGAATATTTAACTGATGTTCACCCTTCCTTCCTTCCTTTCCTTTTTTTTTTTTTTTTGTTGCATTGTCTTACTGTGTGACCCTGGCTGGCCTGGAACTTGCTGTGTAAACCAGGCTAGCCCTCAAATCATGGAGATTTGCCTCTCCTCAAATTAAGGGTGTGCACTACTGCAATGAGTGTACGTTTGACATTTATGTTTTCAACGAGGGTTTCAAGATATAAGATTTCTGTAAAATGATGCTGTCCTAAGGAACTTAACTCCTTTTCTAAAGGAATTGGGAAGATGCGAGTGGGCTGTGAAGACTAGCAAGTCCTGGTTCCTCTTCTAAGGCCTCACAGGTCCCAGGAGGCTCATGTCTGCTGACCTGCGTATTCGTGTTCAGGAGCTGCCTGTGGGGCCAGAAAGGATGTGGGTATGGGGGCAGTGGGCTGTCAGTCCTACAGGCAGAAGGTTAGGAAGAGCTGGCCTGGAGGACCAGAGAAGGTGGGTTCAAGTACAGAGCGAAGGCTGCAGAGTTGTTATTTTTGTGTGAGACAAGGTCTCACACAGCCTCTGCTGTCCTCTTGCCTCTCAAACACTAGGGTCACAGATGTGGTCATTATGGTTGGCTGAGGTCGTATTCTTTAGGGGTGGGACCTAGTGGTTGCATAATCACCTCGGGGGCCCTTTATTGGGAGTAGCCTTGATTTTTCTAAGTAAGGAAGGTGAGGCTTGTGTTGAGGTGTTCTGGAGTTGGGATAGGGTGACATCTTGTGTCGAGGAGTTCTGGAGTTGGGATAGGGTGACATCTTACCTTGTGTTGAGGGGCTCTGGAGTTGGGATAGGGTGACACATCTTACCTTGTGTTGAGGTGTTCTGGACTTGGGATAGGGTGACATCTTACCTTGTGTTGAGGGGCTCTGGAGTTGGGATAGGGTGACATCTTACCTTGTGTTGAGGGGCTCTGGAGTTGGGATAGGGTGACATCTTACCTTGTGTTGAGGGGTTCTGGAGTTGGGATAGGGTGACACATCTTACCTTGTGTTGAGGGGCTCTGGAGTTGGGATAGGGTGACATCTTACCTTGTGTTGAGGAGTTCTGGAGTTGGGGATAGGGTGACGTATCTTACTCATGATGTTTTACGGCATGATGCAAGGATTTCCAGCCATTGTCCTTGAACAGCAGACAGTGTCCAGCTTTTGCCTTCTGCCATTTGCCTCCTGGATTTCTGCTCAGTAGGAAGTGAGGCTCAAGACAGCAGGGCCAAGAGGGATTGCTGTGGAACGAAGCCTTGTCCATCCTTGAGAGTTCATGGCTACTTTTCTCCAGTTGCAGGGAGATAGCTGGATATAATGGTGTCCTTATGTGTGCTCATATATCCTGTCCTAATTGGCTTCTTTTGGAAAAAGGCCCCTTGTCCCTGCTGCCTCAGTCGGGGCAGGATGGGCTGGGCGGGTCCCTGTGTGCCTATGTGCGGGTCTCCATCTGAGTAGGACCGGGAGGCGGCTGCTTCTCCATGTGTACTTGTGGTCATGCTGAAGCTCTCCCTGCTTGCCTCAGACTCTGACCTTGCTTGCTACATTTACCATCTTCTGACCAGCCCATCTTTTCCAGGGCTAACCCTTCTCTGTCCTGTGAGCTTCAGCGCTTTTTATCATGGACGGTGACTTGCTGCTCCCCAGCCAGCATTGGGCTGGTACATACTCAACCCCACACTTGTTAGAGTAACAAATCATGGCAGAGAGGGATCAACAGGGACTGGGCAGGCAGGGTTCCGGGGCTCAACACTGCTCTACCCTAGTGCCAGTGGGTCCCAAAGAGAAATATTGAAGGTGACAGTGACCCATGTGCTAGCCTTTGGCTTCCTCTTAGGCAGGAAAGGAGTCAGTCCACTGACTTGAGAACCCTGGTTTAGCTGAAAGTCTCCCAGGGACTTGAAAGCCCCTCTTTACCTAACCTCTCCCATGAAGTGACAGCCTTCTTTTGTGTATCCCATTTTCAAGTGTGTGGTATGCATGCACACATGTATGTGTGCGTGTTGGCGTGTGTGTGCATGTGCATGGGCATGCTCATTCTTATGGAAGCTCAAGGTTGGTATCTGGATCGTGCTTGATCACTCTCCACCTGTTCATTGAGACAGGGTCTTTCAGTCAAGCCTGAGCTTGCCTATCTGAGGGCTGTCCTGTCCTGTCCACACCCCCTGATACTGGGGTTATAGACTCACTGTGTTTACCTGGTATTTACATTGGTTCTGGGGATCTCAGCCCTGACCCTCATGCTTTTGAAACACATTCTTAACCGCCAAGCCATATCCCCCGCCCTGACATGTGCCTTCCCGATGCCCTCGTGATCCTGTAGGTGCATGAACGAACAGAGGAGATGGATTTCCTGCTGCTGGTCGTCCGTAAGCTCCTGAGGACGAATTCACGTTTTGTGAAGGTAAATTTTAGATTTCATTTTGCTTCTCCAGTTTTAACAATTTGGTCCTATGCTGGTTGGTTTTTGACGTTATGATACAAATCTAGATATATTTTGCAAAGTGGCTCTTAACTGAGAGAATGCCTTTCTTTATAAGATTGTCCTGTAGGCGGTGATTTATGTGGAAGTGCCCCACCCACTGTGGGAGGTGCCATCCCTGAGCAAGGGTTTTGAATGATATAATCAGCAGGCCCAGTAAACCGAGTAAACCGAGGAGCAAGCCAGCAATGGGCACTCCCCCATGGCCTCTGCCTCCAGCCCTGCCCTGACTCCCCTCACTGAGAGACTGTGGCCAGAGCTATGAGCAGAAATCACACCCCTTCCCCCAGCTGCTCTGGGTCCTGGAGTTTGATCACAGCAATAAAAGCCCTAACTAAGACAGAGTCAGTCTGTTGGGATCTACTGTCAGATGCCCAGGGCACCTGCTGGGGTAACAGTGTAGAAGCTTTTGGTAATTATGTTGCAGTGAATTTTAACACTTTCCCAGGCCTTCAGAAAACTGTCTAGTATAGTGGACTGTAGTGGAGGGCTGGGTGTTAGCCTGCTGTGGGCTGGGGAAGCAGCACTTTGATGGTCTGAGTGGCCCGCTGGTCCCCGATTTACATGGAAGATGCTGCAGTTTGAGGGAGGACACACACTCACTGCTCTTCAGAGGCAGAAGTTGCGGAGGAATGGTAAATGCCTTTTTTTTTTTTTGAAAAAGAAGAATAAAGTGTAAGATGTCAGTTTGGCTAAAACAGTAAAGATTTAGAATAATCTTGTAATCTAAGCAAATCTAATCACGGATCATTCACAATCCATCCATGCTAACTAGAGGCACTCTGTAGAGCAGGCTGGCCTCGAACTCACAGAGCTCCTCCTGCCTCTGCCTCCCGAGTGCGGGGATTAAAGACATGCCCACCACACCTGGTGATGATTGTTTTGAAATTATGAAATGTGGCTTCCATGTATTCTTACTTGTCACCTGCAAGGTGGCCCTCAATGACTGTAGCTGATTGTGATAGGCTGTCATGTTGCTCTGGTGACTGTAGAGTGAGTAACCGACACTCTTCAGTTAGGAATCTGAAAGAGCGTTTGTGATAACTCAACAAATGAGATGGTGAGGAAGCTCTGATGCCATTTTAAGACCTGTTTTTGTTCAGACCAGGCTGTGGTGATGTGTAGTTTATGATCTAATGAGGCTTGCCTGGAGATCAGAATGCTACCCACAACCATAGAGGCCAGGCAGTGGTGGCACACACCCTTCATTCCAGCACTCAAGAGACGGGCAGGTGAATCTCTGTGAGTTCAAGGCCACCCATGGCTACATGATATTGAATCAGTCTAAAAAGAAACACAGCTCTCACAAAGGTGATCTCGGGGATCCCACACATTTAATCCTAGCACTAGAGAGGCATGTACGACAGGAGCTGGGTCATAGCTGGCAATTAGTTTCCAGCCATGTAAAGGACAGGAAGGAAATTCAGTTTCCAGCTCCACTGAGGATCATGGAGACATCCCAGTCTGAGGTAGAGGTAAGAGCTAGTAGTTGGCTGTTTCGCTTTTCTGATTTTTAGCTTGAACCCCAAAATCTATCTCTGGGTTTATATTATTTGTGCTACATGTTGGGATTTGTGTTACCCCAGGAAAATGATTTGATTAAATGTTTTTCATTCTCAGTGAGAGTTAAGAGTGACAGTTTATTTTTAAAAAATCTACCAATTTCAGAAATGGTGGAAGGAACTTGCATCTTTCCAATAAGTCTGTTGTTAGTTTCATAATTTATTTAAAAGAGAGTTGAGGTCTGAGGATTTGACTTTGTATTGGTATACTTGCCTAGTCTGCAGAAGGTCTGGGTTTAATTCCTAGTACCACAAAACAACAACAACACAAACAAGAAATGTATTCGAAGAACCATGTTTTCTAAACAGAGACCCGTATGTATATTTAGGTCAGGTAATCTGAAGTTGGGTGTTAGATGGCTTTGTGAATTTTTAAAGCTCCTTAGGAACTCATTCTTTCTCTTTTAATAAGAGCTGTGTTGTCAGAGTTGGAAAGGCAAGGGCAGAGCGCATGGGAGGAAGCCCTGTCCCTATGTGTGGCTTCCTCTGCACATGGCTGTAGGTTTCTGGCGCTGGCACCCGGACCAGGTGTGCTGGGCAGGACACTGGGGGGCCTGGGAGCATTTGTCTCTGATTTCCATGGTGCACCTATCAGAAGAGCCCGGAAGTTGGCTGGTCTGATGTTTTATCAATGTCTAGGCATTGCCACTGTGCCCTGAGTGCTCCTGGGGGATGATGACTCTTGTACTTTAAGTGGCTTCCTAAGCCATCCCTCTGTCTCAGACATACTTTTTCAAAATGAATTTCTGTCACTATGGTTTCTGATTTGTGTCTAATGTCAAAGGAAACAGGGTGTTGGCCCTGTGACATCTGGTAAGATTGACACTTAGGGACTGTCATTACTAGATCGAGCAGGTAGTTTCCACCAGCCAGAGGACCCTGGAGACCAAGGACGAGCAGATTCTTGGGACTGCTGGCACTTCCCCAGGACTCATTGGGTGTGCTGTGGATGCTGCTTTCCATCTGTGTGTTCTTGGGAAACCCATAGCTGCAGCTGGTCTCACGTTCCTGTCATCTGGCTCCTGGGGCTGGATTCTCTACCCTTCAGCTACAGCCAGAGTGTTCTAGATGTCCGTTTGGTTTTCTCTTACTTTCCTGCATCACACTACGCTGAAATTCATTTCTGAAAGTTGGTTTTATTATGAAGGCTTTCATTCTAATTAAGTGGCCGTAGTTCACCTTTGTTGGGAGTATACAATTTCCCGTTTTAATATTTAGAAGTTTTATTTATTTTTGTATATGATGTGTGGCATGTGTGGGGCATGCATGTGGCAGAGGACGACTTCCACCGTGGATTCCAGGGATGGGGCAGTTCTCATCAGAAAAAATACTTTCAAAGTAACAGTAAAGTCTTGAGCATCAAGATACTCTATTTAAAACTCAGTAGTTTCTGAATGGTGGGAGGCTGAGGGTGGGTCAGGGGTTCTGAGGTGGCTTGCATTGCTCATGGATGGGACTCTCTTCACTACAGGTGATCCTCATGTCTGCCACCATCAACTGCAAGGAGTTTGCAGACTACTTTGCTGTCCCCGTCCAGAACAAGATGAACCCTGCATATGTTTTTGAAGTGGAAGGCAAGCCCCACACTATTGAAGAGTATTACCTTAATGATTTGGGGCACATTTATCATAGTGGGGTATGTTGGGATGCATTGCTGCTTTTACAGGGAATGAACTTTAGTTTCTGACTATGAATTCCATTGCTAATTCTAGAAGGGTTGCTAGGCCCTTTTAGAACCTGTCAGAGCTGGCACATGGGAGGAAGGGGTGGAGAAAAATAAAGGAAGTAAACCACTGGACTTTTGCTGTAAGCTGTAGACACAGTAAATAGTCATGTCACACATCCTCATGAAAATTATTATGACTGGTTTCATACCTCATTGATGTTGAAAAATAAAACCTCAGACTTTAGTCATTATAAAATTGTAAATTCACTTGAGGATGGGCACATTGACTTAAGATAGAAGTCTACTTAAATGTACATCCCTGGTCTGGGGTGAGTGGAGTTGAACCTGGACTTGCACTGTGATGGTGGGGACACATTTTCTATAGAGGCTGTAGAGTTGCTTTCACATGTGTGGTATGTTCAGAGGTCGGAGAAGTCCAGGTATAAAGTAGAAGCAGACATGAAACACCTCCTCTCTCACCTCTGAGAGCGCCCAGTGAGAAAGTGTGTGCAGCTGGGTGAGACCCTGCACTCCATTCCCAGCTCATGAACAAAAGCCACAAGACTGAAAGCTGGCCTCACTCTGTCCCTTCCCCTCTGTCTGCCATCTGGCCTGCCTCCTGTGACACTGCTCTTGGAGAGCTCTCAGGGTCCTTCCTCACACGCTTGAGCCTACCAGACAAATGCAGCATCACTTCTTCCTTTGCAGAGGAGATGGTATACGCTCTGCACATAGTTTTTGCCTAGCTTTCCACGTCTGTTTATATCAGTAACTATTTTCTTTTCTCTCTCTTGGAGCTGCGTGCCCTTCCTCCGTGTAGGCTGCTCTTCACTAGCCCTTAACACGTCTGCCCTTGCTGCAGACATTGCCACAGTGCCGCGCCATGCTGCTGTGCGCCAGGGTAGCATGTCTGGTAGGGCACACTGTCTCCGCCTCAGCGTTATAGGCATTCTTGTACAGATGGTTCTGTGTGGCACGGGGGCTGTTCTTTTGTTTTGCTATTGCCTAGAAAACACAAACACGAGGCCCAGCGCCCCACGTGGAGTTCATTGTTAGAGGGGAGAGAAAGCTGGTGGCCACCCGGAAGCAGGAGAAAGGAGGAAGTGTGGAAGAGAGAGGATAGAAAGAGCAAGGGGGAGGGGCGCTTGGCGTGCTTGCTTTAAAAGGGAAACGTGTGTAACTGAGTCCCCAGCCAGGTAACTCGTGACATAGAGACGACATGGCCACGAGTGTCCCGCCCATCATCGGGCTGCTGGTTTCCAACAAGGGTACCCTCAGCACTGCAGGGTGCTTCTTTTTGTCCTTGACGAACTAGCTACAAGTAGCAGCCCTCTCCTTATCAAAACCAAAAATGTTCCTAGACAGTGACAAATGTCAAGTTGAGACCTCTGTGTGGATCTTGCCTTCCTGGAGTCTCTGAGCCTGGAGAGAGCTTGCAGTTTGATGGATGGAGCCCAGCTGCTTGGAGCAGGAGTTGAGCTAATGTTGAAGATAGTTGTAGTGTTGGAACAGTGAGCTCTACTAGGATGCGGTGCTGGCTGGGTTTCATCTGACATCACCATACAGAAGGCACACAGCCCGTCTTGCTCGATGTTGTTGTCAGTTGTGTTAGAGAGCATGGCTGGGGCTTGGGTGGCAGCTCCATTGCTGAAGGGTTGCTTCACAAACATGAGAACCTGAATTTGTCTCCAGAACCCATTTTTAAGAAGCTAAGCCTGGTGGTTTACTTCAGCACTAGCGAGTTGAGACAGGTGGGTCCCTAGGGATTCTTGGCCAGTCAGTTTAGTCATCTTAGTATGCTCCAGACCAATGATAAAAACCCATGCAGGAAAACAGGCAGATGGTGGGGTGTGGAGAGATGGTTCAGTGGTTAAGAGCACTGGCTGCTCTTCCAGAGGTTGTGAGTTCAATTCCCAGCAACCACATGGTGGCTCACAATCATCTATAGTGAGATGTGGTGTCCTCTGCTGGCCTGCAGGCATACACGAAGACAAAACAGTGTTTACATAGTAAATAAATATTTTTTTAAGAGGTGGATGGTGACTGAGGAATGACATTTGCAGATGTCCTCTGGCCTTCACATGACTGAGCACACATAAACATGTACATGCATGTATGCTCAGAAGCTAGCTGTATTTGATGTCTTATTAGAGAGATTAAAAATTTCGGGGGGAAGCTGGGCAGTAGTGGTGCATGCCTTTAATCCCAGCACTGGGGAGGCAGAGGCAGGCAGATCTCTGTGAGTTCGAGGTCTACAAAAACGACACAGAGAAATCTGTCTCAACCATAAACAGAATTGCAGGGATCAGGACCTGTCCCTGGGCTTGACCTGCCTTTTGGTTGGGTTGCTGGGTTGCCCCGAGCAGCCCTGATGTAGGGGGAGAGGAGCTTGGTCCTGCCTCTACTTGGCATGCCATGCTTTGTTGACTCCTATTGGAGGCCTGCTCCTTTCTGAACCGACAGGGAGGAGGAGTGCATGGGGGGTCAGAGGGGAGGCAGGGGGAGCAGAAGGGAGGTGGGGTGGGGTGAGGCGATAGGAGGAGAGGAGGGAGAGGAAACTGCAGTTGGGATGTAAAATAAACAGGAGCATTTAATTAATAATGCCCATGAGGCCAGGTATAGTGGCACATGCCTGCAGCCCTGTTCCTCTGGAGATAGTGGCAGCAGTGTTAGGAGTTCAAAGCCAGCCTAGGATACATAGCAAGTTGAAGGCCAGTCTGGGTCACATCAGACCCTGTCTTAAAACACCAGCAACAAGAACAACAGTTTAGAGGGCTTGGGTTTTAGAGCTCAGTGGAGTTGTTTGTGACTCAGTCACATGTTTTTTCTACATAGCTTGCCAATGGCAGGCTTCTAGGTGGGTTTGGTGTCACTGTTGGGGTTTGTGGAACATGTACCTTTTCCCTATTTCTGTTTCAAATAGTTGCGTTGAAATATTGGTCACCGTTAGGGTAGAAAATTAAGGCGTGTCAGCGATGAATGTATTAGATGTGCTCCATTCTCAAATGAAAGTAAGCTTTTCATAATCAAGTTACTGGAATCGTAGTAATGTTGGGAAATGGACATTCGCTATAATGTTTCTATACATTATGACTAGCTCTGACCACCTAAAGACTCGAGTCCTTCCTGTGTGTCTGTCACAACTCATGAGTGCTTGTAGACAGTTGATCCAGTTATTAAACAAAATGTTCATACCCTTGCTGGAAAACAAAGGACATAAAACAGGCTCTGTGTAAGCGGTGCTGTAGCTGTTGTGTGGGACATTGGAGATCTCTGCACATAGACAGTCCTTCCAGCCTGGCCAGTGGTGGTTGTGTTCTGCAGAGGGTCCCAGGGGCAACTCTACCGCATTAGGCTGGAGTTGAGTCTGCTTTGGTGTCAGGTGGTGTCACCCTTAGGGCACACTGGGAGGCAGGTGTGGTAGTTGCTGTGTGTAGATGTTGTGATGTCGGGGCTCTTAGAGGTGGGAATTGATGCCCTGGAAGGGCGCTGATTGCGGGATAGGAAACAACTCCTATTCCCCGGGCCTTTGATGTAGCTATCCTGCGCCTTACACTAAGTTGCCACGGACTTTTAACACCGTACATCTCCAGTACCCCAGGCCGCCCTTGCCACGGCGCCCTTGCCACCGCACGCCTTCATGGTTGACTGCAGTTGGCATTATTAGTGTTGTTAATTACTATGTTTTTAGAGAGCACACACCTAAACCAGCACTTTTCCTGCAGTTCTATGTAGATGTTCTCTTGTTTTTTATTCTTTCCAGCTTCCCCCCTACCGTTTGGAGGAGCCAGTGATAACAAAGGATGTCTATGAAGTTGCTGTCTCTCTCATTCAGATGTTTGATGACCTGGACATGAGGGAGAGTGGGTAAGAGCCCCTCCAGCTACACGTTCCGTGCATTTACCATACACGTTTATACAGTAGTGAGATAATAGCTGTAGACACTTGGGCGTGTTTTTAGACAGGCTTGCTACACAACAGAGTGTGGCCATCCTTCTCTCAGGCGCTTGGATTGTGGGCGTGAAGACACCCAGCAGTAGGAACCTTTCAGCTGTCAGCAGTGACTGCTAGAGTCAAAGCCGTGCTGGGTGCAGCTCTGGGGCCTTTTCTTTTTATGCTAGCATTGGAGCCAGAAAGTGGCATGATGACTTTCCCAGACACAGGACTCACATGGCTGCCTCTGTTCTCTTTGTCCTGAGATATTTCCTGACACCCAGCAGGCAATGCAGGCGATCATTCTTCTAGCTTTTGTTTAAAAAGCAAAAAAAAAAAAAAAAAAAAAAAGGAGACTTTTTCCTTTGAGGACAGTTTAGGTTTTAGGTTCTAAGTACTGGTTTGAGTCTGTAATTTAAAAATACTGTGTTATTGAAGCTCTGTGGTTGTAATTTTATTGCACCACATAAATAGCACTTATTACTTTAGAAACAAGGAATGGTAATGAATATTCTCCCTCCCTTAGTAACCAGCTAGCGTTGCTGGGGTGACTTTTTCCTGTAGGCCTTAGGGTACCTGAATTAACCCTTGTTTATCAAATTTAAACCTCTTGTCTTGCTTTCGTTCTTCCCAGGTTATAGCCTTCAAGAGCTTTGTTGGCAAATGCTCTTAGCTTTTATTTGATTTCAGTTTCATCCTTTGAAAGAATCTAAGTCAACAGATGAAACCCTTGAGCTGGGCAGACGGCTCGGTTGGCCAGGTGCATGGTCTGCAAGCGTGAGGGCCTGAGTCTGAGTCCGGAGCCTACAGGGAAACAAACACAATGGGCTTGGGGATGTGTGCTTGTAGTTCCAGCTGGGCAGGTGGAGGAGACAGCACTGGGTGGGTCTCAGTGGTCAGCCAGATTCGGGCCAGGGAGAGACGCTGTCTCAAAGCAGGTGGACAGGGTTCTTGAGGGTGACACTCAGAGTTGACGCTGACACTTTTCTGTCTCATCCCTCCAAAACCCCTCCCTCCCTTTCTGATTCCCTTCTTTCCTCCCCTCTTTCTCTTACCCTTCCCTTTCTCTCTCTCCCTACTTCTGCATGCACATATACCAACACATGTTCACGTATACACAAATGCATAAATTAAAAAATCTCATGTCTTTACTGTGAATAGCACATGCCCTGGCTCACATCCTTGATGTGTGTTCAGTGCTTTTAGGAGCAGGTTGGACTTCCAGCAGAAAGCTTGGAGCCAGAATTGTTTTCAGACCTCAGTGGCTGGACCCAGACACTCTAAACTCAAAAACGTTTCAAGGCTCAAGATCAAGTATCAGACTTTGGAGCATTTCAGATTTTGGATCTCCAGAGTAGAAATACTCATATGAAATTAAAAGTTATTAAATGCTCCTTATATTTTATTTTTCTGGTTTTCTATACACAGTAACATTGAGAAAAGAATTAACAGAAAGCATTTTTTTTTTTTTTAGTATTCTTTCCAAGTTTTGATGCTAATTTCATATAATCTACTGCCTTGTGTTGCTAGAGTGATAAAGCTTCTTTTTGTCTTCTTGTCCGCAGTAAGCATATCTTTTCACCATGGATAACCTTCAGGCACGTTCTTTGTCTTTGATGATCCATAGCCTCAGAGCAGGGAGTAGGTGTGGATTCCTTTGTGTTTCCTTTGCTGGCAACTGAACGGGCTCTCTGAGTCTCAACACTAGTATTGGAAGCCTGCCCAGCAGCCTTCTAGTGGCCTTAGCATCCTCTCGGCTTCTTTCTGAGCCCCTATTATATTTGCCATGATCTATTCTTTGTTCTATATTTCCTAAGATTGTTCCACAAGGACGAGTGTTCCTTTTTTTTAAAAGTCTGCTTCTTTCTCTCTTTTTCTTTGTGAGTTCAAGGTCAGCCTGGTCTACAGAGTGAGTTCCAGGACAGCCAGAGCTGCACAGAAAAACCCCATCTCACAATACAAACAAACAAAAAAACCAAAAGCCAAAATAAAGTTAAAGTGAACTTGGATTGTTCTTCCTTTCCATAGACATTTTCATGTGCACAATGAAATTGAGCAAGAGCATGCAGGGAGCTCCCATGGGCCACCTCGCTCCACAAACACAGCCTGTCCTAGTATCTGAGCCCTGCACCAGAGGTGTTTGTCCGTCACGTTGAGTTGAGCACACTGCCGCCGAGTCCTGCTTGCACTGGCTCAGCCCTGGTGCTGCGCAGTCTCTGTTTTGATAGCAGTGTGACCATGCATCTCCCATTACAGTGTCACACACAGCAGTCCAGCACCCAGGGCCCCTCTCCACCCTCTCCATTATTCTCCCCCATCTCCTGGACTGAGCTCTTTAGTTTTGCCTTTTCAGAACATCCGACAGTTGAAATGATATGGTTGGTAGCCTTTTTTCATTGACTTTTTTTACTTGGAAACATTTAAGGGACTGAAGAAGGGTCTTGCATAGGACCCAGGTTCAGTTCCAAGCACACACAGAGTGACTCACAATTACCTGTAACTATTGAACACACATGGTGCAATACATATACCCAGGCATGTACACACATACATTGAATAAATATTTAAGTAAAATCAGAAAAAAAATAATTTTAAAAGCATTTAAGATTTTTGCTTATTGTTTCATGGCTTGGTAGGCTAATTGTTGTTGTTTGAGGCAGCATCTCTCTGTGTAGCCCTGGCTGTCCTGAAACTCACTATGGTGACCAAATTGGCCTTGAACTCATCTGCCTTTGGCTCTGAAGTCTGGGATTAAAGGTATGCACTACCATGTCTAGCAGTAAGCCAACTGTTATTTTATGTAACTATAATGAGTTCCTTTTGTGTGTACGGTGAATGCACGTGCACTCCCCATGTGTACGAGGGGAGACGGAAGACTATGGGAATGGCTTCCTGGGCTGCTCTCTACCAGGTTTCGTATGTCTCTCACTGAACTTAGGCTCTCCACTTTAGCTAGATTGTCTGGTCGGCATGGCCCCAGCATGGCCCCAGGGTCCACTTGCCTGCTCTCCCCCATCTCCTTCCTGTCCCACTGAGCTGGGATTGTAGACAAAGCTGCCAACCCTACAGGGGATCTGGATTCAGGTCCTCCTTTACCTACCAAGCCATCTACTCAGCCCTGACTTTCTAATTGCTGAATAATATTCCATTGTTTATACAGACTACAGTTATTTATTTACCAAGTTACATCTTAGAGACTTGTCACTAAGTCCCAAACTATGACTAGAGCTGCTATGAAAAAACCTGGATGCAGGTTTATGTAGATGCAGACATCCGGTTCATCCGGGTAAATTACAAGGAACACTATTGTTGGTTTCTATGACAAGATCATGGTTCATTTGTAAGGTACCATTAACCCATCTTTCAGTGTAGCTACACCATGTTGCGTAACCACCACCAAGTGGCTGAGTTCTGTTTCTCTTCAGAAAGGAAGGACAGGCCTCCCATGGACAGTGCAGCCATGGCATACCAAGCTGCACTAAGACGAGGCAACCCCTGTCCTCTTAAGGCTGCATGAGGCAATCCAGTAGGAGGAAAGGGCCCCCAAAGCAGGTAACAGAGTCAGAGACAGCCCTGCTTCCACTGTTAGGAGCTCCACACGAGGACCAAGCTATGTAGCTGTTAGTATATACATCTGGCCTAGGTCAGTCCCATGCAGGCGTCTTGGTTGTTGGTTCTACTCTGTGAGCCCCTACCCTATGAGCACAGGGTAGGAATCTATGGGTTTCCTTGTGGTGCCCTTCACCCCTCTGGCTCCTACGATCCTTCATCTCCCTCTTCAGAGGATTCTCTGGGCTCTAATGTTTGTCTTTTGGCCATTTTTCTTTTCTTTTTTTAATTGAGTAATACATTTCCTCCCCACTCCCCTCTCTCCTTGCAAGCATCCCCCTACCCCTCACATTCCTAATTTACTCAGGAGATCTTGCCTTTTCCCCCCTTACAAGGCAGATTCATGTGTGTGTCTCTTAGGGTCGTCCTCTTTGTCACCTAGCTTCTCTGGGGTTGTGGCCTGTAGGCTGATTGTCCTTTGCTTTATGTCTAATACCCACTTATGAGTAAGTACATATTATATTTATCTTTCTGTGTCTGGGTTACCTCACTCAAAATGGCTTCTTCTAAATCCATTCATTTATCTGCAAATTTCAAAATGTCATTGTTTTATACTGCTAAGTAATACTCCATTGTGTAAATGTACCACATTTTCCTTATCCATTCTTCAGTTGAGGGTCATCTAGGTTGTTTCCAGGTTCTGGCTACTACAAATAATGCTGCTACGAATGTGGTTGAGCAAGTGTCCTTGTGGTGTGAGTGTGTATCCTTTGGGGATATGCCCAAGAGTGGGTTGCTATGTCTTGAGGTAGATTGATTCACAATTTTCTTGAGGAACTGCCATATTGATTTCCAAAGTGACTCTACAAGTTGGCACTCCCACCAGCAGTGGAAGAGTGTTCCCTTACTCCACATCCTCTCCAGCATAAGCTGTCATCAGAGTTTTTGATCTTGGCCATTCTGACAGTTGTAAGATGGAATCTCAGAGTGGTTCTTATTCACATTTCTCTAATGACTTAACGATGTTGAGCATTTTCTTAAGTGTCTTTTGGCCATTTGAGATTCCTCTGTTGATAGTTCTCTGTTTAGAGCTATACCCATTTCTTATTGGCTTATTTGGTCTTTTGACTTCAAGTTTTCTTGAGTTCTTTGTATATTTTGGAGATTAGCCCTCTGTCAGATGTGGGGTTGGTAAAGATCTTTTCCCATTCTGTAGGAAGTTGTTTTGTCTCATTGGCCATGTCCTTTGCTCTATGGAAGCTTCTCAGTTTCGGTAGGTCCCATTTCTTCATTGTTGCTCTCAGTGCTGTGCTGTTGGAGTTACATTCAGGAAGCGGTCTCCTGAGCCAATGACTTCAAGGGTACCTCCCACCTTCTCTTCTCTGAGGTTCAATGAGGTTGTGGTTTTATGCTGAGGTCTTTGATCCATTTGGACTTGTTTTGTGCATGCTGATAGGTACATATCTATGTTCTTCTACATGTTGACATCCAATTATGCCATCATCATTTGTTGAAAATGATTTTTTATTTCCACTTTATAATTTTACTTTGTCAAAAATTAGGTGTTTATAGGGGTATAGATTGATATCTGTGTCTTGAATTCAATTACATTGGTCCACCTGTCTATTTTTGTGCCAATACCAAGCTGTTTTCATTACTGTAGCTCTATAGTAGAGTATGAAGTCGAGGATGGTGATGTCTCCAGAAGTTCCTTTATTGTACAGGGTTGTTTTGGCTATAGTGGGTGTTTTGCTTTTCCATATAAAGTTGAGTATTGTCCTTTCAAGGCCTGTGAAAATTTTTGCTGGTTTTTAACGTTGAATCTGTGGATTGCTTTTGGTTGTTTTTTTTTATTATGTTAATTCTACCTATCTAAAAGCAAGGAAGTTCTTTCAGTTTCTTTCTTTAAAGACTACTTGTTTGGTTAGCATTACCCCAAGATAGTTTATGTTATTTGTGGCTATTGTAAGGGTATTGTTTCTCTCATTTTTTTTCCTTAGCCCATTTTCGGTATATAGGAGGGCTGCTGATTTTTTTTTTTTTAAGTCAATCGTGTATCCTGCTATATTACTGAAGGTGTTTATCAGTTGTAGTAGTTCCCTAGTAGAATTTTTTGGGTCACATATGTGTAATATCATATCATCACCAAATAGTAAAAGTTTGACTTCTCCATTTTGTATCTTCTTTAGTTGTCTTACTGCTCTGGCTAGGACTTCAGTAGATATGGAGAGAGTAGACAGCCTTATCTTGTTCCTGATTTTAATGGGATCTCTCCATTTCGTTTGATATTGGTTGTTGGCTTGCTGTATATTGCCTTCATTATGTTTAGGTATGTTCCTTGTATCTGTGCTCTCTCCAAGACCTTTATCATGAAGGGATGTTGGATTTTGTTTAAGGCTTTTTCAGCATCTAATGAGATGAGTTTTTTGTTTCAGTTTGTTTATACGATAGATTACATTGATGTATTTTCATGTGTTGAACCAATTCTGCATCTCTGAGTTCATGAAGCCTACATAGTCATGGTGGATGATTTGTGTGTGTGTGTGTGTGTGTGTGTGTGTGTGTGTGTGTGTGTGTTTTCTTGGATTTGGTTTGCCAGTATTTTGTTGAGTATTTTCGCATCAGTGTTCATAAGGGAGATTGGTCTGTAGTTCTCTTAGTTGTGTTTTTGTGTGGCTTGGGTATCAGGGTAACTGTAGCCTCATAAAAAGAGTTTGGCAATGTTCCTTCAATGTTCCATTGTGTGGAACAATTTGAGGAGTATTTGTGTTAGCTCTTCTTTCAAATTCTGGTAGAATTCTATGCTGACACCATCTGGTCATGGGCTCTTTTTGGTTGGGAGACTTTTGATGGCTGTTTCTAATTCCCTAGGGGTTATAGGTCTATTTAATTAGCCTGTTTTTCAATCCAATTATTTATCTGTTGGGCTTTTTTTTGTTTGTTTGTTTGTTTGAGAGGTATCACTAAACAACTCTGGTTGGCCTGGAACTTGATATGTAGACCAGGCTGGCCTAGAACTCACAGATCTGCCTGCCTTTGTCTTCCCAGTGCTGGGATTAAAGATAGATAGCTATATCTTTTTCAAGGACCTTACCATATATATACACATACATATACACGTGTGTGTGTATGCTGAGTTTGTGTTTTTTATGTATTTTGGGTAACAGTTCTTTATATCAGAAAAATACTGCAAATATTTTCTCATTTTGAGGCTTGTCTTCTTATTTTTAAAAGATTGATGGATTTTTGTTAAAGTATAAAGTTAATTTTAGTCTTTTTTTGTACGTGTGCTCCTAGTGAGTAGGAGCCATCTTGGGATGACTATGACATCCATGGGCTTGGCCACTCCATCCTGGGGCACTTGTTTGATGTCTTGCTTGTACTCCCAGGGGGTGTGGCTCCTGCAGTGAATTATGTAAGTGTGTCTTCAAAAAGGACACCAGGCTCTGGCTTCACACTTTGCCACGGATTTGTCAGTATGTGTAGGTATTTTCAATGATCAGAGCTGGAAATGAATGAGTGATTAGTCATGTGTACCTGAGTGTGTGTGTGTGTGTGTGTGTGTGTGTGTGTGTTGGGGGGCACATGTGTACATGTATGTGGAGGTACTTTAACAGTTGAGCCATCTCTCCAGCCCCAGCTTATAACCTTTTATCCTGTATTAGTTTTGTTTCTTTCCGTCTTATTTCCAAGTTACTTATTTCCTCTCTGTCTCTCTACTGGGGAGTAGGCTCCAGAGCAGTGTAGAACCTGTCTGTCTACTTACTTCTTGTCTGTCTCTCTAACTGGGGTGAGTGGGTCTAGGCTCCAGAGCAATGTAGGGCCCTTCTGTCTGTTACTGCTGTCCCTAGACTGCATAGAGGAAGGCAGGACTTACAGGTCTGTGGAGAAAGGAAAATTCTGTGGTTACCTGAGAGCTGCATGTATAAGCATACTTTGTAGTAATAATCTGGGCTTTAATAAAACTTGCTTATAGGGGGTTGGGGGGCATGGGAGGGAGGGAAGGAGAGGGAACAGGGATCGATATGTAAAATAAGAAAAAATAATATATATTAAAAAACAAAACAAATAAAGCTTGCTTATAATTATTCTAAAGTTTATATTTTGTTGTTCTGGATTATACTGTCTAAAGTTCCAGGAAAACTTTTGCAGATACTGTGTCTTACAGGCAAATGCAGTGGAAGCCAAGAGCCCTAGCTTATCTCCAGGCTGGCCTCTCTGCCATGTCTGTGAGAGCTCTTATGACGGAGCTGTAAGCATGGGGGTCTCACGGCAGGAGCTCTCCCAGCCTTGACTCAGACTTGTTCGCCTCACATTTTGACAGGAACAAGACCCAGTCGGGGGCCCAGTTCGTGTCGGAGCGGAGCAGCGTGCTGGTGTTTTTGCCAGGTGTGATTGTCATACTTTTGTGACTGGAATTTTAATACTCTGGACAGCACATGTTGTGAAAAATGGTGGTCATGCCTACCTGTTGTTAGACACCGGGAACATGAACAACTGTGACTCACTAACATTTGCGTTGCTGCGGAGTGCATAGCGGTAGTGAAGACTAACTTTTTTAAAGGCTGTCTTGCAGCTTCACAATTCCTGGTAAGATGCTGGCTGTGTTCAGAGCATCCCTCTGGGTGGTGAGGCGGTTGTCATCACCAGTGCTCTTAATGAGCAAAGCCTGAAGCGCCTGAGTCCTCAGCGATCTCAGTGATGTCGCAGTCCCTTTTCAGAGCTTCAGGAAATGGGCTCCTGCTGGACCCTTCTGGAAAGATGCATTGCATATAATGGTATCTCATCAAAATCACTTATGAAACTGATGAAATTATAACAGTAATTCACGTATTGGTTATTGAAAGGTAATATGCAGAACACATGAGTATTAGTGCAAGTAGTGATGGAAACAAGAACATACAAGAGAAACTTAATTTTGGAATGTAACATGTGAGTTTCTAATTCTTGTCACATTTTGTTTACTAAATAGACACATTTTATGTACAGAAGAACCATTAGGTGTATAGTTTGCATCTTTTATATATTGATCAAATGACTTCGATGTATACATACTAGGTAAGGAAAGAGTTATGTTGCTACTCAGTAATACCTAACATGAGGTCAACACTGCCCGAGGAAGACATTCACAGGTGACATTTTACCTTCCGGTGTGTGACTTTTTGTTCTGTGCTAATATAAATCCAAGTCTGGCATACTATGTGTTTACGTGTTCCATTAATTGACTTGTTTTCTAGCAGATCTGTTCTAGTTTTTCAGGACTGCTCTGACAAGGTATTGCATATTGGATGGTTTTAAGCAAAAGTGGTGTGTTTCCCTACTGTTATGGGGGAGTTAGGCATTCTATGAGAGGCTGTCGGCAGACACACTGCCGCTCGGGCACCAGGCTCCCCCCAGCCCCATGTGCTCACCAGGGTTAGAGCTGTCTGTCTTGAGGCGGGTGGGCGGTTCTCTGCTGCTGCCTGTGGCAGGGTCTCTTCTCCTCCTCTTCAGGCTAACAGTGCTGTTGGGTGGAGGCCTCAGACTACTCCACCAGACTCCATCACAGCTCATTTTCTGCGAAATGACCATTTCTAAATAAGGTCTCTCACTCCCAAGTTACTGGAGTTGGAATCTAAAATAATTTTTGAGATAGACAGTTGAAACTGTAAAAGACCGAAATATTGATAATTCAAAGAGGCAGAATGCATATGCAGGTGATATAAGTCAGTGGACATTTGTGAACTACTCAGAAGGATCAAAGCGTTTGAAGTATTATCACTAGTTTTATATGCTTGGGATCAAACCCAGTTGGCTGCTCATGTTAGACAGAACTTTGTCACTGAGTTACACTACAGTCCTTTTGTTTTTTGGAGACAGGATTTTTAATGTAGCCCTGGCTGGTCTGGAACTTGCCGTGTAGTTCAGTCTAGCTTTGAACTGGAGATTATCTTCTGCCTCTCAATTGCCATGTCTGGCTTAAAAAAATGTTTGATAGGAAGCATGTTGTATGCTCATTGGAGGAAATTTGGGAAACACAAGGGAAGAAAAGAAATTACCTATGTAGCAAACACTCATAAGTAGTCACTGCTCTGGCAAGGAAAACATTGAAAGAATGTATACACTTTAAATTATTACTTGTTAATGTCATGATGCATTTGTTTAGTTCTGGTACAAAGGACTAAAGAGTCAAATTGAGCTGGCAAGGTTCTTAAAGTTATCATTTTATCTTGAGATAAATCTAATAAAGGAACACTTGTTCAATGAAAATTTTAAGATGCCGAAGAAAGAAACTGAAGAACATAATAGATGATATAAAGACCTCCCCTGCCCAAGGATTGGTAGGATTAATATTGTGAAAATGGCCACCCTACTCAAAGCAATCTAGTAAATCCTCATCAAAATTTCAGTGTAGTTCTTCATGGAAATTGAAGAAATAATTTCAAAATTCATATGGAAACACTGAAAACATTGCCTTAGAGCTAGGTGTGGTGGCACACATCTTTAATCCCAGCACTTGGGAAGCAGAGGCAGGTGTATCTCTGTGAGTTCGAAGCCAGCCTGGTCTACAGAGCGAGTTCTAGGGCAGCCAGGGCTACACAGAGAATACTTGTCTTGAAAAACCAACAACAACAACAAAAAAAAAAAAAAAAACCTCCCATTGCTATAGAAAACATCATTCCTGATGTTCAGTTATGTTATAGAATCATACTAATAAAAACATCATATAAAAATGATACACTGAGGACCCACTTAGGAGCCCAACTCCTCCTGCCACCTGGATTTTGACAAGAAGGCAAACATGCACATTGGAGAGAAGACAGCATCATCACCAAATGGTGCTGGTCAAACTGGATATCACATGTAACAAATGAAACTAGATCTTATCTCACACCCTGTACAGAACTCCGTTCCAGTGGATCAAGGACTTCAGCATAATGTCCTGAGTCCCATAGAGAAGGCAGGGGATGCACAGACAGGCACAGGAAGGACTTTCTGAACAGGACCTCAGTGCTGCAGGCATTAAGGGGGACAGTGGCAAGTGGGCACCATTGTTCAAATGAAGACACAGCTTACAGGATGAAAAAAAAAAAAAAACACATTTGACCAAGGGTAGGATATATAAAGAACTCGGAAAATAAACCCCCACAAAAAAACCAACCCGCTTAAAACTGGGGGAAGGAAATAGGCAGAGCAATTCTCAAGACAATGGCTGAGAAACTTTTTAAAAATATTTATTTATTTATTATGTGTACACTCTTCTGCCTGCATGTACAGGCAAGAAGAGGGAACCAGAACGCATTAATATAGATGGTTGTGAGCCACCGTTTGGTTGCTGGGAAATGAATTCATGACCTCTGAGAGCAGCTAGTGCTCTAAACCTCTGAACCATCTCTCCAGCCCTGAGAAATGGAACTATCGCACGATCGACTGTAACGAGTATGGTTTTTCGTCTGCCGCCACCCGGTCTTGTCCTGCTGCCATGCCGCCAGCCCCAAATAATACACAGAGACTCTGTATTAGATATTATACTGTTGGCCAGTTACTAGTTTCTTATCGGCTAGCTCTGTCTTAATTATTAACCCATTTCTGCTGATCTATGTATTTTCACATGACCTTCTCTTACCGGGGAGGCAGCTGGCGTCCAGCTTTCTGCAAACTCTCCATCTTGACTCCTCCTTACTACTTCCTATTTCCTCCTTGTCTCCTAGTCCCTCCTATCTTCCTTTCCTATTGGCCAACAGTGCTTTATTATTAACCAGTATGAGAAACATACACAGAATGACATCTCCCATCAATCGACCTATAGTATTCCTTAGCATATACAAAGGACTCTATCATATTACAGAGATGTCTGTTCATCTGTGTTCATTGATGCTCTAGAACAGGAAGAAAGACACCCAGCAAGTGATGGGCCGTGAAAATGTGTCATATACACAGCGTGACACTATCCAACTGAAAGGACATTGAAGTCAGTAAACGTCCAGAGTAAATGGCAGCGCTGGAGATGAGCGTTCTTTGTGAGCTGACCACAGCCAGAAAGACGCACTGCAGCCCTCTCATGCGGGCGCCGTCTTTTTAGATATGTGTGCTTATTTTTGAGACAGGGTCGTACTCTGTAGACAGGCTGACCTTGAACTCATAGAGCTGCTTCTGCCTCTGCCTTCTGAGTGCTGGGACCAAAGGCGTGTGCTACCACATCTGTCTAGATATGTATGCTTGAGTTGGAGTACTCAGAAGTCGGGAACCCTGTAAAGAACCGTGGTAGGGGCAGACTTCAGCAGTGGAGGTGTGGACAGGTTGTAGAGGGCAAAAGGGAGTAATGGGATAGAAAGGACTAAATGGTTAGGGTGGGAGGGCAGGGCAGAAAAGTGGGTGTGGCCTAACAAGCACAAAAGACCTTTGGAAATGCCATATAGAAACCTACTACCTAGGAGATTTCTTTATATCTATAAAAGGGGTTTGAATGGAGTTACCCTACAGCAGGAGGTTAATGCCGCCTCCATATAACAGAGGCTACCAAATTAAAAGCTCGCTGCCAGGCATATATTACTTCTTTTTGAGTTGTTGGTCAATGGAAGTTCTATAGACTCCCAAACGTTACAGGCTACGGCTATGGCTATTGCTCTGGGTTACCCTCCAGGACTAGGTGGTGAGACCCAGTTGTGGACAATACCACACACTTGACTCATACGACCTGGAAACGTCAAGCTGGTAGAGGTTTATCTCTGAACCTCTGGTACTGGAAGGCTTGTCTCTTCTGGTTAGCTTTAATAGTCCTGGGATGTTGTACACATGCTGCTTGGTGAGGCAGATGATAAACAGTCTTACTCAGCTGTGGGTTCTGTGAGCTGCAGTAATGATGTAGCTGGCAGGATAAGCTACTGGTACAGTAGTGGCACAGATGTTATGGGAACGACCAACTATTTTCCAATGGATTAAAAGCACACTCCATAAGACGGAACTCATGCCAGGTAGTATTCACTGGATGGACCAAAGCTGGAGACTGGTGATATCGCAGGCCCTTAGGGAGAGCCCTAATACTAGTATTCTGCTAAGTGGACATAAGAAGAAGCTGTTCCGTATGTGCTTATCTTTGTACCTATACATTAGTGCATCTCTCAACACTCATGAAAGGGTTTAATACTGAGACCCACAATTGATCATTGTGCAGAGAATAGAAGTATGGAGTGTTCAGCCAGCTCTAAACGGGGTACCTGTATCCCACCTCTGCCCCCAGGGCTCAGTGGTCAATATGGAAGAAGGGGGCAGAGGATTGTAAGGACCAGGGGGAGTAGATCACAGTGTGCAGAGAAACACAAGCTGGAACGTGACCGTGCTTTCGCAGACTTGAACTCACAGTGGCTATGACTGCATGCACTATGACCCGAACAAGAAAGAGCCAGAAAATCCCAGCACGGATGGGGGAGGCTGCTACTGGGAAGAGGGAAAAGCAATTTTCTTCAGGGATGTGTCCGCCTGTGCATACACAGGGAGCACCAACGTGGTCTCTGGTGTGTTATTTTTTTAAAGGGCAGAGGGAGGGAGGAATCAGTAGCAGGAATGTGGAGTAGATTTGATCAAAACACACATGCGTGGAATTCCCAAACAAGCAAATCTTGTTACTGAGAGCTGTGCTGACCATCTCAGCCCCACTCTCTGTCTGTCGTCCTGCCCTGCTTGGCCCCTCTTCATATTGCACACAGCCAGTGGCCTCTGCAGCACTGGTGAATGCCTTACTACGTGAGCTCCTGGGGATCTTTGTTTTGTTGACCGTACACTTGCAAGGCCTGGCATGGTGCATGCATCTCTGTGCGATGGATAGAGATGTAAAGAGCCTTAAAAATAAGTTGTCATTTTAATTTAAAGGTTCTGTTTTAGCAGTAAGTTCACATTTGCCTTCCCCCTTCTCCCCCCCCTAGGTCTGGGTGAGATAAATTACATGCATGAACTTCTCACAAACATGATTCACAAAAGGTGTGTGTAAGTAACGGAGGTTTGGTTCGGCTTCAGAGCGTTGTGTAGCTTATGCCTTACATAACTGTCATCACCTCCCTGAATAGTTACTTTGTCTGCTGTGTGTCATGTGGCATTTATTTTAGCGGTTTGTTTCTTAGGTTACAGGTCTATCCACTCCATTCCAGCGTGACTTTAGAAGAACAGAATAACGTGTTTTTAAGTCCAGTCCCTGGGTACAGAAAGGTAAGAAGCTGGGAGATGAGGTGTGAGGTGACCATTGGTGGAGAAAGGCTGGTACTTTACCTCCCTCCCAAGCATGTCCCTCATTGCTGTCGAGTCGCCCAGGCAAATCCTGTTGATGAGAATCTATACCTTTCACATTGTATATTATTTTCTAAGTCAATTTTATGAAAAGCTAAGATATTTTTGTTTGTTTTTGAGACAGAGTATTGCTATGCAGGGTAGGCTGGCCTTGAATTTGAGATCACCTTATACCATCCTTCTGAGTGCTGAGGTCGTAGCTATATACTGGCAAAACCAAGATTTTCATTTATTTAATTCCCTGAATCCAGGGCACTGTTTGCTGCCTTGGGAGTGGTGACTTTGTCAGACGCTGTGGTCTAAACCCTCTGGAGGTAGTTCTTTGTTAAAACCACTACTCCTCACAGCTGCCGGGGGGGACCAGAGTCTGAGACCCCGAACTTTTGGCTGAAATCTCTGATACTCTGGAGGTTGTTTAGAATCTTTAGGCAACCTAGACCCCAGATGCTATTCTGGGGTGCTCAGGGTGGTACTCTGTGCTCCGGATTTGACCGGCTTGTGATTTTTGGCTCCTGGCAGTTCCACAGCTGTCTGCTAAAGCCTTTATAATAGGTTCATGAGAAGATCGTCGGCCATGCTATACCTATTTTCATAAAGTGCCTCTGTGTTGAATGTGTCTGATAGTTGTAATTTGCAGAAAATATGAAGATGGTGAGTTCCTAATTGACAATAATATTGACAGTCAAGGACAGAGGGAAAATGTCAGCCTGTTTTGTTTAATGCCCCACAGATTATTCTGTCCACCAACATTGCGGAGAGTTCTGTCACAGTTCCAGATGTCAAATATGGTAAGGCCTTTCTTTGCCCACTTCCTCATGTGAAAGATGGCATCACTGGGCTTTCCTGAACCACAGGAGTGCCCTCCTTTCTCCTCATGTTTGGGGGACCCAGAGAAAGACTCACAAAGGTCCTATCCCTCATATCTTGGCTCATCGCTGTTTTCTCTGAGCATACCTTTTCCTTCAGGTAGGGCTGCCTCTAGGAGAGGCCAGTGAGTTTCAAGGGATCTTGTAGGAAGCAGAATTTTGGGGCTTCCTGATGGTGGTGTCCTGTCTAGAAAGGTAGACAAGTATTAGGGAGGAGCTAGGTACTGTTTTCTGAAGGAAACTTAGAAGGGCGCCATGGTGGGCCGCCCCATTGCCGCCGGGTGTATATGCATTTGTACACTTGCTCACTCATGAGTTTGTTGTGTCATTTATTATGCTTGAGGGACCAATGCATGTAGCCCAGGTACAGTACCAAGTAGAAGACTGTATTGTCTCTTTGACTATAGTCTGCTGGGAGACAGATAGCAGATGGATTACAATTTCATGTGGAGACAGCTATATAGGAAAAGAAACATGGGAACAGGCTCCAGTTCTGAGAGGAAAATATCTTTTATATAGGGCCGATCTTAGTTAGGGTGATTATTGCAATCACCCTAATACATGCAATACACCATGACCAAAAACAACTTAGGGAGGAAAGGGTTTTGTTGTCTTACACTTACACATTGTAGTCCATTGTTGGAGGAAGTCAGGACAGGAACTTAAGCAGGGCAGGAACCTGGATATAGGAGCTGATGCAGAGGCCACGGTGGTGGGGAGGGGTGGGTGTTCTGCTTACTGGCTTGCTTCCTATGGCTTGTTCATCCTGCCATCTTATAGAACCCAGGACCATCAGCCCAGGGGTGGCTGCATCCACAATGGGGTGGGCCCTCCCTCATTAATTACTAATTAAGAAAATATCCCACCAACCTGACCTTATGAAGGCATTTTCTTTAATTGAGGTTCCCTTGTCTCAGATGACTTTAGCTTGACATAAAACTATCCAGCACAGGGTGATATTAGATACTTTTATATTGCTGTGATAAAATGGAAAAAGGGTTTCTTTGGGCTCATGGTTCTAGAGGGTAAAGTTCATCATGGTAAGTCTGAGGTAGCAGGCAGCAGGTAGCTGTAGCAGCGGGAAGAGCTCACATCTTGAACCTCAAGCAGGAAAGTTTTTGAGTGTACCCTGCAGAAAGTGGAAGACGTTTGAAACCTTAAGCTTGCCCCCAGTGACACACCTCCGACAAGTCCATGCCTCCTCCTAATCCTTCCCCGACAGCCACCAAGGGGACCAGTGTTTGTGCATGCAAGACTGACGGGGGGGGGGGGGGGGCACCGTCACATCCAAACCACCATAGGATGACATGGGACTCCTTTGAGGGGGCGATGTTTGAACAAAGGCTTAAAGTGAAGAAGAAGTGAACTGCAAAAATGTGATTCAGACATGAAGCACAGAGTTTGGGAGCGCCAAGAAGGAAAAATGCGTGAGCCAAGGGAAGGGAAACTAATAGGTGTTTGTTTCTGTGCCAGTGGGAATTGTAGAAAAATAGATACAAGTCTCTGTTTTCATGATGCATCAGGCATGAGGAAGACTCTAGACCCCAAGAGGTGAGAAAAGTCAGCACTGTTTTTGCTGGACTTGAAGTCACCAGAAGTCGTGTGTGAGGTGACTGGGGTGAGAGTTGTTTGTGGTACAGTTTGTGGTAGCAGTGAGGAGGCACACTGCGCGGGAGGTAGACCAGAAGTCTGCCTTCTGTTTCTCCAAAGGACAGCTTCATCGTACATAGGACGGGTGCTGTCCAGGGGTGGGGGGCAGCTGAAGGGTTCCTTTACCTGGGCCTGATAGATGAACATCTTGAAGCACAAAGAATATTGGTGGTTTGTTCCACTTGCCAGTAGACAGACAGGCAGACAGACAGACAGGCAGGCAGGCAGGAATCCAGGCAATCCAGAACATTAACTTGTCCCCCCTACCCCTGGTATAATATTTTGGAGGACGTCTAGTCTTTCGGGAGCATGCAGGCAGGTCTCTATGATAATATGGGCTTTACAAAGACCCAAAGACTTCCTGTTGTCATGTAGAGACGGTGGTGAGCCATCAAGTCAGCACCTCCCCACACATTTCTGCACGCACGCTAATTCCAGCAGCTGCCCATTCACGTTGTTTGTCACCAGGCACTGTGGGCTGTCACAGTCCGTGTCGGCACGCGGCTGTCACAGTCCGTGTCGGCACGCGGCTGTCCCAGTCCGTGTCAGCATGGCGCTTACACTTTTTTTCCCTAATGGCAGTTATAGATTTTTGTCTGACCAGGACTCTAGTTTGTGATGAGGATACAAACTACCAGAGTCTGCGCCTGAGCTGGGCCTCGAAGACCAGCTGCGACCAGAGAAAAGGTAAGGTGTTTGGTAGGGCCACACTGAGACTGTGTCCCTGATGCACTCTGTCTTTCCGAGAGCTTTGTTTTAGCGTTGTCACTCACCGGGTGCTTCCGGCGGGACCGGTTTAAGGTGACCTTGATATCTCAGCTCTGTCCCTTGCCTCCACGTTTTTCTCTCCCAGGGTCTTATCTCAGCACTTAACCTTTCAGACTGAAATTGAAGTATTTAGTAGACATGAAAGCCAGCTGGATCACTTTGGTGATTTTGACTAGCTTCTCTTGGACCACCTCTAAATCCTGCTGTGTCTAGGGTCCTTTTCCTAGGGAGTCCCACTCACACATGCCCTGGGCAGACCTGCAGGGGCCTTGGGAGAAGGGGTGTTTTGGTCACAGAAGTGAGTCTGTAACATCCCTAGCCTGGATGTTGCCTTCTGTAGCAGGAGCTGGCTTTAGGGGGGCATCATGTGTGGTGCATCCTGAGAAATGGCTTGGTTTTATAGAGACCTCCTGAGGGAGGTAGGCAGAAGCCAAAGAATTCCTTCTGGGAAGCTACTGCCTCAGAATTGAACACGTATATGCATAAGAAAAGCATGCTCTACATTCTTACCCAGAGCGGACACTGCTTTTGATACTTTCTTCCCTTAGCCTTTGTAAGGAATGTGAGGTGAGCATGCTGTGTCCTGAGACTTGGGGGAGTTTGGGGGATAGCAACTGTACCAGGTTCTCCTTAGGTAGGGCTGAGATTTGATCCAGAAACCTGGCTTCAGGCCTCTTTTCTTGTCTGCTGTGCTCTGTCCAGCACCTTTCCCAGAGAGAACTAGGAGATGACGAAGGCTCCCTCAGTTCCACAGCGGCCACTTTATGTACCTCCACAATAGATGAGCCCCTTGCCCACAGCATCCTTGCTGGCAGATGATGTCACCAAGTTTTCATTTTAGCCATCATTGGACGCCGTGCCATCTTGTTTGATTTTTGATTTTCAGTTCCATAACCGTTCATAAGGTTAACTAGCATCCCTCAAGTTTGCTTGCTGTTGTCTGCTCCTCAGTGAATGCTTGTCTCCATCTCTTACCTTTTAAAGAATTATTTGCTTAATTTATGTTTGAGTCCGGTCCTTACCGTGTAGCACTGGCTGGCATGGAACTCGCTGTGTAGAGCAGGCTGGCCTTGAACTTGTTTCTGAGTGCTGCCACCACACCTGGCTTATTTATTTATTTATTTTATGTTATATATCTTTTATGACCACCTCTTTTTTCCTTGTAAGATTTGTTTTTACCCCACAAATAATAATTGTCACACAAAAGTAGTGGTGTGTGTCATCATCTCCTTGGGATGAACTTGACTCTGAGCTCTTTGCACGCTCGGATCTCACTTAATATGATGAAGTCGAAGGGTGCCTTGTGAAAATAGTGGACAGATGGACACACAGAAGCAGTGAGAACCTGGGCAGGTGGGGCTGCTTCTCAAATCTCTGACAGATCCAGATACCATTTGCACAGGGTGAGTGACACATCTGTCACCGGCTACATGGCTTTTCTGTGATGAGCTCTGATTTTACTAGTTTGAGATAAATCTTCCAGGAAATGTGTCATTCAAAATATTCTGGTTTTTATTGCATTTTGACCAAGTTATTTTCTTTTGAAACTTGGACTAGATTTTAAAACATTAAGGCAACACTTACTCTAACTTTTTAGGATAATCTTACTTGGGATAGCATTAGAATAATTTGTTTTTACTGGGCTAGTATGGTGGAAGATGGTTTTCCCTGATTAGGGATTAATGGCTGCTTTACATTTCCCTTCACACTGATGTCAGAGTCATCAGTACCAGTGGGACTGAGCCTCTCTCTTGCAGGCCGTGCTGGACGGGTGTCTAAAGGGTACTGTTACAGGCTGATCCACAGGGACTTCTGGGACAGCTCAATTCCAGACCATGTTGTTCCGGAGATGTTGGTAATGAATTTCACTCATTGTTAGTGTTTGTTTTGTGTGTATATGTAGTTCTGAAGCCTACTTAGCGCTGCACATTCTGTTCTGGGCCTTATATTACTGACTTTCTTAGTAGGCTAGGGTGGCTGGCTAGGGAGCCCCAGGGATTTACCTGTCTCTGTGAATGGCAAGAACATGCTATAGCAAACCAGCTATGGGAGGCTGGGCTTTCACTGTGTAGGATGGAACTGAACTATGGTTACTAGGTTATAGAAACCATCCACCTATTACCATCTCCCTGTCCCAGCCCTGTTTGTGATTATTTTTAAATAAAAAAAAATATATCTTTATGTGCGTGGGTGCTCCCTCTGGATGTGTTTGTGCCCTGGGGCATGCAGTGTCTGTAGAGGTCAGAGCAAGGTGCTGGGTTCTCTGGAGCTGCATTTCAAAAGGTTCTAACCAATCACATCAGTGCTGGGAACCAAATCCTGGTCCTGGGAGGGCAGGTGGAGCTCTTAACCTCCAGGCCACCTCTGCAGCCCACCCCATTCTTAATTCTTAATGAGACCAATGTTGCCTAGAGTGTTGGCCCTATGATCTCATTTTCTGTTAAATATTGTGTATTCTTTCCGTTTATAATAAGTGATTATGGAATAGCCTTTCCTCTTTCCGCTTTCTACTCTCCTCCAATCCCTCTTTTGGTCTTTTTTGCTTCCTTCTTTCTCTTTTGCTTTTGGCCTTCTCCCTGTCCCTCGTTTTTTGAGACAGTCTGCTGTATAGCCCAGACTGGTTCCAAACTCAGCGTCCTTTGGCCTGTTTTCCTAAGTGATGGGGTCACACACATGCACTATTATGCCATCCCTGGCTTTTCTCTCTCCTCCCCAACTTTCTGCTTGGTTTTGAGTCGGAGCCTTATAGTGTCACTGTTCTCAAACCCCTGTCCCCCTGCCTCTATCCCCCAGGTGCTGGGTTTACAGGTGTGCAGCCACACCCAGCCCTCTGCCTTTCCTTTTATTTTCTCTGTTGGTCTCTTTCCCCTCCTCTCCTTTGTATATTCTCTTCGGAACACAAGTCATATGGAAGGCTAACCGGTTTAGTCACCTCACCTCTCAATTGAGACTCTGTCCCTTTCAGCGTTGCCCATTGGGAAGCACAATATTGAAAGTGAAGTTACTTGACATGGGTGAACCAAGAGCTCTGTTGGCGACTGCCCTGTCTCCACCCAGTCTGAGTGACATCGAGCGAACCATTCTTCTACTAAAGGAGGTGGGACTTGTGGGATTATAGTGATGGGGAAGCTAAGGCTTTTGCTTTGTGGGAGAGTCTAAATATCATAATTATTAAAGCAGTCGGTGTTATAAATGGTCAGTGTGTGACTCTAGTACCAGGTCTCTGTAGGCCAGGCTGGCCTCGAACTCACAGAGATCCGCCTGCCTCTGCCTCCCAGAGGCTGGGATTACAGGTGTGTGCCACCACCGCCTGGCTCCAGGTCTGCTCTTTAGACTTACCCTGTTGGTGTTTGTGAAGCCTACATCCTCTCCATCCTATGCCCCCAGAAGCATCCAGCACTGTCATTGGTACCGTTAGCCCATCTTTTTTCTCTCTCTAGTTTGTCCCTTCACCCATCCCAGCCCTCCTCCCAACCCTTGCTTGAAGCTCTCTTCCCACTTTGCTGTCCTTGGGGCACTGTTGACTCAAGCTCTGCTCTTGTGGCTTGTCCCCACTGGCCCTGACGTCAGCTGTGTCCCAGGCCTCACACTGTTTATTGGGGACCAGGGATGATAATGTTTTCCTCTCAGAAGTGGTTTGTTAGAGAATTGAGTGCTTGTGCTAAGTGATACTGGATCCTGTTTTTCTCTGTGTGCCACATTTATTAAAGCTGGGGACTGGGTGGACTTGCAAAGTCTCCTTGCGTGCCGTCCCCCAGTGACACGACCTGCTTCCTGAAAACTGAGGAAGGGAGGGATTTCAGGAGCACTTTGGAGCTGCTAGCCCTTTACAGTTAGCCTAGCTGTCTTCAGAACCTCGGTCATCGGGAGGAAGGGAGTGTGGTATATGTCAGTGCTCATTGATGGCACTAACTTGTTTCATAAGGTTGGAGCGCTGGCAGTCAGCGGGCAGAGAGAAGATGAGAATCCCCATGATGGGGAGCTGACCTTCTTAGGAAGGGTGCTGGCACAGCTCCCTGTCAGTCAGCAGCTGGGTAAACTCATTGTGCTGGGACACGCGTTTGGGTGCCTGGATGAGTGTCTTATTATAGGTAAGTGTGGGCTCAGGTGTGGGGAAAGTGTGTTGGCATTGCGGTCGGTCTTCATCCTGTTCTCTGTCTCCAGCGGCAGCTCTTTCTTTGAAGAATTTTTTCACAATGCCCTTTCGGCAGCATCTGGACGGATATAGGTATTTAACTTCCTTTCTTTCTTTCTCTTTTTTTTCTTCTCGAGACAGGGTTTCTTTGTGGCTTTGGAGCCTGCCCTGGAACTCCCTCTTGTAGACCAGGCTGGTCTCCAACTCACAGAGATGAGCCTGCCTCCCAAGTGCTGGGACTACAGGCGTGCGCCACCACTGCCCGGGTGGAAGGGCCCCCTTCCCAATGGTACAAGGTGACACGTCGTCATTAATCTGTTTGCAGGAACAAAGTGCACTTCTCAGGTAGCAGTAAGAGTGACTGCCTGGCTCTTGTGGAAGCATTCAAGGTGAGTGTCTCACCCTCCGTGGGCAGGCAGAGGTGGCCACACAAACCCCCGTGTGTTTTCACGCGCTGGCTATGAGAGGGGAGTGCTTTCTTCTCATGGTATTGGTAAGGTCGGGCTTCTGATGGCCATCGCACAGTAATAGGTGCTGCTGGGACCAGTGGGCGCCAGCCACCTTCCCAAAGTTGGTTAAAAACAGTACGTTTTTAGATGATCTGTGTTCAACCATGTGTTGACATTGGAATTAAATTCAAGCAGCTAGTGTTATTTTGAAACTGATCGTGTCGTTTTAGGCCTGGCAGGCTTGCAGACATCGAGGAGAGCTACGGCATCCCAAGGTTGGTCACATTTCCTCCTTGTTGCTTCACTGATGGCTGGCGATGATCAGATTCCCTGCAACCCTGTCTCAGCTTGGTCACTGCCTGTGCACTGTGGTGGCACTAAGACCTGAGGTCACTGAAGGTAGTTGCTACGTGCTGTCCTCTGGGAGGGGCAGGCCACATTAGTGGCCAGGTCCTGTTGTAGGCTGCTACTCTTGAGTTGCTTGTGGACAGGAAGCTGTCCAGCTGGCAGAGAGGAGCTCAGTCCCAGAGCCCTGCCTCACACTTATTTGCCTGCTCAGCAAGTGGGTCAGAATTAATGACACTGGCTTAACAGGAGCCTATATTTCATCTCTTTTTTTCAGATAAGGCTTTTTCTTCCAAAGTAATTAGGCTCCAAGACCATTGGTAGACACGTCTGTGTGTAGCTGTGCGGTGCCACAGGGGTCTTTAACCTTCCCTGTTGGAACAGTGTGACAAGTCTTTTTCCAGTTGAGTCATTCTGCCTTTGATTTTGGGGACAGGTAGACTTATGTGAAGAGTCATCCTTGTGTAAGGTTTGTGGTTTGGGTCTTGTAGTTTTTTTTTGGTTTCAGTGTGATGGTGGAAGACCTTATAGAGGATGGTCCTACACGTGGTCACCGCGGTCCCACACGTGGTCACTGCAGTCACATACGTGGTCACCACAGTCCCACAAGTAGTCACTTCAGTGCACTCACTGTTGAGCATGGCAGAAGCTTAGTCCTTGTTGAGGCTGTAGATGAGATGTATGCATGCATTATAGTAGCAAATTAACTGTCTGACTTACTCCTCATGTTGGATACTGTGCTTTTATGTGTTTAAAGGATGAACTTGACTGGGGACGGCTAAATTACATTCAGATAAAGAGAATCAGAGAGGTAAGCCCTACAGTCTAGACACGTTGTGATGCACATAAACTGACTTAAGATCTGGCCATGAAGGGTGGGAGGTGAATCCCTGTGCATCCCACCATTTAGCAGCAGGAGGCCTTGGGGCAAAGACACCCCAGAAAGCCTCCCCAAATGTCACTTTATGATGAACACGTGTAATCTTCATAGCCACACACACAGTATTTATCAGGGTTAGCACATGGTGCTTTCATTATTGACTGATTAACACAAGTAAACACATTATGGCTTTGTGCTGTGATTCCAATTTGTGCTCTTGGGGTAAATCTTGAACCTCCTTGGAGATAGTTTAACATTGCCGAGTTCTGATTGCCAGTGTTTTCTCTAGAAATTTTGCAGTAGATTTATAGTGAGGCTGGCTTGAAGCTTGTGGGTATGTGTGAGAATACATGCACACACACAGCTTGTACTACTAGTGTAGTTCGCTGGAGGAACAGAACTTATGGAATTAACATATAGCTATATCATTTATAACTACATATCTACCTACATACCTATCTATAACTATCTCTATAACCACCTACTTACCTCTCTGTATGTGTGTATGTATGTACGTACGTATGAGTGTATGTAGGTATGTATGTATAGTGTACATATGTATCTTCCTACCTACCTATATACCTACCTACCCATCTCTGGGCTTTACTAGAGTGTAGTCCAGCTAATCCAACAATGGCTGCCTATGAACAGAAGGTCCAACAATTCAGTAGTTATTTAATCCACAAGAATGGATGTCTTAGCTGGTCTTAGCTGGTCTTCAGTATATACTGGGACCCTGAAGAAGTAGGCTCTAACGTTATTGAAGGAATGGACTTGCTAGCAAGAGTGAGCAGGCAAAGCAGTGTGGTCCCCACTAAAGGGTATAGATTGTCCCACCGAGAGAGAGAGAGAGAGAGAGAGAGAGAGAGAGAGAGAGAGAGATTGATTAGAGGCTTGTAAGTAGTACGGGTTTTTCCACCTGCCGCCTTTCTGGTCCCACCGCCACGCCGCCAGCCCCAAATAATACACAGAGACTCTGTATTTGATACAATACTGTTGGCCCGGTTACTTGTTTCTTATCGGCTAGCTCTGCCTTTAATTATTAACCCATTTCTGCTGATCTATGTATTTCTCTTACCAGGGAGCCGGCGGCATACTGCTTTCTCCAGACTCTCCATCTTGACTCCTCCTTCCTACTTCCTCTTTCCTCCTTGTCTCCTAGTCCCTCCTATCTTCCTTTCCTATTGGCCAACAGTACTTTATTTATTAACCAGTATGAGAAACATATACAGAATGACATCTCCCATCAGAGGCTTATCTTCCTAACTCAAACACCTGAATTAGAAGTGGGTCTTCCCAGTTCAAATTATTTTATTAGTAAAAAATCCCTAAGATCATGATGGAAAAATCTACAGAGACAGCTGAACCAAGCTTGTTGGAAACTCATAAACTCTGGACTAACAGCTACAGAGCCTCCATGGAGCCAAACTAGCCCTTCCATATGTGGGAGACAATTGTGAAACATGCACTATCTGAAGGGCCCCTGGCAGTAGGACCAGGATCTGTCCCTGGTGCATGAGCTAGCTTGTTGGAGCCCATTCCCTATGAGGGGGTGCCATGCTCAGCCTTAACATAGTGGGAGGGGCTAGGTCCTGCCCCAGCTCAATGTGCCAGACTTTGTAGACTCCCCATGGGAGGTATTTCTGGTTGGGAAGAGTGGAGGGGGGCTGGAGGGACTCAAGGAGTAGCTTTGATAGCAGTTTAATAATTGAAAGTATATTTATTTTATCTTGATTGAATTCATGAATACAACCATTTACCATAGCCAGAGGTGGTGACATATACCTTTAACCTCAGCACTAGAGAGGCAAAGGCAGGCAGATTTGTTGGGTTTAAGACAACCTGGTCTACAGAGCAAGTTCCAGAACAACCATAGCTACACAAAGAAACCCTGTCTCAAAAAAATAAAAGAACTAAAAAAACAACACAAAATAAAGAACTAAAAAACATTCATCAGCAGTGTTGTGGGGGGAATTTTTCCTACAGTTTCCCTATTAGCCTGGGCTAGCCTAGGGCTCTCAGTCCTGAGCCTCAGTCTCCTAAATTCTGGGATTATAGGGGTGTGTGTGTGTGTGTGCGTGTGTGTGTGTGTGTGTGTGTGCACGCGCGTGCGTGTGTCTGTACATGCATGTCTCTCTGTATGTTTGTACATGCATATCTGTGTGTGTGTGTCTGCATGCATGTTTTTTGGTGTGTGCGTGTCTGTACATGCATGTCTGTGTGTGTAGGTCTCTCTGTGTGTGTCTGTACATGCATGTGTGTGTCTGTCTGTGTGTCTGTGTGTGTATATGTATGTCTGTGTGTCTCTATGCATGTCTCTATGTGTGTGTTGTATGTATGTGCTTGGTTGTGTGTGTGCAGAGATTGATGGGTAGTGTTTTTTCCACAATTGTGATCTACCTTTACTTTCTTACTTTTTGAGGCAGGATGTCCTGTAGAATCGGAAGCTCGCTGATCTGGCTGGATTGTCTGATCACTGAGCTTCAAAGATCTGCCCCACCCCCTGCCCCACACTGGGGTTACAGATACCACTGATGCCACCAAAGGGTACAGGAATGGATTCATTTTCTCCACTAGTTGAAGAGTTAAAGGACAGGAAAGAAGTGTTACTGGAAGTCTTGGGGAGTCTCAGTGTGTCGTATGATGCTGGAAAAAGCAGGATCCTGTTGACAAAATCAGTAGTGGAGTCTAGAGAATCTTCAGGACAACTGATTGATTGATTTAGTTTTAAATTTTTTTTTCAATGTGTTTTGATTGTATTCTTTCCCCTCCCTCAAGTCTTCCAAGATGCTCCCCACCTCCTTACCCACCCATTTCATGTTCTTTCTCTCTCTCAAAAGGAAAGAGAATAACAAAAACAAACATAACCCCCCCAAAGACAAACTCTACCAAATCCGGATAATAACAAAAAGCACGCAGAAAAACGTGGAGTCTATTTCTTGTTTGCTTTTAGACAGGGTCTCTGTGTAGCCCTGGCTGGCTGAGAGCTGGGGTGGAAGGCGTGTGCACTACACCTAGCTTTGCAGTCTGTTTTGTGTTGGCCAGCTACTCCTGTGCATGAGGCCTGTGCTGGAGTGGTTGGTGCACCCACTGCCACGCTATTAGAGAAAACAGATTTTCTCTCTCCAGCCGGGACTATTGCAGATAGTTTCTTGGTTAAGGGTGGACTCTGTGGCCACTTCCCTGCTTTAATTCCTGTGTACTGCAAGAAGCAGCTTCCCTGATGAGGGCTGAGCCAGGCCTGATTTATTTGTACGTCCATACATCATTAGAAGTCATGTTCTAGGTTTATTTAGCACTGTGCTTTTCAGTCTTCCTAATGCTGCAACACTTTCATACAGATCCTCATGTTGTAGTAACCCCAACCATAAAATTATTTCACTGCAGTTTCATTACTGAGATTTTGATACTGCTAATGAATATGTGATATACAGGATACCTGATATTTGATCTGAGACCCACAGGTTGAAAACCACTCATTTGGCAGAACAATAATAGTGGGTTTTCCCCTAGGCCTATGACCCATGTAGTCTCAGGTTCTTGATTTCGTTAATAGTGTCAGGGGTGGGCGCCATCTCACAGAGTAAGGCTTGAAGCCATCAAGAAGGAATTGTTCCCACTAGTAGATCTTGCAGGCGGGTCCCAGGGTGGTACTGAGAGAGACTTATGGTCAGTCTCCTCCTCTGGTCGCGTGCATTGTACCTTTCAGTGTTAGGAGCACTAGTAAGGGTGAAACTTGTAGTTAGTTCTGTCTCTCCGTGTTTGATGACATAAATATCTTCAGTAATGGGGCCTAACTGTGTGGTGAAGGGTAACCAATAGACTCTGAAATAGCCTATTGGGGCTGGAGAGAGGGCTCAGCAGTTAAGAGCACTCGCTCTCTTCCAGAGGACCTGGGCTCAGTTCCCAGCACTGTGTGGCAGCTCACAACTGTCGATAACATCAGTTCCAGGGGATCCGATACCTTTACACCAGTACATATAAAATAAAGTTAAATAAATTATTTAAGAAAATAGCCTGTGATGGTTTTGAGGGGATCCACTTTGGTCAATGACTAAAATTCCCATTCCTTGTCCTGGGAATTTTACTTGGTAGGATATGATGTTTAGTCGGGCGTTGTCTCTCATATTGTGTGGTAACTCTGTTTAAATTCCTTTTATGTATTTTAGAAAGCTTCTAGAATAGGTGGTTTCCCTATCGTCTTCCATGTTAGTTACTCCTCCCCTTGTTCTGTCCCTCCTTTACCCTGTCCTCCCTGTCCCTTCTTACTTAATCATCCTAGTCTTCCCTTTATCTGCTTCTAACTAACACTGTATTCTACTTCCCTTTCCTTGGAAGATTGCCTCCTTCCCCTGGTCTTAATGAGCTGTGCACATCTGGATATTCTAGATGACACATCCATATCTAAAGCTTAAAAGTCCAGGGCTGGAGAGATGGCTCAGCGGCTCAGAACACTGGCTGTTCTTCCACAGGTCCTGAGTTCAATTCCCAGCAACCACACGGTGGCTCACAACCATCTATAGTGAGATCTGGTGCCCTCTTCTGGCCTGCAGACAGACATGTGAGCCAGAACCCTGTATCCATAATGAATAAATCTTTAAAAGTCTCCTCACTCTGGATGAATGTTTCTAGCTATGTTCATTTACCTAAAATTTTAATTGTTCTTAGCAGCTGAATAATATTCCATTGAATAATATTTCATTGTATAAATGTACCAGTTTCATTACCCATCAGTTGGATCCCCTGGAACTGGAGTTCCAGGTGGCTGTAAGTTTCTGTGTGTGCAAGAACTCACACACACACACTGGCTAGATGGAGATTTAGCTGAGGGTTTTGAATACATTACGCACACTATGTTAATATGTCTTACTGTCTCCTTTCAATTTATCATGCTATTTCCCCCTTTGTTATTTGGATGACTTTTGCTTTTAACAGTTTATTGAGGTAATTTTGTGGTGACATAATTTAAAGTTGTGTTTTTATAGGTATGTGTATATTTAAATAGACATTTTGTATGAGAAACTATTGAGAGGGAGCTTAGTTGGACTTTCTGTGGGCTGCCAGCTTCTGAATAATGACACAGAGGCTGTTTATTAATTTTAAAAGCTTAGCCTTACCTTAGTCCTGCTCCCAACTAGCTCTTAAAACTTAAATTAACCCATTTATATTAATCTGTATGACTCAGTACTTACACTCAGCTTCCTGCATATCTGGCTGGCGAGACCCCCACCTCTCAGATTCTTTCCCCAACTTCCTCTCTGTCCCTGGAAGTCCTGCCTATCCTCTCCTGCCTAGCTATTGGCTGTTCATCTCTCTATTAAACCAACCACGAGGCAATTAGGTAGATGAGGTAAAACAGAGATAGATCTTCACAGTGTCCAAGAAGATTATCTCACAACAGAGAACCTCATGTAGCTCAGGCTGGCCTCAGACTCACTGTGTAGCTCAGGCTGGCCTCAGACTGACTCACTGTGTAGTTGAGGCTGGGCCTTGAGCTCCTCCTGATCATCCTCCCAGATGTCCAGATATGGAAATGTACCACTATGCCTGGTTTGAACGGTTTGATTTTAACTTGATGCATAGTTATTTTTGTTTCATTTAGGGGGAACTCTGTAACATACCTTGTTTTTCTTTCTTTGAAAAAAGTTTTTGAGACAAGTTCTTACAGTATGAACCACACTAGCCTTGAACTGTGTGGTCAAGGTTGGTCTCCAACTTGAGATCCTCCAGCCTCATCTTTCTAAATCGGAGTTACAGGTATGTGTCACCTTGTCCAGTTACAAAATCAGAGTGTGTTCAGGGTGGAAGGTGAAATAGAATATTTGTGTAATCATGTAAAGATGTGTCGTATTTGTTTATGCTACTTTGAACTGTCAAGGTGTGTTGTTTTGTCTATATTGCATTTGAACTATTTAAAGATGGATTGCTGTTTCCGCCTTGCCTGATTGGACAATAGCTGGGCAGAGGAGGGGTAGGTGGGGCTGGTGGGCGGAGAGAAAAGGGGAGCTGCCCCAGCCCGCGGGGTCAGTTGACAGGGACCTTGTGGGACAGAGGGAGGAAGAGGGGACAAGAGACTGGAGAGATGGAGACAAGGCAGTACTCTGATCAAGTCTCACTTATTGAATATAAGTAGTTTAAGTAGTGGAGAAATGAGGGAATGGGCCACAGGGAGGATGTGAGGAGGCAGAATGGGCCACAGGGAGGATGTGAGGAGGCAGAATGTCCTTCCAAGCAGGATGCAGGGGTCTGCTATAAGTTGCTATAGGATAAGCCTGCAGCTGGGACTCTTTCAGGGCCGGCTGTATCATAAGTTTAACAGGAGAACAATCATAGTACGTTAGGATCTCAGAGAATAGTAGGAAAGATGGCTGTTAAGATGCTAACTTTGCTCTGGGAGCCAGCCAGTTGGGGGCCAGACAGACAGACAGCAAGATAGGCCATATGTAGGAGTCTCAGGGAAGCACATAGACTAACAGGAATGGGTTAATGTAAGAGAAAGAAAAGAAGAAAGAAAGAAAGAAAGAAAGAAAGAAAGAAAGAAAGAAACTTAGCTAGAAACAAGCCTAAGCCAAGGCCGAGAATTCATAATTGACAATAAGTGTCGGTGTTATGCTTTGAGGCCTGGTAGTCAAGAAAGCCTGCTACAGGTTGTGCCTGTGATTGTAGACTGAATCACATGCATGAGCTGAGGGTCTGGGGCACAGCTGTGTGGTCTGGGGCACAGCTGGCACCTTTGTCGCTGATCCTTACTAGTGCTGACCGAGACGACGCCCAGTAGCTGTGATGTGTGAGCCAGTGGAGATGCGCAAATGGCCCTCCCCTGTGTGTGTGTGTTCTTACTACTCTGAGCAGCATCGATGCTATGAGACAGCACACCTCAATGTGTACTTTAGGTGGCTGAATTATATGAAGAGTTGAAGAATAGAATCTCACAGTTCAACATGTTTGTGGATCCTCGCCATCCTGTCTTGGACCAAGAGCATCCGTACAAGCAACGCTTCATCCTGCAGGTGTGCGGGGCTTCCCCTCAGTGCCCCTCCCCCTCCCTCTTCCTTTCTGAGATAGGGTCTTACTGTGTAACCTTGGATGGCCAGGAGCTCACCCTTGTTTATGCCCTTCCTGGTAGTGTTAAGACCTCAACCTGCTTTTTCCCAGTGAGCTCCTGCTGTAACGATGCATCAGTAAGAGCCCTTTTGCTGTAAGATCCAGAGAATAAACGTGCCCGGCTGCTCTCTGTGGAGCAGCTCTCTTGGGTTGAGAAGACACCTCAACTTTAGATCATGAAGCAGATGAGTAGCTGTGGGGCAAAGGCTTCCAAGAACTTTCTGGAGATGTGTATGTTGCATGTGAACATTGCTTCTGTCTTCAGAGTGGGGTTGGCACTGCACTGCCTTAGTGCATTGTCCTCTGCTGTGAAGAGACACCCAGACCAAGGCACCTTACAGGAGAAAGGGTTTATTGAGAGCTTACAGTTGGGAGGGTGAGTCCGTGACCATCAGGGTTGGAAGCAGGAACCCTGTAGGCATGCTGCCTGAGCAGTGGCTGGGAGCCTCCATATGACCCACAAGCACGGGGCAGAGAGAACAACCTCAAAGCCCACCCACATCAACACACCTCCTCCAATGAGGCCACACCCCCTGGTCCTTCCCAAACTGTTCACCATTCAAACACGTGAGCCTGTGGAGGCCATGCTCACTCAAACACGTGAGCCTGTGGAGGTCATCCTTACCTTACTCAAACATGAGCCTGTGGAGGCCATGCTCACTCAAACACGTGAGCCTGTGGAGGCCATGCTCACTCAAACCACCACAGGAATCTGAAAAGGGTTTGAGGTGGTCACTGCAAACCAGGTATTGTGGGAATACTAGTTCTTTTGTGGATGTAAAATTACTATGTAGCCAGGGAGAGCCTTCTGTGGGTATGTTTCATGTATGCTGCATGCAGACAGATTCTTCCTGAAGAGTGCCCTTAGATGTGAACATTAGATGCCAGCTTGTGGTCAGCTGGAAAGTTGCAATTGAAGTTACGTCTACACGCCTGGGAGAATGCTTGGCGTGTTGGAGCTATTGTTGAGCGAGGGTAGAGAAAGGGCTTAGAGCACTCGTGTCGATGTCTGGGAAGCAGTCCGGCTATTGTGAAGAAAAGGTCAGGTAGGGTGCCTGGCATGGGGAGAGCAGGGTGTGTGGGAGACACAGCTGTTGTGTGCTGTGTTACAAGCGGTGCCAGTGCTCCAGAGTGAGGCGAGGGCATGGTGGGAACAGAACTGAACACATGCTTCTTTTCCTTCTTTTCCAGGTTGTACTGGCAGGTGCTTTTTATCCAAACTACTTCACTTTTGGACAGCCAGATGAGGAGATGGCAGTGCGGGAACTGGCTGGCAAAGACCCAAAGACAACAGTTGTGGTAGGTGACAGAGAAGAGTGTGAGTATTGTCCTGGGGTGCAGCCTGTGCAGGGCTGTGGTAGCCTAGTAAATGCTGTGCGGATGCTCGGCTTAGTTTCAAGATATGAGGGCCGTAAGAACACTCATTAATTAACAACAATGGTACACACATAGAATGTTACTGGTTGTTGGCAGCTTATTTTTGTGGCTTATGTAGCAGTGACCCCTGCCCTGATGCCCAACAGGACTACGTAGAGAATGTTAAGTTCAGATCTGAGGCCCCTCATAGTCTGCACTAGAAGGTATTGACCTAGGGATGTCATGTAACTAGCATGACCTGGGAGCATCTGATGATGAGCCATAAGCATTGAGTGCTGGGTTTGTAAAGGGTCATTTGTTCGCAGCAGTAGCATGTGACCACTGAAACACATACTTGGCTTGAATTAGGGTAGTGAAAAGCACTAGGTGAAATTAGCTTGTGGCTTACAGTGTGTGCTCAGTCGTTGCTTGTCTTAGTTCTTGGTTCTGTTACACTACTTTTACAACTGTGCACAACCTGTGGACAGAGCCACAGATTCTGGAACAGTCCAAGGGCAGGAGGGAAGGGTGTAAAGGCACAGATTATGTTTGGGGAAAGACTTCCACTTAAAAGGCCTGGCAGCTCGGACACCATGCTTTCTGCTGCTCCTCTCTGTGGAGAAAGCTCTTTGAGTAGCTGCTTCTGCAGTCCTCCTCCTCCTGGGTCCGTCCCTCAGCCGTGTCCAGTGCAGAGGCCCCACAGGACCCGACTTCAGACACGCTGCCAGTGCCAGCCAGTCATCTGACACACAAACTAAATCACAGCTAGTTCTGCTTTAGCATTTCTGTGAGAAGCTTTCAAAGTTTATTCTTCTCTGAGCGTCACATCGGCCCTTTAAAATGAAGGCTTTCCCATCATCCCAACCCTGAGATGTAGCAATGCGTGGGACTTGGACTGAGCTCTTACTTCCCGCTCTGCCTGCAGCTGATCATCAGGGACCGGCATGTCCACCTCAGTGGACCCAGAGCTTAGAACATGGGTGATGACGAAGCTTGCAGAGGGCAGAGTGCTGGGTAGGAGCCTGGCTCTGGAGGAAGGGAGGGAGCAGCCTCTGGTGAGGAGCAGGTCCACCTTCCTTCATTGTTTTCTGTCACTTTATCAGAAGTGTGATGTTTCAGGTAGCCATTAGTGTGCTTATTTTAAAGTAACAACATGAAAGCAAAAAGGAAAATCTTTTACTGCATTCAACTTTTAAACTGTTTCCACAAGGGAAAAAGCGAGCCTGTATTTTATGTACTTTTTAAATTAAAAGTTATGATTTACAGTCATGTGGTTGTTAGGTACAGTGAAAGGCCGAGTCTGGGAAATGTTTGTGTAGGCTGAGTTTGCAAATGAGAGCAGTGAGTAACTGCTTCTGCCCCTGGGTGTTAAGGTGTTGAGTAGTCCTTACTAATGGCTCTGACGTGTACTGTGTTCTGTCTTCCAGCTAAAGCACATTCCTCCCTATGGATTTCTTTACTACAAACAACTGCAGTCTCTCTTTAGACAGTGTGGCCAAGTCAAATCCATTGTATTTGATGGTGCTAAGTAAGTAGTCTGCTTCCGTAGTCGGCTGTGATCACAGAAGTGCTCCACTTTACAGGTGTATGCGGTCTCTTCTGAGGGCTGGATGTGTGCAGAGTGGGGCTCCTAGGAGGCTGCTGGCCTGGCTCTCACAGGGAACTTTAGTTTATCATGTGGTCAGTGGCATTACCATTCTTTGCAGCTGTCTGTCCCAAGGGAACTGTGCTGGTGGCCTGTGCTGTTGCAGGGAGGATTCTCTAACAAGATGTGGCATGGAGCATGCATGTCTGATTCTCCTTAGTGCCCATCCCATTCCCAGATCTCCATGGCAAATCACTGATCTAGTTCTTTGTAGCCATGGGGGACCCTCCAAGGGCAGAGTTTATCTGTACTTCTTTAACGCATTTATTTGTCATGAGTGACTTTGAAAGATGAAGAGGGCAGAAACTCAGTTAATTTGGCCCTATTTTATTAGTAGGTCAGTAACAAATGTTTAGTTAAAACAATCACCAAGAGCTTTGGTTTCCAAGAGGAAATGCTTATGTACATAAGATTACTGTGGGGTGTGTGTGTGTGTGTGTCTGTGTGTGTGGGTGTGTGTTTTAGAGTACAGTTTTAAATTGATTAGAAAAAAGGCTTGTTCGTTTGTTTGTTTGTTTCTCTTTTCTGAGAGCTGAGGCTGACCGACCCCAGAGCCTTGTGCGTTCCTCGTACTTTTGGTCTTTAGTCATAATGGAAATGTTACACCAGTATTTCAGGGGAAAGCGAGCATGTTCTTTTTGGTTATGCCAGGACCAGTTAGAGACATGAAACAGCAATCACAGAGGAATAGCTGTGTCTGCCCCTCCTCAACATAGCAGCCCGCTCTCTGCAGAAGCTGGGATGTGCAGGCTCCGGCGGCAGCTGGGGAGTGAGTGGCAAGGAAGGGCTGGGATGTTACTTACTAACACAGCAGTTATTTCAAATGGTCTTGTCAAACTTACATTCATGTGGCATTCTGCATCCATGTTTCTTAAAGCAGGAAGCTGCTCATGTGCTGGAGTTGTAAACACTAAGATTCCATGGCTGAAACTTCACATGAGCTATGTTCGTTCTGCATTGTGCTGTACAAGGATGAGACCTGGCTTCAGGGACTGATCATTATGACTCATTTCCCTCAGCAAATAACCTGTCTTTAAACCAACTGATATTTCTATTGGTTCCTTACAATGAGGAGTTATTGGCATTTTGAGGAGTATTCAGTGAGAATTTCTCCCTTACCCTGAGAGAAGTTAGTACATGATTCTTCTTTACTTAGATGTCTGATAAATCTGTTCTGATTCGCATTTATGGAGCAGAGCCTTTGTGGAGTTTTCACGGAATCCCACGGAGAGATTTAAGACCCTGCCTGCTGTGAGCCTGGCCGTGAAGATGTCCCAGTTAAAGGTGCCCCTTGAGCTCAGTGTTCATGCTGCAGAGGAGATCGAAGGGAAGGTACAAGGCGGGTCGGTGTCCAAACTCAGGAACACAAGGTACTTCCAGAGCGGGCACTTGCACCTGGTTTCAAATTTGTCCCCACACGACTGTTGGACTGGGTTTCACTGTGTTGTTACACTTCCTCTGTGTAGTCTTTGTAATTCTAGAATGGAGGAGCTTGAATGCTCTGGAGCAGTTGGTGCGGGAGAGATGGCACCTTCATCTAGCTGCTCTAGGCCCACGAGTGTGGGGTTTGGGTTTCTGCTAGCTTGGCCTGTGTGGTTTTGTGCTTGTTGGTGTCATTGTGGAGGACAGAGGGTGGTAAGCTGCTGTTTGAGACAAGGCCACTCCCTGAAGTTGAAGCTCATCCATTTGGCTGGGCTGGCCTAAAACTTCTGTAGCTGAGGATGATCTTGAACTACTTCCACTTTAGACAAACAAACAAACACATTCATGCCTTTTTGTTTGTATGGGTTTTTTTTTTTTTTTTTTTTTTCTCAAGACAGTTTCTCTGGGTAACCCTGGCTGTCCTTCACCTCGCTCTGTAAACCAGGTGGCCTCAAACTCAGACATTTGCCGGCCTCTGCCTCCCAAGTGCTGGGATCAAAGGCATGCACCACCAGCACCTGGCCCACCTATTGTTTTTAATTTTGCATAATTATGTGTCTGTGTGTGGGTGCCTGTGGAGACTAGAGGCCTAGGTCCTCCTGGAGCCGGACTTCTAGGCAGTGGTGAGCTGCCTGGTGTGGGTGCTGGGAAGTGGACTACAACCCTTTGGAAGAGCGGAAGACCCACTTAACCACCAAGCCACCATCCCCCCACCCCAGCCCCGGCCCCTTCTTCCATCTGTGTGTTCCGGGTCACAGCACGCAAGCACACTACCAACTGAGTTACACCCCGGCCCCTTCATTTCTAGGTAGTTTTTGAAGTGAAAAAGTAAAAATGATTGCAGGCCCTAGATTTAGAATTTGTATCCTTGAAAGTAGCTATTCTTGTAGAATGTATCCCTGGAGGGGAGTGGGTAATATTAGGGTATGCACTGCTTCCAGGACAACCCAGGAAGCAGCCCAAATTCCCTTTTGAAGTGAGGTCATGTCAGTTTTCCATTCTGTGACAAATACATGAGATGATCAACTTGCAAGAGGAAAAGTTATTTTGGCGCATGGCTTTGGAAGTTTTAGTCTATGGTTGGTTATGTTAATGGGCCTGGACCCTACCTCTCAGAGGTCCTACCTGCCAGGAGCCCCCACCCCCACCCCCAGGCAGAGCCTGGGGACGAAGAGCCAGACTGTAGCACTGCAAGTATTAGAGTAGGTCAAGTGGAATCTCACATGTGAGAGGTTTTACAGCACTTAATTTTATTTTCTGTTTTTCAAACTCATGTTACCCAGAGTGAACGTGGACTTCCAGAAGCAGACTGTGGATCCCATGCAAGTGTCATTCAACACCTTGGACAGACCCCGGACAGTTGCAGACCTCCTCCTGACAATTGATGTCACTGAGGTGAGAGTGAGCCCTTCCCACTCCCACATCTGTACAAACTGTCACGAAACAGGTCACACGTGTGCGCCTGTGCACTGACAGCTGTGAATGACTGCCCGTGAAGTTAGGATGTGGACAGAATGGAAAGCAGGAATTTGTTTTTGAATCAAAGTTAATTTTTAGAATGTCAGAGTGTTTAAAATGCGAAAGTAGCCAGATGTGGTGGCACACACCTTTAATCCCAGTGCTCAGGAGGCAGAGGCAGGCTGGGTTGCTGTGGATTTGAGGTTAGCCTGATCTTCACAGAGAATTCTAAGCAAGCCAGAGCTACACACTGAGATCCTCTCTCAACAACCAACGATGACAGCAGCAACAAACAATGGACCCTAAACATTTGACAAGATGAAACCTAAAAAAGTAGCTGGTGTGACACATGCTGAATTATGTTTGCATCAACAAAGCTAGCGTTGAAAGTACTGTGTGGGTCCGGATTTCATCTCTTTAAAATAAAATGCCTTGTATGGAGCTAGGGATGACGGTCAGTAGTGGAGCTCCTTCTAGGACCTATGAGGTCCTGGGTTCAAACCCCTGCACAAACATGAGTGAGTATGTAACTTCCCAGTGAATCGGCAGCTGCGCTTCTTTGGGGAATCTCTGTAGAAGTCTGGAACCCAGGCAGGTGGGAAGTGGTGACTGCCAGCCGTGGGGAGGCTGCTCCCTGGCTTTAATGAGTGTCGCCTTCTCTGCTAGACCTCACATCTGTTCTTTTTCGTGGATTCAGCAGCTCAGGGGCACCAGAGGCCCCGTGGTATTGACTTCTCTGGGCTACATCCAGACCTCTCAAAGCCTTCAGGACTTGGACCTGCTGAGTCCACCTCCGAGGTCACTTGGGCTACATGTAGTGTTGTTGACAGGAAGCCGCTCCGTTCCTTCATCGAGGCCATTAGAAACCTATGGTGCGCGCGCATGCGCACACACACACACACACACACACACACACACACAGAGAGAGAAAGAGAGAGAGAGAGAGAGAGAGAGAGAGAGAGAGAAGCCTGTTTGAGGGGCGGAGTGGACATCCGTAGTCTTCATTTCTGTGCTCTTCCCTTTCAGGTGGTGGAAGTAGGCCACTTCTGGGGGTACAGGATTGACGAAAGGAACGCAGAGCTTCTGAAAAACCTGACTGCTGAGATAAACCGGCTGGAACTGGTCCCTCTGCCTGTCCACCCACATCCAGACTTGGTCTGCCTGGCACCTTTTACTGACTATAACAAGGAAAGCTACTTTAGAGCGCAAATCCTTTATGTTTCTGGAAATTCTGCTGAGGTATGTTTTTATGTTTAACAGATCACTGAAGAAGAAAGGAAATAAGCATAGAAATTGATAGAAAATCTTGGGACTAGAGCAATGGCTCAGTGGTTAAGAGCACTGACTGTTGTGATAATAATAATAAAAAAAACATCATAAGACAGAAAGATCCCATGTGATAGAGTTCAAATGGAGGGTTTTTTATTAGGGGAAAGGGATCATAAAAGGGGGAAAGCGGGGGGGGGGGGAGGGGGAGAGGAGATGAGTCTCCAGAGACATGAGCAGCAGGAGAGGAAAGAGAGGCAGAGAGAGAGCAAGAGCAGAGAGAAGGAAAGAGAGAAGGATGGGAGGCGGGCAGGGCCCTTTTAAAAGAGAACACAGTGAATGTGCACAGCTGCTGCTCTTAGTGGCTGTAGCTGAGAACCCCAAGGACAGGCCAATACAGATGCCTGAGTACTAATACTGGCTGCTCTTTGAAAAGACCTCAGTTAGTTTGCAGCACACATGGAGGCTGACAGCCACCTGTAACTCCAAACCTCTCTGCCGCCATGGGCACTGCATGCATGGGACACACACACATAGAAAAAGTAGAAAGTCTTACATTTGTTAAAGGTAGGAATGCAATATAAAGTGATTAACAGCCAGATGTGGTGGGACACACCTTTGATCCCAGCACTTAGGAGGCAGAGGCAGGCCTCTGTGAATTCAAGGCCAGCCTGACCTACATAGTGGGTTCCAAAACAGCCAAGGCTACATACATAGATACCCTATCTTAAAAAACAAAAAGAAATAAAGAAATGCAGAGTGGTTGCTGTTAGAATGGGAATGGAAAGCATTCCCTTTGTGTGTAGACTTGGTCTGTGCATAGACTGAGTGCCGTCTGTGTGTGCAGTCAGAGGAGGCCGCTGCACCCACTGTTAGAGTCAGAGCATTTGTTTTCTTCTCTTGCAGGTGTTCTTTGTAGACTACGGGAATAGGTCTCATGTAGACCTCGATCTGCTAAGGGAGATCCCCTGTCAGTTGCTGGAGCTTCCATTTCAGGTAAGGTAGAGAAGATTCCGTGGAATGAGTGTCAGATGCCAGAAGGACTGGCTGGAGGTCACCTGGGCCTTCACAGCTTAAGTCCTTAACAGAGAAGGACTGGGTTACACTCTTAAAAATCATATGGTCATAGTATTGCTGCCGTTGTTGGTCCTGGACGAAACCAGAATGTATGGAGGCTGTGGGTTTGAGCAAGAGAAAACTTAGTTCAGTGGTGTCATCTTAGTCATTGTTCTGTTGCTGTGAGACCATGGCCAAGGCCACTCATAAAAGAAAGTATTTAACTGGGGGCCGGCGTACAGTTTCAGAGGCTTAGTCTGTTATCATCACGGCAGGTAGGGAGCATGGTGGTAGGCAGACCGTGGTGCTGACATAGTAGCTCTCAGCTGTCCCCTGACCTTCAAGCAGAGAGAGAGGCCTGGTGTGGGCTCTTGCTTCCTCCAACAAGGCCACACGAGATTAGAAATACTTTTTTAAGTTTATTTACTTATTTTTATTTTAGGTATTTTGACGTAGGTGTCAGGTCCCCGGGACTGGAATTGCAAACAATTGTGAGCCACCATGTGGTGCTGGGAATTGAACCCCAGGTCCTCTGGAAGATCAATCAGTGCTCTTAACCACTGAGCCTTCTCTCCAGTCCTGATTAGAAGTATTTCTAATCCTTTCAAAAAGTGCTCCTCCCTGATGACAAAGCTTTCAAGTGTACGAGCCTGTGGGGGGCGTTGTTACTCCAACCACTGCAGATGCCTTCTGACACTGTTTGCTCAGGCTCTGTTGCCGCTGGATGTAGCTTGGGGACAAGTCTCACATGCCGGGGATAAAAATGAAGCCACTCTGCTGTGCTGACTCAAGCCTTTAATCCTAGCACTCTGATCTCTGTGAGCTCAGGATGCCCTGGTCTACATAGTGATTCTAAGCCAGCCATAGTGAGACTCTCTCCAAAGTAAATAAGTAAATTAATTAATTAATTAAAAATAAGCAAGGGAAGCCATCACTATCCGTTGTTTTCAGGACTTTTCTTGGAATGCTGATTCACAAAGTCACCTTGCAGTAGAATTGAGTGTGGCTGTTTCATTCATTATGAAAATGAGTGTGCTCTTCTCTCTGTCCCATAGGCTTTGGAATTCAAAATCTGCAAAATGCGACCGTCAGCGAAGTCTCTCATCTGTGGAGAGCACTGGAGTGGCGGGGCCAATGGGCGCTTTGCCTCTCTGGTGAGCGGCTGCCCACTCCTGGTGAAGGTGTTCTCAGTCGTGCACAGTGTCCTGCACGTGGATGTGTACCAGTACTCGGGTGTCCAGGATGCCGTCAACATCAGAGATGTGCTCATCAGGGAGGGCCACGCTGAGCTAGCAGAGGAGTCCTACGAGTCAAAAGTATGAGCGTGTGTGTGTGTGCTGGGCAGGCTGGGCAGGTGGGCAGGCTGGGCAGGCGGGCAGGCTGGGCAGGTGGGCAGGCAGTCAGGTGGGCAGGCAGGCAGGTGGGCAGGGTGGGCAGGTGGGCAGGCTGGGCAGGTGGGCAGGCGGGCAGGTGGGCAGGCTGGGCAGGTGGGCAGGCTGGGCAGGCTGGGCAGGTGGGCAGGCTGGGCAGGTGGGCAGGCTGGGCAGGTGGGCAGGCAGTCAGGTGGGCAGGCAGGCAGGTGGGCAGGGTGGGCAGGTGGGCAGGCTGGGCAGGTGGGCAGGCGGGCAGGTGGGCAGGCTGGGCAGGTGGGCAGGCGGGCAGGTGGGCAGGCTGGGCAGGTGGGCAGGCGGGCAGGCGGGCAGGCTGGGAGTACACTTTCCTTCCTCTCTGCTAGTGTTGAGGATTAGATGATGCTGGCGGTGTTCATTGTCTGGGCTTTGGAATCATCTAAACCAGGGTTCTCAGCCTTCCAAACTGTGACCCTTGAGTACAGTTCATCATGTGCTGACTCTCAACCATAAAATGATTTTTGTTATGACTTGATAGCTGTAATTTTGCCACTGTTGTAGATTATAATGCAAATATCTGATATGGGACCCCAAAGAGGTCAAGATCCACAGGCTGAGAACCATGATCGTAAATGCCTTCATGTCTTGGTGGACGCGTGCTATTCTTGGCAGCTTCAAAATCAAGTATTTTCTTTTAGAAGTGAAAATTAATTTGAAAATACTCTATATTTTATTTTTTAAATGGACTCAAAAAATTATTTCCATAATGTAAGTAGTTAGTATACATGTCATGAATATTAAGCATTTCAAATTTTTAATGTCTTTTAAAGCTTTTTATTTACAAATTTTTAAAAATTAAAATATAATATCATTTCCCTCCTTCTTCCAATTCCTCCCTTCCCCCTCATTCCCTTCAAATTCATGGCCTCTATTTCTTTGTTATTGTTACATATGCAAATGATTTGTAAATATGCAAATACAACCTGCTGAGTACTTAGTGTTGCTTGTATGTGTGTCCTCAGGGCTGACCACTTCGTATTAGATAACCATTTAGGGGCTCATCCCCATGGAAGACTTAATTTCCCCCCTCAAGAGCATGGCTTTCCTATGGCTCTTCATTCAGAGGCGGGACCCTGAGAGGGGCCCTCTTTCCACGAGAGCGAGTCTCCGGTCTTCAGGCTGCTCAGGCAGCCATGTTGTTGAGGCTTCATGGTGTAGCTTCCCTCTCATTTCTAGAAGTAGCAACCTTGAAGCAAATTTCCTGGTCCTCTGGCTCTTAGAATCTTTCACCCTATCTCCCACAAAGCCCCCCCCCCCCAGCCTTGGGTGTAGTTCTGTGTCATAGAGGCATCCCCTCGGGGCTGGTGGGTGCTTTTTTGCATTTGATCACTTGTGATTTTCTACAATGACCTCTGTCTGTTGTGAAAGGTGCTTTGAAAATGAGGAGTGAACGCCACAATTACCCTAGGCATAAGTATTTAGGACAGGGGATATACTGGTTTGATAAATTCCTGTGACTTGGGTCTGCAAACCTGACTGGGCTGGGAGGGGCATGAGAAGACAGACACACAGACATTTGTCCAGAACAGTTGCAGTCAGGTGGGCTGTGCACACTGGTGGAGTAGCACCAACTGCCACAGCACCGACCAGGAAACTCAGCAGAGGGGTTAGGAGTCTGGGGAGGAGGTCTGTAGGTGAGAGGTCTCAGGCTGCAGATATACCGGGAGGAGGCAGTGAAGTTGTTAGTTTTTACATGCACTGGTCAATCATTTGTTTACACTAGTTCTTAAACGCAGCATTTGGACTCAGGGCAGAAGGCAGCACCGCCCATTTTCAGTGGTCTCAGGCCACGCCCGTGTCAACAGCACACATTCCCTCAGGGCTGGGGCTGCTCTTTAGACATTCACTCCCAGCAGTGGCAGCAGGAAGTCCCTTCTCCAAGATGTGGACCTCACTAGCCACAGGAAGGTGTCCAGTGCCAGGCATAAGTTCCTTCCTGTTGAGTGGACCTTAAGATTAATTAACTACTGATTACCCATTACCTCTAAGATTCCATGATCTCTGTGTGTTTGTTATTGGTGTATAAAAAAACTATTGAATTGTGCTGGTTGATTCTGTATCCTGCCACGTTGTTGAATTTGTTAAACATTTCTAGAAGTTTTTTGGCAGAATTTTTAGGATCTCTAACATATAGTATTATGTGATCTGTCAATAGGGATACCTATTTATTTCTGCCAGAGTCTTATCATACAGCCCTGGTGAGCCTGGAACTCACTATGGAGATCAGGGCCAGGCTGACCTGAACCTCAAAAAGATGTGCCTGCCTCTGCCTCCTCAGTTCTGGGGCTACAAGCATGCCCAATTATTATTTTTATTAATGTATATTTGTGCGTGCCTTAGCATGGACTACAGGTGTTCATAGAGTTCAGGAAAGGTTCCATATCCCCTTGAAGTTGGAGCTACAGGCAGTTGGTGAAACTATGTAGTTATTGGGCAAAGAACTCAGGACGTCTACAAGAGCAGTACCCGCGTTTGACCATGAACCATCTCTCTAGACTGTTACGAGTAAGGTTTTTCCCTGCCAATCTGGTCCCGCCAGTCCCACTGCCGAGCCAGCCCCAATTATCACACTGAGGCTCTGTATTAGATATAACGCTGTTGGCCAGTTACTTGTTTCTTATTGGCTAGCTCTGTCTTAAGTATTAACCCATTTCTACTAATCTAAGTATTTCCACATGGTCTCATCTTACTGGAGAGCGGGCTGGTGTTCTGCTCTCCCCAGTCTCCCAATGCTGACTCCTCCCTACTACTTCCTCTTTCCTCCTTGTCTCCTAGTCCCTCCTATCTTCCTTTCCTATTGGCCAACAGTGCTTTATTCATTAAACAGTATGAGAAACATATTTACAGAATGACATCTCCCATCACTAGACCCTGTCTCAGCTTCTTGAGATTGGAAGTCTTGAATTTATATTCATGTGTTAATGCAGAAGAGCGTGTGTGCGCTTACTCGGTGTCGGGTACTGTAATGCGTCTAAGAGGCAGAGTTCCCTGTTTCTGCAAATCAGCATAGGTGATCTGTGAACAGAACACACAGTAAGAATCCATAAACTGGGTCTGTGAAACAGGCGCTGAATCCCAGCTCTCAAGAGGTGGAGACAGAAGGATCGGAGTTCAAGGCCACCCTCAGCTACAGAGTCAGGTTTGAGGCCAGCCTGGGCTGTAGGAGACCATGGTGTTTTTCTGGTATTTTTCTAATAAACATTAACAGACCTTCTGTTGTTTGTAAGCCAGTGTATGCAACAAATAAATCACTGTATGTGCCTGGTGTCCACAGAGCCCCTGGGACTGGAGTGGCAGGTGTCTGTGAGCCACTGTGAGGATGCTGGGATTGAGCTCAGGTCCTCTGGAAGGACAGCTGGTAGATACTCGTGAGCTATCTCTCTAGCCCACAAATAAATGATTTTTATAAAGTAGCTGTTTTTAATGTGTATTAGTTCTTTTCTGAAAAATGGTTGTTCCTTTAAAATCCCGTTATGTTGGAAATGTTAAAAATCTTTATTTTTGTTTGAATTTTAAAATGAACTTGATAAAATTATTTCCCTTTGTATTCATGACATTCAAATTGGAATAAGATAATATATATACACGTGTGTATGTATATATGTGAAATTCATGCTTTCGCTTCAATTTTTGCCTTTAATAAGATAAACATTTCTTGTTTTGTTCAGCAAAGCTATGAAGTCCTCAAGGGTTTCTTTGCGAAGTCGGTGGAAAGCATGCCGGATGCTTCTGTGTCCTCTGCCATGAAGGACGACGAGAAGCATCTCATCCGGATTCTTTTGGAGAGCTTTGCTTCCAATCGGCTGGGTGCTCCAAACTGCAAGGTGATTTGTGGGACCTATAGAAAATAATGCTCATGAAGCTTATTCATCCTGTGTTATTTGCCAAGGGTTGCCACTATAGCCATGATGGGTTCTCCTTCTTCCTGCTGTGTGTTTCTTTATGTTCATTTCTAATTACATACTTTTGGTCTCTGTGTGGGGCCATGCATTGCCGTGATGTACCGGTGGAAGTCAGAAGACAGCGTGTGGGAGTTGGTTTTTCCTTTCCACCATGTGGGGTGTGGGGATTAAAGTCAGGTCCTTAGGCTTGGCAGCAAGCGTCTGCCCACTGGACATCTCCCAGCCTTTTACTCTTAGAGACAGGGCTCATTAATATCTATCCCAGGCTGCCATGCACTGATGGTCACGTGGCCTCAGTGTGGGAGTGCTGACTCATCCTTGTTTGTTTGTTTGTTTGTTTACCTTGATCGTTGTCACTGTTGTTTGTGTGTGAGTCAGTCCTCTCTTCCATGTGGTCCTGGGACTCAAGCTCAGGGCCTTGGCAGCCAATCCTACCTCCTTCCCTGGTCATCCACAGTGGAGCCTGTATTCCTAAGGAGAAAGACCCTCGCCTGCCCTCTGCCCCCCTCTGCCCCCCTCTGTCCCTCCTCTGCCCTCCTCTGCCCCCCTCTGCCCCCCTGCCCCCCTCTGCCCCCCTCTGCCCCCCCTGCCCTCCTCTGCCCCCCTGCCCTCCTCTGCCCCCCTGCCCCCCCTGCCCCCCTCTGCCCCCCTCTGCCCCCCCTGCCCTCCTCTGCCCCCCTGCCCTCCTCTGCCCCCCTGCCCCCCTCTGCCCCCCTGCCCCCCTGCCCCCCGCTGCTCCCCTGCTCCCCCTACCCCTCCTCTGCCCCCCTGCCCTCCTCTGCCCCCCCTACCCCTCCTCTGCCCCCCTGCCCCCCTCTGCCCCCCTGCCCCCCTGCCCCCCGCTGCTCCCCTGCTCCCCCTACCCCTCCTCTGCCCCCCTGCCCCCTGCCCCCCTCTGCCCCCTCTGTCCCCTCTGCCCCCCTCTGCCCCTCCTCTTACTCCCCTTTTCTATTTAGTCTCTTTGTGGCACTGCGGATCAAGTCCAGGACTTTACCCGTGTTAGTCGAGTAGTCTACCTCTGAACCTGTTTCCCCAGTGCAAAATGACTTTTTTCTTCTTCCTTTTGAGATAGTCTTTGCTCAAGTGGGCCTTGAACTTACAAGCCTCCTGCCTCTGCTTTTCTGAGTGCTGAGGTGCTAGGTTTGTGCCGCCAGACACTAATATTGTTAAGTGTGAACCAACTTTGGGACTGCCACCATTGATATTAAGTGGCATATTGTGTATTGCTAACATCTATTTTATTTATTCAGGCTGTTCTCCATGGGCCTTTTAACCCTTATGAGCTGAAGTGTCACAGCCTCACCAGAGTATCCAAATTCAGGTACGACTAAATTAATTTTTCTATGACATATATTTCATTTTTTAGTCTGTAGACCTCATCAGAAACTAGCATCTTTGTATATAAGTTGCAAGAATATTTAGCCCATCCCTGAAGTCCTTGCTCTGTCAGATCTGAGGCATTCCTTCCTGCGGTGAAAACAGTTCTGAGTTTCTTCTGCTCTGGTTATAGCTGTCACTCATCGGGGGGTGAGTTCTGTCTGTGCAGAGACTGCTAAGTGACCTGTTTTCTGGAAGAAGCAGTTTTGATCTGGGAAACAGTGGTGAACACAATGCAGGTGTCATCTTCAGTAATAGCATAGGTTGAATGGTGACAGAAAACTAGTGACCGTGTACAGGGTAACCGGGGTCTTGACAGGAACCTGGGACACATAGAAGTGTCTAGGGGTCCTGGCTACACTTTAAAGGCCATATTTGAGGTTTTCCAGAGCCTTCTGAATTCCAAAGGCCACAGGTATTTGCTATGGTGTGGTGAAGGGGGACAGAGGGTGAGGGTTGAAGTGTAGTTCTAGAGACAGTGCATAGGCCCCAATTTGAGAGTTTGTATTTGTGAGAACTTGAAGCACAGCTGGAGAATTTTGTGGAGGGAGAAGGGGCTGCAGACTTGGTGACAGATGGGCAAGTTTTATAAGTCTGATTTCAGAGGTGTACAGACAGAGCTGAAAGGCTTTAACGCTGGCAATTTGTAAGGACCATTCTGGGCAAACAGCAGCTCTGAGCTCCTCTGGGGACTGGCAGTAGTCGTTCTGTTAGCCCTGCGGGTGCTCGGGGCCTGTCTCCAGGAGGGAAGTCTGTGATGAACACACTGAATTCTTGGTAAGAGTAGGCCTGTGAGGCTGCTTCCCAGTGCAACCTGAAGCTGGAGGAGAGGCGTGGACACCTTCATGAGCTCTGTCAGAGTGATGACAGACAGAAGCTTGGCGATGCCTCGGTGGAGCCGCTGTGCATCTCTGCTCAGAGAAAGTGGGGTGGTGGCACAAACGGATGGGCCACACTGCCCACTCAGCCAGAAGCCAGGCAGTAGCTTCAAGGGCTCTGGGGCCTGATAGAACAAGCATAGAGAAGCGAGTTGGAGAGCTCTGGTATGGGTGGTGCCAAAAGGTGGGGAAAGGAAGGCCGAGATCTGGCGCAAGAGGGGCTGTGTGTGGGTCGTGGCATTTGCCATCTCTCTGAGGCTCGCTTACAGGCTGGCATGCTCCGTCACCTAGCTACTGGGGCAACAGCTGGGCTCTGCTGCTTCTTCCCAGATGTGTGTGGATTGAAAAGGAGAGCATCAACTCTGTCGTCATCAGTGACAGCCCTGCCGACCTGCACCAGAGGATGCTGGTTGCGGCGTCACTCTCTGTTAATGAGACTGGTAACGAGATGAATTCTGCTATCTGTGTACTTTCTCCTTTCCCTTGACTTTGATACTCGGAGCAGCTTAACTTGTAATTAGTGGGTGAATTTAGGCTTATGTATTACACTGTTCAGCTGTTTTCTTCTTTAAGAAAAATACTTATTTTGTTTGCATGTGTCTGAGTGTGTGTATGTGAACCACGTATACAGGAGCCCATGGAAGTCAGAAGGAGTATCTGATCTCCAGAACTGGAGTTATGGTTGTGAGCCATCTTGTAGGTGCTGGGAAGCAAATCTGGGTTGTCCTCTGCCAGAGCAGTAAGCACTCTTAACCACCGAGCCATATCTCCAACCTTCAGTAAGCTATTTTCTGAGTGCAATGGCAAATGCAAATTTAAGAAATGTTTTGTATAAGGATGTGGGAATTAAATGATTCTTGTTCCTCCATGCTTGTCCACAAAGCTCTTGGCTGTAGGAAACCCTGATGAGACAGCCTAACAAGAGAATAAGGAAAACAGTAATTAGATGAGTTGCTCTCTTCAGGGATAAATGCCTAAGCAAGTCCAGGAGTCTATCTGTAGGATGTGTGAGAGCCAAAGGCAGGGCATATCTTCCTTGAAGGGGGGACCCAAGTGGCCAGACTCAGCCGAAGAGTAGGCAGCTCATCAGGAGGGGCTAGCAGGGGCTCTCCCGTCACACCTCACGGCGTGTGATGTGGGTCTGATGCTGGTTGTCTCCTGTGTGGCAGGGTCTACCATGCTCCTGAGGGAGACCTCCCTGATGCCCCACATCTCAGGCCTCCCAGCACTCCTCAGCATGCTGTTTGCGCCAGTGATGGAGTTAAGGTGGGTGTGGGTCTCCACTTTGTGCACCAGTGATGGAGTTAAGGTGGGTGTGGGTCTCCACTTTGTGCACCAGTGATGGAGTTAAGGTAGGGGTGGGTCTCCACTTTGTCTGTGTACCAGCTTTTGCACGGTCAGAATCGAGGCGGGAAAGGAAATAGGAGCATCCTCAGGGAAGCTGGTTTGTAGCCCAGCTTGTATTGGTGCCGTTTTTTCTGTGTGTGTGTGTATGTGTGTATGTGTGTGTGGTTGTGTGTGCGTGCGTGTGTGAGTGCGTGCATGTGTTGTGTGTGTGTGTGTGTGTGCGCGCGCGCGCGCGCCCCAGGTGCACTTGGAGGTCAGTGAAGCGTTGGCAGGGATGGGCCTCCTCCACCATGTGGGTCCCTGGGAGTGAACTTGGGGTGTTAGGTTAGCAGTAGTTGCCTTTATTGAGTCACCTGCTAGACCTAAGAGACATTTTTCAGACTGTTTTTACAAAGCAAATAACCCAAAACCCAATGTATAAGTCTTAATTCTAGTTTTCAGCCCTCAAGTTTGTTTACACGCAGGATTCCCTCTTACATTTATTAGGCTGATAAAGGAGATTTCTCATGATTTCGTCTACTTCAGAGATAATTAAAAACCCAGCATTAAGGGCTGGAGAGATGGCTTAGTGGTTAACAGCACTGACTGTTCCAGAGATCTTCAGTTTTATTCTGAGCAACTGCATGGCAGCTCACAAGCAGCTGTGACTCTAGCACCCTCTTCTGGCTTCTGAGGGCATCAGACATGCATGTGATATACATACATACATACATACACACACACACACACATATTCAGGCAAAACACCCATACATATAACATAAAATTTTAAAAATGTGTATAGGAAACCTGACATTGTGTTAATATAGATATTCGCCTTAGCATCCTTATAGTGAGAGTTAGTCTGTATTTCTGTGTAAAGACTGAGGAATCCCTTAGTTTAGTTACGGTACTGTGCTAGAAAACCGCCAGGTGGCTTTGTTAGTCACACATGTATCTAACCTTGAAGCAGTGGCTCAGCCTAACTCCTCAATGCCTTTCAGGGTTGGCCGTGATGGGAAATGCTATACTGGGGTTCTTTGTGGCTTGGGATGGAATTCAACCACAGAGGCTGCTATCCTGCCCGAGCATGACATCGAGCTGGCCTTTGACGTGCGCTTCACCGTGGAGGACATCGTTGAGGTCAGTGGGCAAATTCATGGAGATTCTCTCCTACTTGTTTATCAAAAGAAAAACCAGGAAAAAACCAAACGTTTTTATTTTTACCATACTCAAAAAAGACAGCTGAAAGATGTGGAAATGTGTGTCCAGAGAGAGCCTGTGTGTGAGTGTGGGTAGCTTCGTTCCTAACTGCTGCTGTTAATGCCGGCTTTTGACAGGGGAGCGTATCAGCAAGCTGGGGTAATACAACAGAACAGTGTTTGGCAGTAGAAAGGAGTGAGTGATTCATACAAGAGTGTAAAGTCTTACTAGCACTTACTACATGACTTGGGGTGTGTCCGTGTGGACAGGAAGCAGACAAGTGGTTGCCATGAGACAGGGAAGTGAAGCAATGCACTGGTGGCATCCTGGAACTTGTAGTTGGGAGAGATGGGGGTAGAGGACACAGCTGTGGGCTGTGGGCTTCTCAATATATGACAAAAACACCACACAGGGTATCAGGGCTCCCAGAACACATACATGTGTGGAAAGTGTTGCAAATGTCACACGTGTCTAAATAGAGGAATAATGATTGCATAACTCAGTGGTAACTCTTATAAAGTTAGCAGGAGTTGAGGTGGGCCCTCTGGGCCTCAGAGGCCAGGTGAGGCCAGGTGAGCCAGGAGTGGGAGAGGGCTATTTTACAACCAAGAAGACATGGCCACATCCCAAGGTGCAAGCAGACCTGTGGAGTATGAGGAGAAGACAGGGTCTCCCCTCTGAACAGTGACAAGCTCAAATCAGGGAGGGTGCCACAAAATCCCCAACCAGAAAACCTCCAGCTTAGCCGGCCAGTGGTGGCGCACGCCTTTAATCCCGGCACTGGGGAGGCAGAGGCAGCAGGATCTCTGTGAGTTTGAGGCCAGCCTGGTCTACAGAGCTAGTTCCAGGACAGGCTCCAAAGCAAATCAGAAGAAACCCTGTCATGAAGAAAAAAAACAAAACAAGACAAAGACAAAACAAACAAAAAAACAAGAAAGAAGGAAAGGAAAGAGAGAAAGAAAACCTCCAACTTTCCAAAATCTTGTAAAGCAGAGGAAAGGCTGGGAAGCCACCCATACCAGAGAAGACGTTAGTTCACTGTTGTCCTTGAACCTGGGTCCTGGAAGAGGCGTGGATGCTAATAGATAATGGGTCTAATCTGAAATCCAGGGTTGGTGTCTCAGCTGAAACAAAGTAACAGAGATTGGATGTGGGCTCATGGGACCTGTCCTTTCCTCGGTGTTATTTCTGTAAACTGTTGACTGGTGGTAGTCACAGAACACAGCTTTAAATGCTGTGACCTCTTTACTGTGGGATGAAATACAGGTCTATGTAGCCACATAGTCTGCCACTGTTTCTTTACAGATTAATATTCTCAGGGCTGCTATCAACAAGCTGGTATGTGATGGGCCAAATGGATCCAAGTATCTTGGCCCTGAAAGAATCTCGCAGTTACAGGAAAATGCACGCCAGAAACTTCTAGGGTAAGTTTTATATGGTGACATAGTGTTAATGTGCACTAGACAATATGCAGCCTGTGTGTGTCTGTGTGTGAGTGTGTGTGTGCACATGTTTGTGTGTCTGTGTGTGTGAGTGTGTGTGTCTGTATCTGTGTGTGTGTCTGTGTGTGCGTGTATGTGTAAGTGTGTGTGTGTGAGTGTGTGTGTCTGTGTATGTGTGTGTGAGTGTGTATGTGAGAGAGTGTGTCTGTGTGTGTCTGTGTGTCTGTATCTGTGTATGTGTCTGTGTGTGTGCGTATGTGTGTGTGTGTGTGTGCGTGTGTGTTTTGATGTGTGGATGTTCTGAATCACTTAGAACATGTGACGCGTACATTACTTACTAGTTTGTACACATGATCACACAGTCTTGAGTCGTGGCCATTCACACAGCTAATGCCCTGCTCTCTGAGCAGCCCTGCAGGCTTTTCCTCGCTGCCCTTCGGAGTCTGTCTTTCACATAATGTTTGATGTTTTAAAAATAACATCTGGGGAATTGCCATTTCATTCATTTTACTTACTGTAGGATCTCTATTTTTATATAGTTTTCCATTATAAGGTTAATTAATTTATTGCTTTTTCTCTGATCTCAAAGTTTTCTATTTTACTGCCGTCGTATTTTAAGTCTTTCAGTGTAATTTGCTGTAATGTTGGTGGTTTGTCTGTCGTGGCTACTTTTAAGTCTTGTGTACTGATTTCTCCTGTGCATCTGCCCTCTGAGCCTCTGCCGATGCTCTTTTTCCCGAATGGAGCCACGTGCTCTTGCTTGTATATAATAATCTCCCTAAAGTCTGTTGTGTTATAATTATTCGTTTTTAAACATACTATACAATAAAATACTATTATAACTATATAAAATTTGACCTTTTGAAAGACTGTCATAGTTGTAATTATGGGATATTTGTAGACCTTAAAGCACACAAGTCCATCTCTGCCTCCTGAGTGCTGGGATTAAAGGCGGGCACCATCACCACCTGCCCATCCTACTGCTTTTAGTGATAATGAACGATTAAAAATATCTGCTGGAGGTGGTGATGCAGCCTCTAATCCCAGCTCAGGAGGCTGAGGCAGGGGTCAGACATTTGAGACTAGCCTGGAATACATAGTAAACCTGAGACCATATTTAGCTACAAAGCAAAACCTAGTCTCAAAAAACAAAGCAAAATTAGCCAGTGGCAAAACCTTTGGTTTTCTTTTTTAAAATTGTAGCTTGTTCTGTCGGTTGAAGCCTCGAGAGAAGATTACTCCTCAATGGCATGAGAAACCCTACGAGTGGAACCAGGTATGTGGGAGCTGGATGCCTGGAGGAGCTGCTGGAGTGAGGGAAAGATAACGGGGTGGACATGGGCTCAGGCCCAGGCCAGCACGAACCTCCAGGCAGAGTAGTAGCCTCCTTGCTTTTCCTTGCTTTTGCTCCATGGTATAACCAGAGCACCAGTGAGCTCTCCGGTGTCTTTTACAAGGGCGCTAACCCCAATGGCCCCTCCCTGTAGCCCTAGTCATCCCAGAGACCACCTCCTGCCTCACTGCAGGCCAGCACCACAGCACACATCAGCTGTGCAGCAGGGTGTGGCCCCTCCTCTCCTCAGCATCTCTTCTCAGCAAGGCTTAGAAGGCTGAGTGAGTTGTTTGAGGGTAGGGAGCAGAGGGGAGTTCTCAGCTCCAGCTCTAGAGCCAGGGATGGCTTTGTAAGTCCTCAGCTCAGCAGGGGTTTCCCACTGACCCTCTGCCTCTCCATTTCCTCTGACTGGCTTTGCTCTGTGGATTCTTCACTACTGTCACTCACCAGCTGTCACTGCAGACTTGTCCATGCCTTGTGCATGCAGCCCCAAGCTTGTCGAGCAGGGTGCGTTAAGTTGGAGAAACAATGGAAAGCAGTTGGTGTGCTTTAGAAGCATGATGTTCAAATGAGTTCACTGTGCACTGGACTGTGGGGTTTCTCAGCAAAGCTTTCCTAGTGCAGTATTTACTAAACATCAGTTTAAAATGTTTGACCAGGGCCAGCAAAATGGTTTAGCTTGATGACCCCTTAGGGCTACGTGGTGGATGGCGAGAACCAGCTGTCACATGTCCTCTGCCCTTACACATGCATGCATGCCTGCACACTTGAGCGTGCATACACACACACACACACAACACAAATGAAACTCTAAAAGTCACAATGCCTATTAAAATGAATGATCAGATATGTAGTGTGAATTATAAAAGTGGAGAAGCATCTGGAAATAGTTTTGTAAAATGGAAACCACTTTTCTGTCTTCATGCTCTTGTACATGTAATTTTATGAATTTGGTGTTTAGAAGGTCCCACCCAGAGCCTGACTTGGTCCTCTTCTCTGCCCACCCAGGTGGATCCAAAGCTGGTCATGGAGCAGGCTGACCAGGAAGGTAGCCGAGGGAGGAACACTTCCCTGTACCAACTTCACAGGCCTGTTGTGCTCAGCCCATGACTGGCTAGTGCCAGCCCAGGCGGCCTGTGGGAGTGGAGGAGGTCTGCTAGAGGCTCCCTCAGCTGCTCCCTACCCCTGCACCCGGGCTTCTCCATCACAGTGGAGAGTGGTGTCTGTTTTGGTGGGGAAAATGGGAAAGTCTAATCTTTTCTAGAAATGGGGCCATGGTATTAAATACTTTGGAAAAAGTTGTTCTGAAAGATTTTTGTTTTGGAAAAAGCTGTATTCAGCTTTAAATGTCTGAGGGTAAATGCAAGCAGCCAGTCCCAGGAGAGTATGCTGAGCATGCTTGGCCTGGGGTGCAGGAGAGAGCCAGACTGATGGCTTACCATTGGGGCACACACAAATACCTCACCCCCAAATGTGTGTGTGTGTGTGTGTGTGTGTGTGTGTGTGTGTTTAAAAACCATGTGGCATTTTCTGATTTTTTTTTCTCATAAAAATATGTGGTTTTGGTTATAACTTTGGTTTTGTATATTTAGGACCTGTAGTTAAGTTTCGCCTCTTGGTCTGTGTTTTGGAAATTGGAGATGTGATCTGGCAACTGTCATAGCTGATGAAACAATAAAAGCAATAGACACTGTTTCTGTCTCTGAGAGTGTTTGGTCAGAGGACATTATTATAATCTTAGTGTTCTATTCCTGTGAAGAGACATCATGACCATGGCAGCTCCTATGAGGAAAAGCATTCAGTTGGGGACTTGTTTACAGTTTCAGAGGCTGAGTCTATTGTTATTACATGGAGAGGAGTGTGGCGAGGGAATGTATTATTACATGGAGAGGAATGTGGCGAGGGGTGTGGTGCTGAGAGAGCTACATCCTAATTTATAGGCAGAGAGAATGACGGGGTCTGACATGGGCTTTTAAACCACCAAAGCTCACCCCAGTGACGACATGCTCCCTACAAGGCCACAGCTCCTGACCCTCTCATCCTTCCCAAATTATGCTGCTCCCTGGTGACTAAGCATTCAAACATGTGAGCCTGTGGGGCCATTCTTATTCAAACCTCCACAGTGATCTATTCTGAAAAGATTTTAATTTATAAAGTTGGTGAAGAGATCAGATATCTTAAAAAAAAAAAAAAACAGCTCTTGGAGGATTCAAGTGTACATTAAAAGCATCTGTCACCATTTTTTGTGACACAGAAGAAAAACAAGTTGACAGAATCAGCTGTGGTGGTTCATGCTATGATTACAGCCAATGGGCTGAGGCAGAAGGCATGAGGGAGTTCAAGGACAACCTTAGCAAGTTCTTGCCTAAGAACAAAAAGCCAAAATCACCCCCCCCAACTGCCAAGAGCTACTCATGGAGGCGACAGGGGCACTGCTGGTGCTCCGCTGTGCAGGGAATTAAACGACAGGAACCTCGCTGTCAGGTGGGTGAGGTGGCGGCAGGGCAGGGTGGGGTATGATAGCCTTGTAAGCCTGATGACCTGAGTGTTAATCCCTGGAACCCATGGTGGAAAGAACTGATGCCTGAAAGTTGTCCTCTGGCCACCACGTGTGCCACGTGTGTATATGCTAACCCACTCACATGCCAAGGTTTAAAAAGAAATCTCACTGTTGAAAACAGATGGAAAGTGAAAGAAGTCAAGATGATATTCCAAGCAAATGGAATTGGAAAGCAAGCACTCATATTCCGTAGACATGAAGGAAGAAACAGGTCACATAATAAACATCTACCAAGAATGCATAGGAGGTGTAAATATATGTGCATCGAACCAGATTTAATGAAGCAAACTACTAGCCAGAAAGGAAGAGATGACCCCCAAACAGTAACAACAGGAGACTTCATTACCCCCTGCTTACTAAGAGATACATTATCCACACTGTCAAACTGTAGAGTCAAGATTACATTGTAGACATCTATAGACTGGCCCATCCAAGACATAGAGTATGCATTCTTTTTATCAGATCATGGATATTTTTCCAACGATATAAAGCCAGCATTTAACAACAAAAGAAGTCTCTTGCTGTTATGGGGCTGGAACGATGACTCAGTAGTTAAGGGCATGTACTGATGGTGCCGATGGCCTTAGTTTGATTCCCAGTATCCACAGTGGATACCTCTAAACGGTGGTAACTCCACTGTAGCCTCCAGCCCCAGAACATCTGATATCTCCCTGTGGACATTCCCCCCACAGAAACACATTAAAAGAAAATCTGAAAGTTTTTCTTACTGGATCTAATGTGATTAAGTTAGAAACAAGCAGAAAGAGAACCTATAAAATTTTACAAATACATGGAGATAGAATAGTACACTTTTGAAGACCAGTGTGTCATTGAAGAGATTGAGTATGGAGCTGAAAAGTTACTAGAATCAGACGAGAATGGAAACATAGCATGCCAGAAACCCACGGGATACAGGAAAATCAGCACTGAGAGGAAAGTTTATAGTTTTGCATGCTTACATTTAAAAAATAAATCTCGGGAAGCTGGAGAGAGAGTTCATTGTGTAAAGGCTCTGGCTGCCAAGTCTGATGGTCTGAGTTCAGTCCCCAGGGTCCACAAGGGGAGAACTCCCTCACATGGAACACATGTGAAGGTCCTTCAACCTTCACATGTGTTCCATGGCATCATGACATGCTGGGTATGCACGTGCAAACACACACACACACAGTAATTAACAAAAGTCCTGGACTGGAGAGATTGCTCAAGTAGTTAGTACTGGTTGCTCTTACAAAGGACCATGGTTTGGTTTCCACACCCCCCGTGGTAGCTCACAATATAACTCCAATTCCAGAGGAGCTGATGCCCCCTTCTGGCCTCTGTGAACACCAGGCATGCAAGTGGTGTACATATATGCATGTAGGTAGAACACTAGTACATACATATCTTTTTAAAAAGAGAGATGGTAAGTGAAATTTGAAATGACCGAGGAACAAACGCCACAGCAGCCACCACTGAAATCCAGATGAGCAGTGTGGGACATTTTGAAAAATTCTTTCCAGAAAACTGAAGAATATAGAAGAAATACAAATTTCTAGACACATATGACGTACCAAAATTAAACCAAGAGGGTATTAATAAAAACCTAAGCCAATTGCTCACGAGCCATGTGTTTGGAGCAGTGTGGGGAGTGGATGAAATTGTGTGACTGTGTTGCTAGCATGGACACAGCCATGTCAAGGACCCCAGTGCCACAGACCCATGGAAATGGTGAAGCCAGAGAAACAGCAAAGCCTTCCTCAGGTTCAACTGCCTTTAGTTATTAAGCATAGCTTCCTCTGGATTTTTACAGCCAGTTGATGCTGTCCTACAGAGACTGCCCACTGAGACTAGCTGACCCGTGTGCCTCCCTCCTTCAGAGCAAGCCTGCCTGAGCTGTGTGGGTCTGCGGTCTCTTCACTCCCAAGTTGCCCCAGCAGGTTCCCAGGACCATGCCACGCCGTGTAGGATGTGACAAACCAGTACTACAGTCTCCGGCAAACTCTGGGTTCTCCCGTGAATCTCTGGTGAATCTCACACCAAGTTTGAAGAGCTAATACCAGCACCCCTCAGATTTTTTGTTTGTTTGTTTGTTTTAAATTTAAGGGAAGAGCCAATCAGTAAAGGGAGTCAAACTATTCCTGTGTGTGGATGGCTCTGTCAGAAAGACTCCATCCACCAAGACACATAGGACTAATGAGTTCATTAAAAGAGCTCTTCAGATCAGTTATCAGCCTGATGAGGAGGAAAAACAAACCTATTCGCATCTTAAAGACAAAAAAACAAGACTAAAAAGAACCTAGACCTCTAATCCAGGATTCAGGAGGCTGAGGAGAAGGGGTTGCTGAGGTTCAGGCTAGCCTAGCCTACATAGTGAGATGCTCAAAACAATTCACCAAAAATAAGATGAGGGACAAACCTCATCTTAATGAAAATGATAAATGTTGAATAAAACTAGAGGCACAAGAAAATAGAAAGATTTCCATTTCCCGTGTTCATGGGTTGAGAAAAAAATTGTTTACGTATTTTCAGAAATTATCAGATTGGATGCAATTCCCACAAGTACACCAAAAGCATTTATAGACCTAAGGAAAATACCATAAAATTCACTTGGAAGCACAGGAGGTCCCAAATAACCAAGCAAAACAGAAGCAATGCCATCGTACTGTTTTAAAATAAACTACAGAGACATACTTAACAAAACAGCATGGTATTGACATAAAGCAGACACATAGACAAATGGAAGAAAACAGGAAGGCTCAGAAACACTCCTCTTTAGTCACTCAAGTTTTGATAAAGATACAAAAAAAAAAACAAACAAACAAACAAAAAAAACCCAGTGGAGAAAAGAGCTTTTTCAATAACATGGCTAGGAACACTGACTGTCCACACAAAGACTGAAAATGCCCATCTCTCACCCTGTGCATAAATCAAGTGGGTTAAAGACATTAAAGGAAGACCAGGAGTTTTGAGAGAGAGTGTCGTAGACAAGCTGACCCAAGAGTGAGAACTGACTAATGGGACTGCACCAGAGTTAAAAGAGTGCACACACGTGGTGTGGTTGCGTGGAAGGTTTTTAGTGTAGGTGTGGGAAAGAGAACAGGCAGAGGCATCTGGGAGAGTCCAGAGGGGAAAGAGAAAGTCGTGGACTGAACATGGCCAGCAGACTGGACCTGGCCATGAGAGGAGGGAGAGGTAGAGAAAGGGAGACACCGTGAGCATTGGCGAGCATTGCCAGACAGGGCTCTGAGGAGAATGGGTAGCGGAGAGAGGAGCAGGAAGGCCCCGAACGCAGAAGGGCTGGGATGCTAGGCTGCATGGCCGCAGAAATGGGTAGCAGTTAAGTTGTGGGGCTGCGGGAGCCTGACAGCCAGCATGGGCACCACAGGAACTCGTTCCTTCCATCTGCACTTGGTAAGGGGAACGGCTCCTTTTGGTAGACAGGAAGTAGCCTCGTAAGTTCCCAAGCAATGCTGGTAACCCCAGCATGTGGAGACCGAGGGAAGAGGGTTCCCAGGTCTACACGGTGAAACCCTCACAGGCAGGCGTGCTGGGTCATTCCTGGAAGCTCAGCACGTTAGCAGCTGAGGCAGGAGGATTGCAACAAGTTCAAGGCTAGCCTGGGC